CAACAGGCCCAACGGTACATTTAAGAATACTTCAATTTAAAAATAGTAATATCATATTGCTATAAAAAAATAGTAGGGGCTTTACTTTATTTATTCTAGAAGCAGGAAAACAGGTTTTAATTAGTTCACATAATTCCCACCTTCACTTCCCTGGTGATGATTTTGAATAACCGCAAAATCGTGTTTCTAGAATTTTGTTAAACACTTAAATAAGTGACATGGCTGGCGTCTAAAGTTAAATATCAAACTAATGTTTGTATGCCAAACAGTATAAAATTTAAGTGATAAGTTTTAAGAAAAATACCTACGATGACATCTATTAAACGACGTAAGTGTATTAATTTAATTTAATAAAATGCAGAATGTAAATTAGTGTTAAATCTTCAATGTTATTTTATTTAGTATTTACATTAAAATATTATATGTTAGATTAAAGTAATTATTAAATTTAAATTGATATTTCTAGTACAGAATTATTATTGCTCAAGCATTTTATGTTAAATTAATATTTTTTTTCTAAAATACCAACGTTTGATAAACTGTTTACAAACACATAACACGTAAAATATTTATGTGTTTCGCTTAGGATTATATTACTTATTTGATTTCACAATTGGTTTTTCAAGTTCCATAGAAATTTGGGTAAACCATATCGATGACCAATTTACCTTTTAAAACATGATTATATCTATTTACGAGTACTATAAAATATATTTATGATAGATTTTAAATTAACGTGTAGTTAGTAGTACACATATTTAGTTCAAATGTTTATTTATTGTTTTATCTTGTTCATAATACATTTTCTTGCTTACTCGGATTCATTAAGTCGTATTTTTTTAAAAGTACACTACGATAAAATTTATTTTTATTGTTTGTATTATTAAGATAAAAACAAATTCAAGGTCAAGGACCATTGTGTAATTGAGTGCAAATCTAAATAATGCAATTTTTTATAAATTTAAATTAATTTTTCATTGCGCCTTAACGCTATTTATGCATACAAATATACATGACACCGCTGTTATTGCATACCTTCAATATAAATACGGTTTTAAATTTAAATACCTATTATACTAATTATTATTACTAATATTTTAGAAAAACTATAACAAAAGTTATTATGTATTATATATTATAATTTTTATAAAAGTTGCGTTTAATATTATAATAGTATAAAAAAGCATCCATTAGTAGATCAATGCAGGCACGTGGCGGAGTTAATATAAGGCGACAGTGTATCAACGGACAATCGCTGGTTCGAATCTCGGCCACTGGCGTTTTTTCCTCCGGGCAGGCAACTGTCTGGAGGAAAAAATAGCCTCCTGCCCTTCTCTCTGGGGCTAACTCGTTTGGTATCGTTAGGTCGGCAGCCTAAGCTATAAGTCCGAAAATGCTAAATCTAAACCGTCTAAGCCCCGATCGGCGGAAATACCGGACGTTAAACGTAAGAGAGGGATTTATTAGTAGGTCACGGTCCACAGACACTATTAGAAGGGCGCTAAGAGGTTTTAAAGATCTTGTTATTATAATATTTTATGCAAACTAATTTTAGAGAATTAAACTTTACAAACTCGGAAAATCGTGGTGTAAATAGCTATTTTTATTTAATCATACTGCATACACTAATTCCCTGTCAAACAATATGATATATTATATCTTTATTACAAAACATTGATTTGTCAAATTTAATCTAAATTTTTTTACTATACATAATAATTTTCTTTAGTTTTCTGAAAATTAAGTTTATTATTGATAAAGGTTTGTTTGTATGACAACATGCCAACTCAAAAATATCCGTGTAGTGTTATTATAATTATATACAATATACATGTTTGTCAACAGTTTATTGTCTCTGAGCCAGCACTACCAGTTAGCATGTTCAAATGAACTAGGTATTCAGTATTGCTTCATGAACTTTTAGAAAAAGTCGCATGACAACTCGGTTAATTTTCATCACTGTAAAGCTCAAAGAAAGTTTAATATAATGTATATATTTTATTAACAATACACATTTTTATTGAATAACTTTTAATGTAAGGATGATTACAACTAGTAATAACATTAAAAAAAAAATGTTCTAGTCAAAAAATGCGTTTCCATTTATTGTGTTAACTTTAATTAAAGATTTCATAAAAACTTTTTTTAACTAAATAAAAAAATTGAAGAAGTTTATAACTATGATTCTTATATTATTTTTTACTATTAATGTAAAAATTGATAAAAATAAAATGATTAGTGTCACGCATATAAATAATCAAATGTGTTTCGTTGCTTAATAACTTGTCTTTAAATGGATTATATAGAAACATACAGACTTAAAACATTGGTACAACTTAAATTAAATTGCTGAATTCATCAGATAAATTTACATAATATATTATTGTAGATTTGCGAAGGTCTTTTCTTTTTTTTTACGAGTCTATCCAATTTTTATATTTTTACTAAATAAGATTGAAGTAATTAATTACATATGGTAATATAATTTGATAACAATTAAATTATACCCCTATAAAAATATTTAAATAGTAAAAATGTTGACTGATCTAAACCCAGTTTTGTGTAAATGATTTTGGAGTTAATTCTGTGTAAAAGTATAGGGGTAGGAAGAAGAGGCTGTTCACCTAAGGTCACTAATCAACTGATTGAAAACAATTTTTTTAATGATTAAAATAATTGTCTTTCCTGCGGCTATTTTCAAAGTTTTATAAAAAGTTCGAGTTTTGTAAGAAAATCACAATTTTTGACAATTGTAACAACTGTATGATTTAAAAAAAAACACGACTATATATTTACATCATATACCTTAAGTTAAATCTATTCGTTTTTAATTAGTCAACTTATTGTTATCGTCCCGTTTAACCCCTTTAAGCTCCCTGTGTACGCTACGGACTACAGTTAAGTGAATATTTGTAGGAAAACCAACCGCACGCCTATATGATATACTGCAACGTCATGAGTCATGGCCTCTCGGCTATAACTGCTGTTATGACCTATTTTAGCTTCGATGCGGGACTGGGAAGTTACGAGATTTGCTGGACCTAATTCTTTATAGTATACCTGTAGTCTATAGAGCTAAAATCGTTCACCAAAATACCTTTATAGTTTATCATTTGAGGCCGAACGTCGACAAACTGTACTTCTGATCTCTATTTCATTTATATTCTACAGTCAAATCCGAACCGTACTATAATAATATCGTTTTAAACATGTTATCTGTAAATTACCAATATACCTGCACAATTGACAAAGATCCAATTAGTATGTTACATTTTGTTACCGAGGATCGATTAATATCTGTCTCCTATTGATTTTTTTTATCTCAAACTACACTTGGCAGCATATTATTCACAAATTCATTAACAATAGAAATAGAGAATAATTAATAATTTAACACGCATGTGCAATAGTTGATAAGAAAGACTAATAGAGCTTAATACAAAAAACATATTGCTTGTATAAAACAGCTTATTTATCAATAATATTGTATCATGCATTAATGCATTCGTCATTACGATAAAAAATCGGATAGGCTGGTCAGTGGTCTGTACAAAGGTCAAATGGCATTATTTAACACACAATTTAAGACACATAGATAAATTAATTAAAAAGAGTCCCAAATGTCGTCCAAAATAATGTTATCGTATATGATATAATTTTTAAAAATAAAACAATTTAGGGACCCATGATAGGAGGTTAAAATATGTGGAGAATCTAAAAAAATATAATTTATAAATCATTAAGTACAATATGTATGCATGTGGTTGCCCGTCATTGTCATTATGACCAGTTGAGGGTTGATTCGTTTTATTACTCAAGTATGAATAGCGTAAGTTCTATAAGTGACATTTAAATAATATTTTTAAAAAAATGAATTGGCCAAATGTATAAATTAACATATAGTGCATGTATAAATTGTTTTTTTTTTTAAATAAATGTGACAACAGGGAAAATATAATATTATAGTCAACGTGCATATTGTAAATATCAAAATTATATTACATCGGTTGATGGTTCATAATTCCTTTTATGACATGGTGGTTACCATTTAAAAAGAAAATCGCATAATTGTGTGATACACTTTTTTAATACTTACGATTACTGTATATTAAGTATGTCACCTATATGAATCTTATTATAGATATTGTGAGCTATTGTATAGTCATAGTGTTGTGGCTTATCAATTGTAGGACATTCTTATTATATTTTACCAGAAAATGACAATAATTAAAGCGATTTGTTCACAACCATAGTAGTCAATGTCTATTTGGATGGAAAGAGTGGGATCCAAATAAAGAAATATACATTTTTTTCAACATTAGTTAAATAGTCGAGTATTTAAGATTTTTTTCGAGAATAGAGTTGGATTCGGAGCTCCATATAAACCTTATATTTCAATTTAAGACTAATTTTTAAAATAGAACTCATAATGTAATTTTAAAAATTGCATAGTAGTCTTCAGCTCAGAGTTTAATTTTCTTTTAACTGGAAATTTCTTCTTTTTTTTAGTTAAGTTAAGTTTTGAACACTCGAGATGTCATGGGGCTTATAGGACATACTATATATATTACTTGAGTAACAAAAAAAAATTGATATTATTTTTTAATCGAGAAGTCTCTCCAAAAACATAATTACATATTTATTTATTTTAAATAATTACATACGATTTTGCTGTTAGATTAGGACTTGGGTAGTTTTATAATAACTTTATCAATTAAATTTTTATTTATTTTTTTAATATTATGATTAAATTCGGGAAACAGTTATTTGATTTATGTATTTATAGTTAACCGTGTGTATTATTATACATTTTACAACGTTATTATATGCACTATGGGACCGGAATAGATAATATTATAGTTTTTTTTATAAAAAAAACATTATCTTAATTAAACATACATAAATAGTATAATATAAAATGATAAAACGCTGCTCGTACAATGCATAATCGTACTTTTCAATTATTTAACGCAGGTACAATAAATTGACTGCACATTATGTAGATGAAAACGGAAAGATAAACCACTTAATTTGTTCAAACAAAATAAAATAGCTTGGATCGTATCCAGACTATCGCAGTTTTCTCTTATAGCATTTAAGAGGCGAAACGTCTTTAGTGTCGACGTTTTATTCTCCGCGACTTATCCCACCGAATGAGCGTAGGTTTCGTCATTGTCCCAGTGTAGTCCAATTTAAGGTGATTATTCAATTTATAACAACGCTTATACACATCGTATATAGTTTGCAAAATAGTCATACATCGTAGCGTACACAGTCGACGTTGTATCGATTCCCACTAAGTATTTTTTATTTTTTTTACACCGTTCATGAGTAATATTTTCTAAAACAAACAATATAAATATGACTGTAGGGAAGACAGCGAAAATTTCCTCTCCGTTAATGAAGAGACGCAAATCGATATTGGAAGCCGATAATGATGATTTGGAACCAGAAACAAGAGCTTTGGCTTCGTTTTATCCGAGTCCACCTCCCGTGGACTTAGTACAAACTACAGTAAGTCGATACACATATAATATAAATATATATGTTTAAAAATTAAATAGTTTATAATCCATACTGTCGTTAGCGCTGAAGATGACAACATTGTTACCGAAATACGTCGTATACGCGGATACGTGTATTATTTTATAATTAAGGGTGTTTTAAATATTATTTTGTTATAATCCAATACTTGTAGTAAAAACAATTTTTTTTTAATTAAATACTATTTTCATTATTATTTAAGTCAGTTGGTAATCTTTATCGTACTCTTTTTCATAGTCTTTCGGTCTCTTTTAGTAGATAACATCCTATATGTATATCTAGTTGCACCCTCTTAGTACGATTTTTTCCTGTTATAATTATTTATTAGAATATTTGTAATCCCCTTTATTATGAAAGTTAGGTTCATATAGTGTATTATTGTTGTAAAATTCAAATTTGTCTTGGTAGGTATTTAATGAGTATTAATGGCTATTTGTTGCCGTGCTGTAATATCTATCATTAATATAGAAGTATTTAAATCAAAATAATGAACTAAAACTAATATGATTATAATATAATCATAAATTAAGCGCAACTTAAATAATAATATTTTACAGAATATAATTGATATTTATCAATAGGTTGACTATGAACACCCATTTTTAACTAAACAAGTTCATTGTTTAATAATATATTTTTTTTATTAAATTCACTGTATTTATTATTTATTTGTATTTTGTGTAGTTCGGCGTCAACGCATTATATAAGCGAATGAATCAACTATAGATTAGAAAATTACTATATAAAGATAATGATTTATTACAAAATAATCGATTGAAGTCTGTTTGCGATTAATGATATTATAAGTTAGCGACAGGTTATTTTTCTATATCAGCTGTCCACCTGTTGCATCGCGTTTTAGCCTATAGGTATGGACGTTTTAAGCTTTCAACAAACACATATTATTATTATACGGTTCATGCATAAAATTAAGAACATTTAATTACAGCCGTTATTCATTACTGTAATGAGTCATAAATATTAACACGGCTGACATCACATCGGAAACAAATAAGTGCGAAAGTAAACCGTCAAAATGTTCGAACGATAGAAATTAAATTTGGTTCAAATTACTGAGTTTTCAACGATACCGCTGTATTATACACCGTATAGGTTTGTTTTAATTATTTAGGTTATGCAACAAAGTACAGGGTTAGTATATTTCACTTAAAAGGCAATACGGCAAAAACACTGTACCTGACGTGAAATGTTTTATTCATTTTAGATGTCCAAATGTCCAGTGTCTAGTATAGGTAAATAAAACGAATCGTCTCATTTGTTTCTAAAAACAAAATAAAAGTCTTCTAAACGAATAGCAATTTTCAATTACCCTGCAGAGGTCACTTAAATGTGTATGCATGACAACACTATCTGTATAATAATATATTGGCGCATTCAACGTCTTTGGAGTTTGGTCAGCTGAAATTGATGTTTACAATTTATATATACACAGGCCATGTACCTACATAACAAGTATTGGACATTATTCTCATCTGTCGTGTAATGAAAAACCATAAATACTTGGTACTTCCTGATTAATATAATGTTTTATAAACGTTTTAATATGTTCTAGTCTCGTTTTTCTATTTCTGTAAAAAGAACACTAAATTTTACATAACGTTACTCATTTTAACAATAAGCCAATCAACCAACTAAACATATACGATAAACACATTTCGCAAGAGAATCATTCCTATAAAATCGAAATAACTACCCACTTCCTAACACAGTTACATTTATCCCGTTCTAAATACTTATTAATATGTGAATTAAACAAGTTTAATCATAAAGCATAATCAATATTATCTAATACATTATTATGTTAATTAATGGCCAGTCAATAAAGATAAAATTTTGGCAAATAGCGGAATTTGATTCTCACCACTTCAATTATCAAACATATATTAATATGGCTATTGCCTATTAAGGCCAGTCAATAAAGGAAAAATAGCGGAAAAGATTCCCAACCAACATTTTTTTTTTATAGTTTTATTGATGTATGTACTTTAGTTTACTAAAATTCCCATCGATCGGACTAGAGCTTTTTTTTATAAGCTCCGGAAAGTTAAAAATGTTGAGCTTTTGTCAATAACTTAAAAAATACTGGAAATATTAAAAAAAGTTTCAAACAAAAATTGTTCATGATATAATTTCCTATTAAAAAGCTTTCTTGCACTTTGTTATTTAAACCAATGGTTTTACTAAAAAATCAATATTAACTTCGATATACTTTAAAAAAAATTATTTTGTACGTCCGATCGATGGGGACTTTTAGTGTATTAAATTACATATATCAATAAAACTTTTAATCAAAAAAAAATTTGGTTGGGAATCTTTTCCGCTATTTTTCCTTTATTGACTGGCCTTAATAGGCAATAGCCATATTAATATATGTTTGATAATTGAAGTGGTGAGAATCAAAAAGCAATTATAACTTATAGTGAATTTTATACAATTATACAGCGTTTTCAATGTCTCTTTAAAAAAAATTAGGAGAAATTATAAAACATAGTGTCAGCGAAGTGGGGACCAAGCATAGCAGAATAGGTGAGGGTAAACTATATTGATTATTTTTAAAAAAGATAAATCGCCCGTAATATCATGTTTGAAAATATGTACATTTCTTAGATGTTTTTCTCGATTTTGAAGTGAAAGGGGTGAACACTGAATTAATTAAATTTTTACCTCAATAAAGTACAAACTTGCTACATGAAGAAAACGATTTAGTTGTTTGGGAGATATCGTGGGTTCAGACACAAAAATAGGATAAAAAAATAAATAAAAACATTACCATCTCATATTAGCACTGACGTTAGTACACTTAGAAAGTGGATTTATTGAATAGGTACTTGTTTTTTTTTTTTTAAATTCACAATTGTTTTGTTAATATTATGGGAGGCTATTGAGCCCATAAGTTAGCACTACAAAGGTACGGTGTCCAAAGCACGACACGTCAATAGTCAATTGATAATGTTTATCATAGGTAAAATGTCTTCAATGATCTTAGTCTTCATTACAAGTATAAACAAGTAACAACTATAAAACACGATAACTCTTTTATCGAAGGATAACATTTTATTTTATTAGACGTTGTAAAAAACATCTTAAAACAACACGTGATAAAATAATACAATTTAAGTGTTATTGAATATAGTTTAGTTATACATACGTGATAGGTACATTTAAAATGGGGTTCATCCCTTTTAATATCCGTTCATCGAAGTGATCGACTAAATTTCCACATGATCTTTCTATAATATAGACAAAATAGTTTCGTCCGACGTTCCAATGTTTTTTTTTTATTTGTTGGCCAAGTCATAAGTCATAACTCATAACTTAGATTTCTTCCAGTCGCTCCAATCTCTAATCTAACCATCGGTCATTATATCTAATTGCAAAAAATGCATTGTATAAAATATCCTTATGAAGTTTTACTGTTCATATTTTCCATTGAAAGAAACCAAAAATTTTTATTTTTTATTACCATTATGATTATTTTTGACGTTGAAAGTCTGTCTAAAATTTTTCTTATTATAACCAATAAAGATCTAGGGTAAATTTTAGGCTAATGGTTCAATTAAATACAATATTAAAACTTCAATTTTATTATGACCCATTAATCGTAAATGCGTTCTAAAAATTATATCGGCAGCGTACATACTTTTTTGGTACGTTTTTGGAACGTTCTGCATAATGTTGATAACATTTACAGTTTTGTTCGATTGTAATAGTGTATTAATCCAAATGTTGATATATGTTATTTGACGATATGAAACACGATACATATATTTAATCTTATTAACTGAACTGTAAATAACATTTTATGCTGACAAATGATCTTTAACGAAGCATGAGCGATTGCGTAGAATCGCTATCAGTTAAGGTGGACCTATTTCTAACCTTTATTTTTTAAATTTTTTTTTCAAGATTGCGCTTAATTTGTGCTGGTAAACAAACCATGCTACGTTGCCAAATTGTATAATGTGAAATATAAATAATAATTAATATAGTGTAACGCACTAAACAGATGAAAATACGCGTTGGAAACAACTACAAGTAATAGCGTTATATCCCTCATCAGTCAGCAGAAAAATAAAAAGTTATAAGAAAGTTCATTAATATTTTTTAAATATTGACTATTATACAAATATTATTTACATTTTATTAAAATATCAAAGAAATGTTCTAATAATATTAGAATGCAATTTTGTAAATAATATTGGTAGATTATAAAATTTCTGGGCCAAAAAGTTACTATAAAATATTGCTGCCATCATAACTCATAAGATGGTCCCTAGATGGATTCGCTATCCGGGACCCGTTACCGGAGAAGGGGATGTACATTTTTTCTTTTGAATTCATACATTTACCCAAATTCCTAAAGCCCAAAAATGTAATGTAACTCTTTTGGTATTCTTTTGATTTGAGTATATGACCTCATTTTTTTTATGCAAATGGATATTACACGATATTATACGCGATGAAATACCTAATTTATTTATTTTTTGTTATTGATATTATTCTAATCGGCCGTTTACACGTTAATCTTATAGCCATAAAAATTTATATATATATATATGGTATTAAATAAGTGATAAACATTGCACAGTTCAACGTTCAAGCAGATTTTACCATATATATATTCAAATACTAAGTATGTTATACATACTAAGTAAGTCATAAACCGTAAATGTCTTGAACAACATTATTTTTATGACACAATAATATTTAAGTCATATATTATATGTATGTGTATATTTTTTTTTTACTTGAGTACCTAATTAACGTACCGACTTTATATATTATATACCGCAGTCCGCACGTAAGTACAAAAACTCCTCCGACCCAGTGAACTTTGATAACATTTCAGAGCTCATTTGTATAAAATGATAATGTATCGGCATAATGAAATGAAGTGATGAACATCATTCGTGTCTTGCACGTTTTTTTTTTTTGTTAGTATATATATTTGAATAATCGCATCTGTTATTATGGAACAGATGTACGGGCGCTACACGAAAGAACTCGGCGACTATGTCAAAGAACCGCGAAATCGAGCACCGTCCATTGTCCACACGCATGCAAGTGAAGAGTTCAGCAGATATAGCGGCAAAATCAGCTCAACGTTAGAAGTGGTATGGCGCCATTCGTTTGCCAAGCTCGGCGAAGATTGGGTCTTTCTCACCATGCTGGGTCTGGTCATGGCCGTACTTAGTTTTGTAATGGATTATAGCATAGACTTTACCAACGAAGGCAAGTATTTAAAACAAATCCATTGAACATTGGAGTAACTTGAAGTTCATGTTTAGAAACACATGCCTTGCTCCTCTCTAATCGTCCCAACGCATTTGCACCGCCTCGTGCAAGAACATTAACCAAAGTCCTTGGGTTCATATAATGATAAAATAAAAAAGGACTCAGGACTTGGGTACCTTTTTGCATGAAACATAAAAACTTGATGACCCACCGTTCTCTGGCCTAACGCTACTTTGGATAAGACCCTTTCTTTCGCCAAACGTTTAAAAATACCAAACGAAACCTAAAAACCGTAAAATAAGATTCTGAAATGGACTTATATCACTTCTTGCATGAGGCAATTCAATTACTTTGTTCGAAATTTAAATGCCAACGCTGTACATGAATGACTAATGTTTTACTTAGAAAAAAGAGAGAGTTACTTAACTTTTTTCTCACAATAATTAAAACCAATCAAACATAAAAAAACCTAAAAATATCCAACAATTTAAATTTATTTCAACTAGCTTAAATAAATAATTATTTTGTATACTATTTAATCCTAAGTATTTACATTCCTCTTGCATACTGTCTAAAGGCTTCAAATGTCTTGTTTAGAAATTTAATGAACTTAACAAGAGGACTCAAGTTATTTTGCACTGTCCTAAATCCATAAAACCTCAAGACAGTCATGCGAGTATTTTAATAAAATCTATTACCTAGCCTAACCAAGTTCCACAAAAAATGTTGAAATATTGTTTTATAATATTATTTTGATTCCAATTACTCAGCAAATTTTAAGTTAACATTTTAAATTGCTGATCCAGGTAGAATATGGCTGTTCAAAGACATGGCGTTCAACCAGTATTTACAGTATATCGTTTGGGTGTTCTTACCGGTGAGTTTGATAACGTTTGCCGCTGGATTCGCTCATTTAGTGGCACCACAATCTATTGGTAAATAAATGCATGGTTATAAAACATACATATCTTTGAAAATATCACAACCATTTGTTTTTTAAATAAAATATTAACAGTATACGATCTCTTTTATAGGTTCGGGAATTCCAGAAATGAAGACCATTCTTAGAGGAGTCGCTCTTAAAGAATTTCTCACCATGAGAACCCTAATAGCTAAAGTCATTGGCGTAACAGCAACGTTAGGTTCCGGTCTACCTCTCGGTAAAGAGGTGAGTAATTAGAAATTATTTTAATGAACAAATCGAGATAATGCCTAAGTATACTGCACTTGAAATCATTCCGCGTTTTTAACATGTATATGGGACATTCCGAGTCAAACCAGGTAGTCATCGGCCCGACATCCTCATCATTTTTCGAATTTTTTTTTAAACTTCTTTTGGTCTAATATTAAGTTATTTTTCACGAAAAATCTATTTCGACCAGTTTTCAATTCTGACATTTTTATCATAGAATCAAAAACTCAAATCAAATATTTTCGTCTAATAGCGGGAATGGGCCGAGATTTATCTCCATTTTTTTTTTTTAGTAATGAACATTTTTTTTTCTAAATCTGAAGAAAATGTATAATTTCAGTCTTTTTATTTAAAAATATAAAATAAAACGCCTTGGTAAAATTTGGTATGATATTTGATATATTTTGACATGTTTTATTTTATTTTTTTAAATAAAAAAACTGAAATTATACATGTTTTTAAGATTTTTAAAAAAATGTTCATTACTAAAAAAAATAGAAATAAATATCGGTCCATTCCCGTTATTAGACGAAAATATTTGATTTGAATTTCGTGAAAAATAACTTTAAAAAACTCTATTTTAGGGGTGAATATGAGTGATGAAATTTCAAAAAAATAAACGTCTTATATTAAATCAAAAGAAGTTTAAAAAAAAATAATTTCGAAAAATGTTGAGGTCGAGCCGATGATCCAGGTTTGACTCAGAATGACCCATATTATTAGCTTCAGCACATTATTATTATTATTTTTTTTTTACTTGCTTTTTAGAAGTATTCCCCTTTCAAATGTATTAAAATCGCACATGTCCGGTAGGTACCCTTTTCATAGCATGTATTTAATCTACGACCTAACCTGATTGTACCACATACCATGTATTGCGGCGTTATCGTTTTCCAGGGTCCGTTCGTGCATATTGCCAGTATCACAGCTACACTGTTGACAAAAGTCATTACTTCATTTAAAGGAATTTATGAAAACGAATCGAGAAACACAGAAATGTTGGCCGCAGCCTGTGCGGTTGGAGTGGCCAGTTGTTTTGGAGCTCCAATCGGAGGAGTGCTTTTCAGCATCGAAGTAACCACAGTTTATTTCGCCGTGCGAAATTATTGGAGAGGTTTTTTTTCGGCTGTTTGCAGTGCCACGGTCTTTAGGCTGCTAGCGGTATGGTTTAACAAAGAAGGTAACGTTTCACAATTTTTGCTTTATTTTTCTCCTCTCATTAGTCCCATAAAAGTGAATCTGAATGACGAACAACATAATTTCTCAAAATTAAGTTACTCTATCGCCTATAATATTATTTTGACAGCCCCTTACTCACTTCTTCGGTGTTCCCCTTATCTCTAAAGTCTAAATCCCTCTATTTTAATCTCTCTTACCGTCATGCTATTCAATTTCCTTTCTTCGTTCACCTTGCCCAAATCTCGACCTCAATATGTGCTCTCTAATTTGCTCTTCTTTCACATATTATACTCATTTCTATATTTATCTCACCTATTGCAAGTAGGAATAGTAGTATGTATTGGTAGTTGTAGTAACTCTAGTTGGTATTCCAGACATCCATCTCGACGTTGTCATTGCAGAATCTCCCTTCCGGGTAAATCGCTACAGCTCGACTGTTGAAATTATTCTTGCTGCCGGGGTTTATCGATCATTTGTATTGTAGTTATTAGTATTTTTTACCTGTTTAATGTCCGGGCTTCCCTCTCAATTAATTGTATCATACGAATATGGGTTCCGTGCTTATATACCTAACATGCATCGAAACTCATTCTTTCCGTTTGCCGTTAACACTTTCTCCACTGCAGCTTTCCCCAAACTACCATTGTATGACTATTAACTTGTAAGACTCATTAAATGTATACATTTATCACTCTGCAATTTAACAAAATAAAGTATTTAAATTATCATTGTTTTTGTTTAAAAATACTTGTAGATACCGTAAAAGCCTTTTTCCCGACTCATTTCACCATGGAATATCCATTCGATCCTCAAGAAATGACTGTTTTTGCCTTGTTGGGGTGAGTGTTGTTGTTAACATATAAAACGTTTAATTGAAAACGGCATACGTTCTAGCAACTCATTGTGATTTTAGGGTGGTGTGCGGTCTTTTAGGAGCCGGTTACGTTTGGGCGCACAGACAGTACGTTTTATTCATGAGACAGAGCAAAAGAATAAACGCTTTTCTGCAAAAGAAGTAAGTAAGTACCTGCTAACCGATCACGGCTTATATTCTATTGTTATATTTTAATAAAGCCGTAATTCCCGTCGCGTGTGCCGTTTACAGTCGTTTCTTGTATCCAAGTCTAATCACGTTTCTAACGTTGTCGCTGACTTTCCCGTTGGGTCTGGGCAAGTACATTGCCGGAGATTTGAACGTTAACGATCAGGTAATATAGAAAATTCCATATTTTTTCAAAGTACGTAGCATACGTTTCGACTAATAGAATATGTTGTGTATTCACTGTCAAGTTAAGAGGGTTGTTCAGTAATTTCACGTGGACCAAGGACGACTTTACCATCGAAGAATCGGAAATGATGAACCACTGGCGAACCGAAAACACGAACGTGTTCATTTGTCTGTCGGCTTTTGTTGCTTATAATGTAATAACACAAAACCCCGCAATGTCGATACCAGTGGTGAGCTGTTGTGTATTAATTGAAAATCCGTTTTAGTTCGTGTTTTCAATAATCGCATCGACCATACCCGTACCGTCCGGTAGTTTCATACCAGTATTTAAGACCGGTGCTGCTTTCGGTCGTATCATTGGCGAACTCATGCACTTGTGGTTCCCCAAGGGCGTTCGGCACGGAAAATTCATCACGCCCATCATACCGGGTACCTAAAAAACTGCTAATCGACTAACCTACCTATAATCTAAAACTTTCAACTGACTGACGATCGTTGCGTATAGGGGGATATGCCGTGGTAGGAGCAGCGGCTTTCAGTGGATCCGTCACTCATTCTATTTCGGTTTCTGTGATAGCGTTCGAAATGACTGGACAAATCACACACATCATACCCGTCATGGTACAGTACTGGCTGGCGGTAGTTCCCTGGTAAACGGCTCTCATACAATACTTTGTATTATTTTTTTTCAGATGGCCGTTTTGATTTCTAATGCAGTGGCCGTTCTTTTGCAACCGTCGCTGTACGACAGCATCATATTGATAAAAAACCTTCCGTACTTACCGGATCTTTTACCTTCGAGTTCTGGTAAGGCGCGCAATATATCAATACACTCGAAATCTACTATTTAAACATGCTCAATGGTGTTCGTTATAATTTGTTTAGGTATGTACAACGTGTATGTGGAAGATTTTATGGTCAGAGAGGTCAAGTGTATATGGCATAACATGAGCTACAAGGACTTGAAGAAGGTGCTAAAAGAAAACAAAGTACTGAAAGTGTTCCCTCTAGTCGATAAGCCGGGTAACGTACATTTTAGCGCATCGTCTTTTCTTCTTCTTTGTTTTTTCCCATGCGTGTTTTTAATATCAACGTCGAATTATTCTAGAGTCGATGATTTTGCTGGGATCAGTACCACGAATAGAACTGATCAAATTGATTGACAGGCAAGTGGGCAAGGATAGGCGGATGCAAGTAGTGGCCAAATGGCAAAAAGAAGCACAAGAGAGACTTGACGAAATAGAAAGGAGAAAACGAGAGGTAAAAGAAAGAAGACCGTCCAGGTTTGAAGTGACGCCGGCGCCGGATACTCTTCATCGAAAACAATCGATCAGCTCTCAATCACTGAACACAAGCGTCATACATAAGGTAGGAAATGTTTAATCTGAACCGTTTAGATTACAAAATGTACGTAAAATGATCTGTTTTAGGTACAAAACAGTCCGATAATGCGAGGCAATCCGAAAAAGTCCATTTTGAAAAAGACCAACTCGTTCACGTTGCACAATTTGACACCGATGATGACACCCTCGGTGACACCGTATTCGACGATCACCGGCGCCGAGAGTCGGTAAGAGTTTTGATTTCTATTGGAAAACATAATATTCAATACCAGCTAATCATCAAGTGTACAATAACCGGTTGGATTTTTCCTATTTTATAGCATACGATTAGCGTTTGAGGCCATTTTCCACAAGTCCGCTACTCTGCGCGACGCCAACCCCGAACAAGATCTGATGGACGACAAGGATAAAGATCAAAACTCATCACAGATCATTCAAGTATCAAAAAAAGTGCAACTGGTAAATAACACGGGTTGTCAATGTAGAACAACGCAGTTGTCAGGGAATTATTACACCTACTCGATTGTTTTTTTTTTTTTGTAGCCAAAGGAGAGAGTCATAGACATGTCACCGGAGGAGCAATACGAATGGGAACAAAAAGAAATGAACAAAATACTGGATTTCGGATCTTGTCACATAGACCCGGCTCCTTTCCAACTGGTAGAGAGAACGTCGCTGCTCAAAGTCCATTCGGTTTTCTCTTTGCTCGGCGTAAACCACGCTTATGTGACCGCTATAGGTCGTCTGGTCGGTGTCGTTGGCTTGAAGGAGGTATGTACCTATAATGTCTTACACTATCTCACTATACATGGCGTGTTCGACTTACTTTTAACAAGGCCCGGGGTTTTATCCGGAATTAACTTCATCGGTGGGACAAGTCAGGAAGGAGAGGAGAGGGCCACGGGATAGGTCATAGATGGTTTTAAATTTAACTCAAGAAGCCTAAAAACATATAGATAATTCGAGGAACACGTTCCCGTGTTCATCCTACAGGTCCCTCTCGAGTCTTGAGCACGCCGCGCCTGTGATTTTTTTTGTATCTATGAAACGAACGACCTGTTAATTTTTGCTATTATTTAGCTGCGAAAAGCCATCGAGGACACAAACTCTGGTACCAAATTCGCACACAGGCACTCGACGACCGGTTTTCCCGGCACTGTCATGGAATCTCTGTTAAACAGCAAACTCGCCGACGAAGACGACATACCGTAAACACCATTTAGAGAAAACAAATTGTTAGTCGAAATTATTTAAGTTCGTTTTTTTTGTGCAGCAGCAGCGATTGCATACATTTATGACTGTCAGTACCTGTCTGTAAAATGTGTAACAACATTGTAATTTGTGATTAGTAGGCAAGTAGTGCCTGTATAGTATAAGTAATAAGTATAGCGGTTCGTTATGAGCGTCCACTTTTTAATTGCAACTATACTAATCAAATGCCTATAAATTACCATTTAAGTTATATTATTACATTTAAGTAATAAATTATATGTATATTGTACAAAACTTATTATTATTATTATTATCGAGCTAGATTATAATATTTAATTTGTACCTATTATACAGTTCATTTCATTCCTCAAAATGTCTTTAAGAACGTTGTTATATTTCATTACGGTTTTATTTTTGTAACTAGGTATCCTAGATATATATAGCGTATAGCTTTAAGTCATTTGTAAGAACGAATGTGATTTTCCAGTTTTGTTTATAAATTATAAATATATATGTACAATTTTTTAAATAATAAATACAAATATTGTCAATTGTTATCTATTACTATGGCTTTTATTATTTATATTGCACGTATTTCAGTTGTGTAATATAAATTATCGCGTTATAAAACATTAATACACCTATCAAGATAGAATGCATAATCTTTTACTGTTGTTTTTAAAACACAATTTATAGTAAAATCATCGGTTTTCTAAACCCTAAATGGTCCATGAATTAGCTACTTTTAGATTATTGCATATATTTTGAATTTTGACGTACCTAATTATATATCTATGAGAATATTATCTTTGCTTAGCGTGGCAATTTTCTGTCGGATCGAATAATTTTTTTTTATATTTAAATTTCTTTTTAATATATTTCAATAAATTATTAAAAACTAGAGGATTATGACACCTATTGAAAACATAAAAAAAACGCTTAAGCACAGATAAAGTTCTCCTCTGTTAACTGTGAAACTGTTGTGATTTTACTACACTTCCCAGACACTGTGGTTATGATTCGTGCAAAACTATTTTGATGCAAACAAATTTGTAGTTTTTTTTTTATACAAATAACTGCGATAGTCTGAGAAAAAAAATAACCAATAAAGAATTCACATTACACTGTTATAGTAACTAGGTATACACTAGTTAAAAGCTCTGATAATTTTGATTGAAAGATTTTGCGAAAAATATCTTTACTTTGCTCCTCAATAAATAATAGCGTGGTCCTCTTCAACTATGTTTCATATTTAAGCTAAAACCACCATAATATGTGTGCTTTTAAGCAATACCTACCAATTTACCTCATCGAAGAGACATAATTCGTTTCTTTATCTCTCTAAAATCAAAAGCTTTCCCCAAAAAGAACTTAACGCGGCTGTTTGTCTAGCTACTACAGACTACTCCCCGAACTTGATGGTTTTGTCTAGTTAAGCGTTTCTGCGTGACTTCTTGTAGTTTCATAATATGGTTTTGTCGAGACGAAAAAAAACTCAAATCCTTGAAATCTATACATACTACACCTATACAAAGAGATTTAACTGAAACACGGTTAGTAACTGAAATGTCTAAAAAAATAATGAAATACATAATATTTTTATCTCGACCAGATTATTATGTAGTCAAGGAACCTAGCCAATACAAATGTCGTGGTGCCCAAAAAAAACTTAAAAGTATTTCGCGACCCCGAGTTCAAGAAAGTTGTCAAAAAAATGTATAATTTGTGTTTCTGGCAATAAGTATTGGCTTGAACGCAACAAACAACACACAAGTTAAATTTAATTTAAAAATTATTCATCGCTAGTTTATTATTATTACCGTTTATAAATAAACAAATATTTTTAAAGAGATAAACATTTCATTTAAATATTTACGGGTAAAAAAAAGCAGCCGAAACCTTTTAAAATAACTATACCTGTTTAATTTTAAAAATAATTTGCTGAAAATTGTAACAAAACGCGTTCTTTATTTAATGCAAACGAAAAGTAGTTAAACAATTTTTAGGAATTTATTATTTAGTCGATAGAAATTGAATTATATTGTATACAAATTTATTTATTTCGTTATTAAACTACATTACTTAATCAATATATCAGATGTTCACTAAACAATTAATACAAAATATTATCAGTTATCAGATGTTGATAAAATTTTATTACTATATCAGTAACAACGAATTGGAACGAAGACGATACTACTCGTTTATACTACGAGTTAAAACGTTATAATTTTATGAAAACAACACAAGTAGCAGAGAAACTTAACATTTGTAATATTATTATTTTAAAAAAAAATCCTAATAAACTCCTAAAAATTGTTGAACGACTATTTGTTTGCATTAAATAAAGAACGCGTTTTATTACAATTTTCAGCAAATTATTCCTTAAAATCATTAAAATTACCAACTGTTAAATATTAATTTTAAAAAAATTAGTTTTTCGCTTAACTGAATTTACTTATACAATAATCTTTGTCTATTTCAATTTTTAAGTTAACTATCTTATGAAGACAATTATTAATAAATATATTTAATTATATTACTTTGTATATCTTACCTCTTACTTGGGACATATTTATGCTCAAGTATTTCAACCAATTCATTTATAAGCTCTAAACAACAATAATAGCAAAGCTCAGCAACGTAAATTAGTTAATTATAAAACAATATTTACTTTATAAAACTGAGGAAAATATTATAGGAATAAATAAGCCACGAGTAAATCCAAGTAGTCAAAATACAAAATAAACAATCTGTTATAAAATTAACATATATTTTTTATCAATAGTCAAATTTATTCATTTAGCAGACTTCAACTTATTTTTGGCTGAACTCTTCTGGGAGCGTAAAACTTTGACGACAATTTTCTGTTCTTCGACTAAAAATGCCCTCAGAATCCTTAAAAAGTAAAAAAAAAAACATATTATTAATAGTATTTTCACATTTTTTTTAATCAAATAATAAACATAACATGATTATAAGAATAATATAATATATATGATAATAAGAATATTATTCTTAGCAAGCAATCTAAATCTTAAGTAAAAATCTACTTTTCCTTCGCCTTTATCGCAACTCTTTGGTGTCATCCATCCTTATCCTTAACCTCTACTTGACATGATCCCCGTACATCATCTTCTCATACACCAGCATTCATCATATTATTTTCAACCCTATCTTCTTCAGTTTTCCTCATCCTCTCTTTCTTCCTATGTGTATTTTTATTACCATTCTTACTGCTGCTTCGGATTACTCTCTCCTCATAACCATCTTAGTCCATTTAATTGTATGTTTCACATCCTCATCAAAGTCAACATTTTTCTTTATTTATTATTAACTTAAGTAAGATTATATATTATAAATGTAGAGACAGTTTGGGCAGTTATTTTAGTTTAGATTGGTGCCATTTTTATAGCAAAGTGAAAATATGTATTCCTAATAATTTATACTTAATAAATCCCGTACAAGTTTTGTTTTTCATTATTAACACCAAATCGTATAGAATTTAATAGAAAATTATCTTTTTTTTACGCTCGATTACTATATACTTAATAAATAAATATATAAATAAGAAAGATGTACCCATTGTATTCTACTTATTTATTTCAGTATGAGAAGCCTGCCACTGAGATTCGACGCCTCAATGTTTCATTTAAAGAAATTCGGTATTTATTAAATAGGTAATATTTAAAAACAATAAACATTATAATTTTCACAACAATAAATATAAATAGTAACTTATAATTAAAAAAAAAAAATTAAAAGTATATAACTAAAACTAGAATTTATGTTTATAAAAATTAACTAGATAAATTTTCAAGAGAGCCAAATAAAAATATGTTTAACAATTTGTAGCCTTAGAATAATACTTGTTATGTCTAAGAATGTTCAAATGTGATGTTTAATTTAGGGAGTTTGTATCGATTAAATCATAATTACTTAAATGAGCTAACCTTCTTTACTCCCATTGTTGACTATAAAATATGTCTATTTTGACAAAACTCTCAACAGATTCTCTAAACAATATATATTTAATTTTTTGAATGTCATAATTAGTTTATTTTATTCAGGACTACTTTTAGTCAATCAAACTAAATTAATATGTTTAAATGAACAATAATATTATATAAAGGAAGTTCAATTCATTTATCGCTTTTATAATTAAACTGTTAATTTAAAACCAGTACCAATAATTTATTATTTAAAAGTACAAATTTTCAACTGTTACAAAAATTACATAACCGAGTAGTTTATTTACAAAAAAATGTTTTGTCACTCGTTGCTGTCATGATTAAAAATAAGTTTTGACTGAATAAAACTGAATTTTAATGTAGTTCAGGGTTTATTATTAAATTAAGTTGTGGTCATATTTAAAAAGATTCTTAAAATTTAAGAATGTTTTTTTTCTAGGTGTTATTTTTGAAAGATTAATTAGAATTCAGATTGAGTACAAGTTAGCACTTGATACAATTTATATGCTATTGTATACACAATTTTGTAGTAAAGTTGTATACGCTATTAGACCAATAATTTTAGAACTATAAATAATAGTCAATTATACAACTGACAATATTTCAAAAACTACCGTAAACAAAACGGTCCAAGTAACGTAACATAGCTCAACTCGGTTTCAACCCCTAATCGTTTTCTGGTCGTGCCAATGATAATGCTATACGTAATTCTCTGCTTACTTTTCACGGACACATCTGTGACATAACACTCCACCATAAGCGCGTTTCACAGTCTTCTTACGCTTGCACATACGGCTCTTTTCAATAGCTCTGGCCGGTTTGATACCATGCAACTTGACTTTGCAGTTACCACACTTGGGTACGCGCTTCGGTTTCTTGAGGTATTGGTAGACTAAACGACCGCCGGGGGTACGTACCCTAAAATTGAACAATTACCAGTGTGTAAAATTAAACAATTCGACCGCCGAACATCAGTACTTACATACGCCGCCGATTGCTTTTGGTGTTGTAAGAAAGACGTCTCCTAAAAACTACACTTTGGCCCATGGTTGGTCCTCTGTACGAAAACGGACAAAATAAAATAAATTAAATGTACAATAGTTAATATAATGCGATAAATGTTTATAATATTTAAGATTGAAACGGATAAAAATATATTTTACCTTTATTTGCCGACGATAGGGAAAGAATAGAGGGACCACGAAAAAGAGTGTGACACCGATTGTCAACAAACCACTGTATTCTGTAAAGTGAATAGTGATAACGAATCGCATGGAAGAAAATATCAATCCATGGAATACTAGAAATACTGCGAACTGCAAATCGCACAACGAGAAATTCCTCTTTTTACTGTAGTCCGTATTGACTGTACCAATTACCATAGACCTATAAACAAATGTATAGGTCCATGGTACAGAAATTTAAATAAATACATTTTCTTTATAGGTCTATACGGACTGTACTCAGAATATTTAATTCACTTTATTAATTGATATTATTATGTAGTAATTATTAAAAAATTTAGGTATTTTTTTAAAATTAATTTAGGGTAAAAATGTTAATTGTTTTGAAAAAGCAAGTATTAATGAATATTGTTTTCCAGGTTTGTTTTTTTTTCCAAACTATCCAGAATAAATGGTTAATTTGTTTCAAAAGAGAATAATTGAGCCAAAAACAATTTTATTTAAACATTTTTTTTCATATTATATGTAAAATGATCGTTTGATTCAAAAACGTTTTTTTTAACATTTTTCAATTGAAACTAAAATTGTAATTTTTTTTTATGCTTTTTAAGTATTTATCTGCGAAACGGTTTACATATTTAAAAAATAAGTTATTCGTATACCAATTTTAAAATATTTTTAAATGGAATTCTCAATTCAAAAAGGGGCCACAATTTAGAGTTGTCTATGTTTTTAGTTTACCAGGTAAAATGTATTCTATAATCATACTAATATGGATCGCACTGATTAGAGACCACAAAATATAGATGAAGTTTTAAAATGTATCTCAAAACCAATAGGTTATTATTTACCTGACCTTTGAAGTGACGTATTTTTGGCTACTTAGATTATAATTTTAAATTAATGTCCGTACAAAAAAAAAACATTATGTATTTTTAATGTTTATAGTGCAGTGTCAAAACAGAGGGCAAGTGATAATTTAAAAATAATATAGCTTACCTGTTTAACATTTTTTAAAAAATTATACCATAAATCCAACCAAATTAACAATAGAGTAAAATAATATTTACTATTTTTAAGTAATAAAAATAATGAAAATTGTAAACAATCATTGTTAAATAAAAATAACGGCCAAGGGTTTTGTTAAAAAAAATATATATAAAAACAATATTAACATACGTAATAAATATCATATATTTCTTTGCTTAAATAATTACTTTTTAATAAATGTATTTACAAAAATTAATGATAATTATAATTTTACCATATTTCTGGTTTGCTAAACTAAGTCTTTACACACAAAAATAGCACTCTGAAAATATAAACTAAATAGGTAGTAAATATTATACAAATTAAAGTAACAATAAGAAAAGCTGCTTACAAAAAAAAAAAAATTGGTAGGTTAATATTTTTTTAACGCAATTTAAGGCATATATATTTTTTCACAATACATACATTTTTTTTGGTGTAGATATAAATATGTTTATATAAATTAAAATCTTAATAAGAGTCAATTAATAATATTTTATTTTTTTATAATTAAATCATGTGTTCATTATCAATATTCAATCAAAATCCTAGAAATCATATTATTAAATGATTATATAATATTATGAATTCAAAACCAAATGGAGTAAAGCACGAAAAATTAACTAATTAACCGTAGACGTTTTCATCGCTGTAGGCAATATACAAAAAGAAGTCTTCCTCGCGATGGTCCTGAAAATAATCGTTAAATATGTAAACAATTTCTACTACATTTTAAGCTAACAGCTGACTAGTAACATACGTTGTAAAGAGATCCCATGGTGGCACTTGTTGGTGGAATGACATTATTGACGAAAAAGAAGAGCGCATCTTCGGGGCGAAGGTGCACTCGTTTTCTGATGAGGAAATAAAACTGACCGACGGTCAAATCAGACGGAACTAAGTACTTTTTTTTGTCGAGCTCACCGATTCGGGATTTCGGTGCCTTCTCCACAATTACCTATAAATCATATAAAAGTACACATACACTATGGATGACATTTCGGATGAAATCAAAGAGAAAAAAAAAAGATTTGGCAAAAACGGCAATGACCTTCGCCTTGATCGATTACGTTTAAAAATAAACACAAAAGAATGTAAATAAATCGGGAACGGCTAAGAAGCGCGCAATAGAACAACAAAACATCAACAAGTTCTGTACTTACAGGAACTCTGTCGGGGTACTTCTTGCGGATTTTCTCGCCTTCGGTCTTCCTCTTGTCGAATACGTTGTCTTCTTTGTACTGGAACTTCATTTCGGAGCCCTTTTTGACTTCAACTAGAACTGAACAGTCACTAAGAACGAACGCAGCAATAATAACGACGCTCGGTGCGCAGGAATTAATAACACTGATGAAAAATAATACGCATTGTTTGGTGTGAAAAAGTGGGGTTTGTTGTGTTCGTAGGTAACGGGACGTGAACGGGTCAGCTGTCCGACGATATACCAACCTAATGGATTTTTTTGGGTTTCCATAAATCTACTCAAAACAATATGTAAAGTGTTTTTGTCGCTCCGCGTTTGTACCAACGGGTTTCGAGAGTAATTTTCAACATTTTCTTAATCCTCGAGACGCTTTTAACACCTAATTAAACACTAAAACGCCACTATCAAATTTGATAAATAGTTGTCAGAACTGCAACGTCGAATTCGGTGGCCATCAGCTGTTGTATACGAAATGATATTCGTTTTGCGCACTGCGTAATATTTTATTGAACACTCATCGCAGAGTTCAGCTGCGCTGCTGTCTTCTTGCAATCTGTGCTGTGGGGAAATATCTGAATACAATTTTCTTTGTGTTAAATGTTAATAAATATTATGATAAGCGTTATTTGTTTAACGCGACACCTGCAGTAACGTATGTGTAAATTGTAATCATTTACTGTACCATGTAATGAGCTCAAAACCTGACCTAATGCGAAACAAAGATACAAGCTATTGTTTGTCGAGTTCAAACCAACGTAGTACATAGGCGCAATACAGAAAAATGTTATTTGTTGTTTGTATATAATTTTCCATATTTCCCAATAGTTGTTCAACGTGTTTCTTTTTTTGTTGAGATTTTAATACGTTTCTAACGACTAATATAAAATACCAACATGGAAAGAAAAATTAAAATGATGAAAAGCTTGTAACGTCAACAAGCCGTTATAGTTTGTATATATTTGTTGTTGTACCCTTTAAACATTAGTACATACATAAATAAAAAAAAAATAATATTGTAAAAGTGGGAAATTTGCATAATTTGAGTAATAATATTGAGAATTAAGAACATTTCTGGGCAACGACAAAAAAAAAATACACACGTAATTACACATATTATTTACGATTACTGATGGGTATCTAGGTAAATAAATATGCTTTAAACGATGCGATGATATAATTAAATCATTGGTCAAATTACACATTAACGTTTTATATAGAAAATTGGAAAAAATAATATTTTATAGCTCATTTTCACATAACATTTAGTTTCTTTGTAAAATTAAATATTTTTTTAAAAATAAGAACTATTGTCTCTTGAAAATTAATGTGCATATTCAATCCATTAAAAAAAAAATTGTATTAAAATAACTTTTCAAAACTTTAATATTATGTTAAAAACACCTACTACATTCTAACAAAAAAAATTATTATACTATTAGATTTAAAACAAAATTAGTTTCAAACAAAAGTGAATTATTTTTTATTTTAGTTAACTGTTTATTCAAAAAAGGACACATCTAATTTAAATTTAAGTATACTGTATCGTATAATTAATTACTTATTATTATAAATCTAACCAAAATTAAAAAAATTACTATAATTTTTCAAATGAAAAAAAGGTACACAAACTTTTCAGTTCATCAGTTATGCATTTGATTTTAAAATATTTGTTTTTTACTTAGCCCATACAGCGACATAAAGACGAGTTATTCCCTCTGAACCAAATAAAATAAATTTTTCCCAAGAGGTCATCCAATTTAGTAAATATATTTTAAGACATTTTTATTAAAATTAATTTTACCCTGAATTTGTTTTGTCATGTAACATTTTACACAGATCTAAATAGTGATCACCTAAAAACAATTAGACATGCTCTACAACAAAATCTAAGGCCAAATTTTAATTCACTGGGAAACCACTGGCAAGGAAGTTTTGGGTTCTATCGTGAACCGTTGTTGTACAGTGGTTAAATGCAAATTTAGTGACTATTTCTTACTTAATTTAAAAAAAAAATGTACTTGCAACGGTTTCTTTTCTTTTTTTTTATTTATCAAGATGATTTACAAGGTCAAACACTTAAAAACAAAATAAAAGTTTTATCTTTAATCAGCATTTTCCTCTTCATCATCATCTTCAGCATTATTAATCTGAAAAAAAAATTTAAAACAAAAGTTAAAAAAAGTGTTTAAATGTTGTTTTAAATTACTGAAAATTAGTTAAGCAAATATTTATACATACAACAATAACAATTCTTTAATAACACTATTTTAATTGTGAAAAAACTTTTTTAAAGAATAACAGGGTTATACAACCAGTTTTAAACTAATACTTATTTAAAAGTACAAACAACACGGGAAGAAATATTTTCAAATTTATAAATGACAAGGAAAATTAAAGGATGGTTCCGAAGGATTTATTTATTAGCAATAGACAGCAACTCTTTACGGGGTGCTAAGAAATCTGGTTACTGGAACCACCAACACTGGTTGTAATCAATTCATACGGGAATAAAATTCTATCTTAGACAATAATATTAAAAGTTACTGGAATTTTTTTTCTCTTATAAGTCATAATTTTTCTTTTATATTTATGCTCATTCATTGTAAGATATAATAAATATGAAAAAAATAATCAAACTGTTAAATATAAAAGTTTTGAGAAAAAACGTATTGTTAATAAAGAGAATTATATCAGATTTTTGAATTTTTTTTTCCTAAGAAATATGCAAAAGCATCAACTTGGTAGCCCTTGTCATATCATTTCCTGGAAGAATACTACTGTTCAAAAGATTAGAAACTTATAATAAGAAACGATGTATAAAAAAATCTCGTATCAATGTTTTGTCATATTATACAAGTTAATCTTATTATCAGCAATTGAAATATAGTCGTTTAAGATGTATGTGGAAAATATTTATCCTACACAAAACTATATAATTGTTTATAAATACATGCAATATTTTCGTTAATTTGAAACATGGATAAACTGATGAATCAAATACATATTGTTATATAATGAAGTTTGGAATGTACTTTTAAGTGATTCAACTTATTTCATTGATATAAATATTACAAGTACAAAAATAAACCCACATGATTGATTAAAGTAAAAATATTAAAAACATATTATTAAAATATTAAGATATTAAAAAAAGTTACATAAATAATACAAAAAAAATTAGATGAATTTGATTGTCAGTAATACAAAATGACCTTATATTTTCCAGAACCATTTAAAATACTAAAACTTCACAGAATTTTCTAGATTAAATATATATATTAGGATATATATATATATATAAACATACATACAAGAATTTAACTCTATTATAAATATATTACCTGGAAGTATCTGAGTTCGTAACTGTCTGGTCCACTGTGTACAACCCTCAACCAATCTCTTAAATTGTTCTTTTTCAAGTACTTTTTCGTTAAATATTTCAAATACCTAAAAAAAAAAAGTAATTTTTAGTGCCTCTTGTTTATAGGTATATATAAATTTGCATCTATTTACCGTTTCGTGAAAGGTACGTCAGAATTAACCATAATTTTCGTTTTGGTTTTCTCCAGAGATATAACATTTCCAAAGTTATTTGTCTTTCCGTTATACTTCATTCGCTCTTGGAGGAACTTTTCCTAAACAATTAGTTTAAGACTATTAAATTATATGAATTATAGTTAAAAGAATGAATAAATAATATATTACGAAATTGTTGACATCCATAATACTATCTTCGACTGGATGGGTACAATCAATTGTCATTTTCCGGGTTTCTTTCTTCTTTTTTAAAGCAGCTCCTTTACCTCTAAGTGTAGCTTTTGGCTTCTTAGGTGCTGAATTTGCTTTTTTATTCAATTTGGGTTTTGAAGCAGCACCTGGTGCTTTCTTCAATGCTGGAGGGGCTACAGTTTTCTTAATAACAGCAGCGGTTGTCAATGCTTTTTTAGGTGGAGCAGCAGCAGCTTTTTCAGCCACCGGTTTCTTGTCAGCGGCAGGTTTTTTATCGGCAGCAGGTTTCTTATCAGTAGATTTTTTTTCGGCGACAGGAGCACTCTTGGCAGCTTTCGGTTGTTTCTTAGCTTCAGCAGGTTCAGCTTTCTTTTCAACTTTAGCTGGTTCTTTCTTATCCTTTTTAGTAGCCTTAGGTGCTTCTTCAGCAGCCCGTTTAACAGCTTTACCTTTAGGTTCTTCTTTGACCTTTTTGGGTTCTTCTTTTTTGCCCTTAGCCTGAGGTGCTGCTGCTTGTTGCTGACCTTTTTTAGCCTGTTTTACTTCAGGCTCTTTGGCCTTAGGCTTTTCTGGTTCGGGTTTTTTACCTTTAGCATCTGGTTTTGCAGATTTGGCATTTCCCTTGGTTGGTTCTGGTTTAGCAGACGCTTTAGCTGGTTGTTGAGCAGGAGTTTTTTTGCCGCTTTCCTGACTTTTCTTATCTGCGGCCTTCTTTTGAGCTGGTGCCTTTAAACAAAAATCATATGTTAAATAACATAAACAAAAGTACAAAATTCATTACAATTTTTTATTACAGGTTCTTTTTTAGGTTGTTCCTTGGTTGGTTTTTTTTCTTGGGCCGGTTGAGCTTTAGGAGCTGCTTGTTGTTTGGTGTCCTTCTTGGCTTGCTGCTTAGGTTCCACTACAGGTTCAGCCTTTTTCGGCTGTGCCTTAGGTTCAGCCTTAGGCTTAGGCGCATCTTGTTTTGCCTTGGCAGGTTGTTGAGCCTGCGGCTTTTTCGCCGCAGGCTTTTTATCGCCACCACCAGCTTTTCCACCCTAAACAAATGAAACAATGAAAATAATTTATACAAATAATTATATTAACGGGTAAATCTTAGTATGTATTATGTGGTCGAGAAACATGAGATTGCCACGTTTATAAATTAATAAAAAAAACTCGTCACAAAATAATAAACATATTTTAAATTACCTGTTTTGCAGCGGCTGGAGCCATTTGTCTAGACAATATAATATGTATAAATCTAACAAAAATTAAAATTTAAGAAATACTTTCACGCTAGCTAAATAACGTGGTCGAGTATCACGAAAAAGAGACATGAGATGTTAAAGTTAAACGCCGATAGACGAGAAGGGAACGAGGCGCAATGTAAAATTCATGGAAGAATAAATTAAACGTAAACAGGAGAAAATAACCTTAAAAAAGAACAGTGTAGTACTACGGTACAATTTATTTGTACATTTTTGCCATGCAATTTATGTGTACAATAATGAATATTAGGAATCACAAACTATTATTTTATATTTATTATATTATATATTATATTATTATATATATATATATATATATGGATTATTTATATTATGATATTCTCTAGTTGAAACAAAATTGTTGATGCCGTTTACACTACTTTTATTATTATTATTTTAAAATTTAAATGTAATGTATGTATTTCAAAATATGTACCTACTCATTTTTCCTTATATAATACACAGTATTCTTAATTACTTAGATAACCATTTATGCTTTAAAAACCTAGCACAGAGGTAATAAGCATAGTCAGCCTAATAGTTGGCTTAAGCGGTTTATGAATTGCCACTTGTTTTAATTATTATGGCAAAAAGAAACTTAAGTTTGTTGTTACATATCAAAAGGTTAAAAGAATTTCTTTAGTCTTTTAATATACATGTATGTGACCCATATCTAAATGTTTAATTTAAAAAAAATAATTATTAAATTATTAGACATTTTAAAGATTATTAGACCTACATTTTCAGACTACCACGAAACCGGGTTACATGGTTAACCCGGTTTTACCGGTACATAAAGTAATTTTGTGGTATTCTTTTAAATTTTAACCAACAGCAAAACATTGTCCTACAATTTTATATTTTCCAATATAATCGGTTTCATTTTTCTTGTATGTCTCAGAAATCTACGATGACATATTAAGTTTTATAGTTTTAGGGAGGTCACCGTAATATTAACCCAGACTCCAGAGGTTTGTTAAAAAATCTTAAAGAGGTTTCAGATGTTCCAGAGAGCTACCGACAAAGGTATTATAATATACTTCAGTACAATACAATTAAAATGACATTATTTACTCGTTATTATATAGTGTTACTTTTTAAAAAAATATATTATTTTAAATTCAACAATTTATTAGTAATACAGTTTTTAATTTTTAATCCTAATCATATTTTTTTTATGATCCCACAACACATTTTTCATCAGACGTCAAGTTATCAAAAATAATTTTCTGCAAAACTCACATAGTTCTGTCTAGTGGTTGAATTTAAGTACAATATTAAACAAATAAATGATATGGTATCTAAAATTAAATTCAAAAAGTATAAAATAAAACTTTAATTCTTTCCAAATAAATTAAGAATTATAAACAAACTAAGAATATAATTTAATAATTACAAAGCAAATGATACAATTTAACATAGAAAAATTGAATACATTTTCATATACAAGTTTTAAAAAAAATTCAATTTATTAGTAAAATGGCGATTTTATTGATATTATCATTCATTAATTTAGAACAGTTGGATTTCTCGTCTATTTAATTTATAATGTATTAAAAACCTTCTAAAAATAGTTTACTATTTAAATATTTAACATCAACATTTCAATGGCATTATATTACAATATCCAATTCGATTAATCCTACAATACATTTTACTCATGATGAAAAATATATAAATTATTATTTACATCATTAAAAATAGGCTACATGTACAAAAATTAGTAACAAAATAATTACACATTTTTTTGTTGTCGTTTACATATAATAAAATATCTATGCACAATGGAAGAACCCATTTTTGAACGTCATTTTCTTAGTCTGTATGATATACATATATATATATATATATTATTTAATTATAGTTTAATTTACATAAAATTTACAAAAAAAAACTAATTAGTCTGTAATAGTATTGGTTATTACTCTTTTGTTCTAACAGTGAAACATATTTAATGTTCACAATTTTCACAATTGTTCCTATTGGTGTATTAAAACACATCCATTGGTAACTGATTAAGATTTACCTACATCTAAGACATTTTTTTTAGTAAAATATACATACATACAGCTTTACTATACATATAGATTCTTTTTAAATAAATCTTAATACAAAAACACGAATGCGTTTGAATATCTACAATGTTGTGTTTCATCGTTGTGTTTGGTAATTTGTTACCTGAAAAAAAATATATATATTAAAAAACTTGCAAATTAACTTTAGTTGTGCACTAGTTTTTATAAACTATTTTATAAATACAATATAATATTTATAATACATTTATATATAGTTTATGTATTACATACAATTTATTGTTAAGATTCCCTGGTTACAACTAAACATTATTAGTCACTATAGAATGGTTATTTACTGATTTTAAACAGATACTTTCAAAGTAAATGAAATTTAAAGTTTAGGCGGCAAAAAAAAGGTGTTGGGGTAATGTGCATAGATAAAAAAAATATTAACTCCCCCCACTATCTACTCTTTTTAGCTCTTATAAGCTAGTAATTCTACAAGTACTGAGAATTTCAAATTTTAGACAAAGCACGTTTTTCTGGAGCACTATAGAATTCTTCAATAAAAACTAATTATCGACTAGGAGATTATTCATGATTTAAAAGTTTAATAAAATATATATGTAACTTTTTGAAATTAAAAAAAATGTTGTAATTCAGCACAAAATCGTAAATCTATCATAGATTTTTTTATACAATAGCAAGTTTTTACTATAACAAGAGTAAAGTTATCATATTTTACACCTTTTTTAATTAATCTATAAATAGGATAATTAATACTAGAAAGTTGACACTTTTTTTTATATTATAAACAAGAGTTATTTACCTTTATGATTCCTGAAACAGTCGATCAATGATATTTTCTTAGGAGAATTATTTCTTAGTCTCTAAAACAAACCAGTTAACATAAATTAATATCAAATAATATTTTATTTAACAAATTATAAATAAAAAAACATATATATATATACACAATAGTAATTTGTCAACAATACATTATAATTTAAACATGGTGTAGTTTGTATTTTATTGCTATTACTATTTTACATATGTTATAATATGTATATAATTATCATCTAGTGTTTTTACAAAATATACTAGATGATTGTGTCTAATGTAGATTAAGTAGCTGTGTCCTATGACAACTCAAAAAACTAGCAGCACACTTAAATTTAATACAGTTGTTTTTAACTACATAAAACATTCAATTTTAATAATAATTAAAATAAATAATATATATTTATATAATTTCATTTACTTTGAAAGTATCTGTTTAAAATCAGTAAATAACCATTCTATAGTGACTAATAATGTTGAGTTGTAACCAGGGAATCTTAACAATAAATTGTATGTAATATTAATAAATATATATTATTCATATTTTTAATTTCAAAAAGTTACATATATATTTTATTAAACTTTTAAATCATGAATAATCTCCTAATCGATAATTAGTTTTTAAAATATACATATATTAATTTCTATATTTAGAAATTATATTTTTATTTACGTTGTTTTGATAAAACAATTACTTACTTTTATGAAAGGACACTTGGAAATCCAGTAAATTGTTTCACATCAAATGTCAATTCAATTAGTTATATACATACTTATAGCAAACTGAAACAGAAATACAAAATAATAATTAAGTGATTTTATTTTTTAAAAGAACATATACAACAAATATTACCTTTTAAAGTAGTAGTGCATTTGAGATTTTGGAATCAATGTAGAGAAAGAATAAAATTAGGTTGCGTACTGTAATAGAAACAATTTATACAAAAAAAAAAAAGAAAAAAAATTATAATAAACTATAATAAACTTTGTAGAAAACTTGATTGATATTTTTTTAAATTAGAAATTTAACTGAACTTAATCTTTAGGACTTTGGTTTTCTTCTTGTTTTTCATCATTAGTTTCAGACAATGGTTCATTATCAAAACTCGTCCACTTTCCACTGTCTTGATTGTCGTCCGTATCCGTATCTAGAAGTTCGAAAGTTATTTTACAGTCGTGTTTGTAAATGAATACTTTATAGCAATTGTTGTCAGAACTCAAAGCTGCTTCAGCTCTTCTCTGATACGCCGCTTCTTGAATGATTCTTTGAGGCGCTGTGCTACAAAGGCCTCCAGTACCTCCTTTTTTACTTTCTTTTAAAAATATTTGGTAACAGTCTTGACAGTATTCGTCAGATACCAAATGCTGTAACTGACGAACAGCATATATTACGACTTTATCAAGGGTAAATCCAACATACGCATGGATACCAAACATTTCTCTAAGTGTGTCTTCATAGGTGTTTGAATCCATATTTCCATCTAAAACATTTTTAATCATATCTAGTAAAGCTGGATAATAATCTTCTACTTCAATTTCTGATTTAGGATTGAGACGTAATTTCGCCGCTGCAGATTCTGACCTAGTGACTTTATAAATACATTCTTCGTGCACCAATTGAGTGGCTTTTTTATACATTTGAGATAACCGATCACAAAGGATATGATGAAGTCTGAGGAACAAATACCAATTGTTGTTGCCAAAAAACAACGTATAACATTCATCCGTACTAGGATGCTCAGACACTTTCGATTTATCGCTGTCTGTTATTTTTATTTCAGGTTCTTCTTTTTCTTCAGAAACGCGTAACGATGTTTTAGTAGTTTCGGGTGAATTATTGTTAGAACAGTCATTTTGGCCATCACGCTCATCATCGCTCAACTCTTGTCTTGGATGATGGAACATGTCGGGGATAAACCGTCTAATCAGTGATTTTATTTTTTGTTTGTCTTCTTTATTAATACTAGCTTGTCTCTTTACATGGTGTATTAACAAATTGGCGGCATCATCTAATATTGTTTTATCAATATAAGAAAAAACCAAGTGTGGTCCTGAAATGTTTTCTCCATGATCATTTCTCTCGTCGTATAATGTTTCAATTTCATTTAATAACGATTTTGATCTTAAAAACTTCATATCACTTTGTTTGAAGTTGACACCTTGATGGTCCAACGATTTAAGATAATATTTCTCATTTTGACTTTTCCAAATATCGTTAAACGTATTTCGTGCTTCTTTCCATTCTTCGTCTTTTGCTTTAAGTCTTTTCAAAACTATTGGAATTGCAGTCAACGGACTTTTCTTAAGCCCTTCTAGTATATCTGCTGTCTTATCTCCATACAGTCTTTTGATAGCACGTCTATTGGTAGTCGCTGAACTTGATTCATTACCCAGGCTATCATCAAGTTTAAATTTTATCGTTTCTTCAGGTGTCATTCTACTGAATTTTCTTAATACTTCTTCTAAAGAATAAATTGCTGCCAAATTGATTTCCATCACGAGATCAAGTTCAAACCTTTCATCTTCACATCTATGCATATATTCTTCATATTGGGTTTTTCTACTGGTAACAAATGATGACTCTTCAGACCATGTTGGAAACGAAACCCAAGTATCGTTCAACACTTCATAACACATTTTAGTTCGACCGCTACATTTAGGAGTTCGATAAGCTGTTGGTACGGCACAATAGCTTGCACCTAATCTTTTGCAAGAGGTAAAATCAATATCAGTTGGTAAATCACCGGCCGATCGATCTTGACGATTAGATCCCGGATCAAGTAGTGAAAGATGTGGCAGCCCAGAAAGTTTATTTTCTGCCGGTGCTGTTGCAGTATTATTGCTCTTCTCATTAGTTCCAATAAAATCTTTAAATCTTCTGAATAGTTCTGAATACTTTCCAAGGAAAGGTTGCACTAAATTTAACAGTTCCGATTTAGATATAATTTCATTATAGTATAAAACAAGACATCTCAAAAAGTCATCATAAGCTGAAGCATTATGAATCGATTTACGAACAAGATCAAAAAATGCAAAATCAGTAAGAGTTCCATACTTATATGCCTCTACATAGGAAACATCTCCCAAACTCGGGAAAGGAGATTTAGGTTTCTTTGGTGGAGGCAAATTTTGGGTAGAAGAAAATGATGATGTTCTTTTTATAGCTACGTTTTGGACGTTAGTTTCTCGACTTTCTTTAGTTGTTGGAATATTAATTGGATGTTCTTTTTTCACAGAAGGAACAATATTAGCAGGAGGTGCGCTGGTAACTACGGCAGTCTTCTTAGGAGGTACAATAGGTTCTGTCAGTTTGGCACCAAAAGAATGATGTGAAGTAGCATCTGGTAAAAATTGTCCAAACTCTGCTAATAAATCTTCTTGGTTTTCAAAAAGTTTTGCTACCTGAGCATAAACTTCCGCTTCAGTTAATGTTTTTCCTGTTACTTGAACTACATTATCTTTTTGAGTTTTTTGTTCTTTTTGATAAGTATGTAGTATTTCTAAAAACCGTTTGTATTTTTCTGGCTGCCCTTGAAAACGGTTTTTTATTTTGTTAACATAATTTATTGCATGGTTAAATTCAACTGGTTGATTTTGAGAGTTGGTAGACTCTTGAGTTGTAGGTATCGATACTTGAGGTATAGCAGAAGCCACTTGGCTTAAACTTGCAACCGACAAAGGTATTTGAGTTGGATAGCTACTAGAAGGTGCTGTTGGCGTAATATTATTCTGAGTCGTATGATGATGGTTCATTACGACAGAAGTAGTGTTAACCTGATTGATAGGTAAATGTACAGCTGGTTTTATTACCACCGGTGGTGTAGTAGTTAAAGTGACAGGTGATGTTGTGACTGTAGGTGGTCCAGACATTATATGTTGAGTAGTAGAATGGATAATAGTCTGTGAAGATGTGATTGCAGGACTTTGTGGTATTGAGACAGAAACGTGAAAACCAAGTTCATTGTTCTTAATTTCTATTTTATAACCAGGTGGTAGGAACGTATTAAAGCCTACTATGAGTTCTGGATGACCTTTGAATAGATTTGAGACACGGGTAATTACCCCAGGTGTATCAATACTCTGCGATTTAAATTCTTTCATTATATCTAAGAAGTCATTATATACTTGAGGTTGATTACTGAATTTAAATTTCACCTGGTCCAAATAGGATAAGGCATCTTCGACCTTGAGCCTCTGGAACTGAGTCTGTTGTTGTTGTTGCTGTTGTTGAATGATAGTTGATGGCACAACTTTTTGCCTTATTTGCTGAATCGAATGAGGCGCTTGTATAGTATGAAGAGTAGGCATTGCTGAACCGCCAGGAAGAGAACCTGGAATTTTGTCGTTGATGGCTAGGACTGGCATCGCTGGAGCGCTATAAGGCTGCACAGTGTTGAATTGAATGTTTGGATTATTTATAGCTTGAGATACAAAGCTTGACTGCACAACATTAGATATAGTCACCAGGTTCGGCCTGGACCTAGGTGGTGAACGGTTGGCAGCGGCGTATGCTCCGACTGTGTCCGCGGACGCCATAAGTTCATCCGAATGCCGTTTCATTTCTCGTCACATTAGGCCGTTTGAATAACATCACGTACAAACTAAATCCGTACATAAACGTTAACATGGCATTATTAGGCTTAGGAATTTGACAACGGTTACTTACTGAATATAAACGTTTAGCCAACGCACGATGTATAATCTGAAAACCACGATACGAAGAATGTGGCGAACGATAACAGCCAAACGAGTACACGAACCAAACAGACTTTCCATAAAATAAGATACACCGAATTGCAACGCAAAGTGTAAACAAACGTTACGCTACCGATCAGTGTTAGTGCGGGAGACGGGCCGCTTGTTGAGGTGAACCTTATGGGTGGGAAGTAGCGGGTAGGGGACATATGAGAGAAATCTAGTGGTAGCCACGTTGCCGGAACTAACCGCCATTTCTTTGTAATGGGATTTTAAATATACCAAATACAGTTTTGCAGCAAATTTACATTATGAATAACCATAAAGTCTTAAACCGTTTGTCACTCATTAATTGTCCCAAAAAATCAATTTTATTCAATTTTTTAAAAAAAAAACTGAAATAAAAAATTCTTCTCTTATCAAAGCCTTAGCGGCAACGCTGCTTCAGATGTTTAAACAACAACTGTTGCAAAATGGCTGACTGCTAACGATAATGCATCGCGGTAAAATACAAATAATAGGTATAACGTTTTAAATTTTGAGTAACCGTCATATTGATTTATCAGTTATCTCATTAATAATGAAAAATAATAATAATTTAATTTACTTTTTACAATTCTTATTTCTTATTAATCATGTATTACATAAAAAACTATAATAGCCGTAATGCGCTGGTATCAATAGAATACAGTTTATACTAATTTAACGTTGAATCACAAAATGTATGCAACTAATATTGTGGTGGAAGTTTTTGGATAAAAAAATACAATATTGAATATAGAATAGATAAAACTATAGGTTTAAATTTTTATAAAAAATTATCTAATGGAAATTATACGGTTAAAATTTATTAATACTGTGTTATAATTCTACAGTTTAACAATTAGGTAGACATTTTTAATACAGTTAATGCTGTTTAAATGTTAAAAAAAAAATGTTTTTTACATAGAAACCGTCAACTGATGTTAGATAATAATTTTACATACTTTAAAATTATATTTAGTTTTTAAAAATAAAAATGTTTAATTAGTAAGAGAATACTTAATGAATATATAATATTGACATTATCTATGTATATTATTTAGTTTTTTCTTCTGTTGCTATGATTACTTTAGAATTCAATGTTATAACTTACAGTTAAAAATATTGGTATTTTATATTTTTGTTTTTTATACATTTTATTACTTTAAAACTAACAGTTCAAGGTTATAACTTTATATGATATAACTTACTAGCTATGTTTTTATACATATATTTTTTAGTTGCCATGGTAAATACTGTGTTGCTATTAAACATAAGTTTTCATTTTTTAATAATAATCAAGTGTTCAATATATGTTTTAAAATGTCATTACAAATGTACTCAATTTTATACATAAATTTAGTATGTGAAATGATTTATGTTGTGGCTGAGCGATTAAAATCCCAAAGAGTCCCCCTAGATAAATCTAAATTAGGTAAGTCTTGCCTACCCCAGGGGTCTAGAATATAGTTCTGCAAATTTTTAAATTTTACTGAAGTAAAAAATTGTGACGTTTTAAAATTGATGATAATATACAATTATTTGATACTGAAACTGTATTTATTTTGTTAAATTAATATTTTTTTTGTATGTTTTGCTTTTTAGTTTTAAATGATATAATAGCTGCATCATTCAGTTGTCCCTCTTTATTCACTGTGTTACCAATATTCAGCAGGGAGATCATTAATGGTAAAATATGTACTGCTGCACATTCTTCCATCATGAGATTGAATGAGCCCAGCATGGAAAAATTAATAGGATTGATAGAAACTTCAGTAAAAATGCAAATGTTCTCGGCTAACGGACCGAGGCAAGTATTGTTATTGACGTTAAACCATTTGGATTCAGTTCGTGAAATGACATGTATAAAACAATTGAAACAGACTATTGATCTTGTTCAGCATAACTTTTCCCAAGTAATTTTCTTGTATCAAATAAGCTATAACCTGTACAATTTGATGTCAACAAATTATACATTTTTTGAAAAAAGATTTATGGAAAAATGACAAATGGAGAAATTATAAGAATACGCTATACTATACTTAATTACCTTCAAGACGTACACATTAAAGTGACTACGTTCATTAAAGAAGGACTTCAAAGATACAATGGATCGTTTGTAGCTATTGGAAAATGGACTATTCCACATGGTGATATTTTCAACAAAACAAAATATATATTTCATAAGATATTATTTTATTTTTAAAATATAATTATAATGTCATCATTATACAATTGTTTCTCATAAAATAACTCAATACTCAAATCAAAATAAATCAAATTTATTACACATTTATCAATATTTAACTATACAAATATAATTATTTTAACTAAACAAACTTATTTACTTTAGACTGTGAAGCACCAGGTGTAATACGAATTTTCAACAAAAATGGTACACTCAATGATATAAGTACGTTTCATCCAATATCTTTCTATAAAGTAGAAACAGAAACTGGATCATTGGAGCTTAATAGTCCACGCAAGACAAATCTTGGTCTTTCGTTGTAATTATAAAAAAAAAGTTTAATTAAAAAAACAAAACTAAGTAAAATTCTATTCATATACACAGGTTTAAAATAAATTCAAATGACGATGAGCAATCCGAAAGGTCAGATCCGTTATTTTTCTGTCAAACTATACGCAACGGATACAAACAAGAAATGGATCTTTTTGTCACTCAATTATTAGGAAATGAAATATCCAAAAACAATAATGACGGTTTGGATCTTGAATTGCCCGATCCTTTATTATCCACAACTCGAAAGTAATTTCCTAAACAATAAAAAAAAAAACTATTAATATGTGAATGAGTTAAATTGTACAAACATTTTAGTAATAATAATAAAAAACTATTTTGTATTATACTTTAATATTGTTTTGACTCTTAACACTAAGTTTGTACTTGTATAATGCACTATTATTTACATTTATTTACTAGTTAGGTACTACTAGCAGTTAGTGCTGGGTGGTTTTATGATTAATTGCTTAAAAATAATTTATTAAATATATATATTTTAAAGAAAATTGATTAATCGAACAATTATTGTTTCATATTAAGATTAATACCATTTTTTTTTATATTACATTACTTTGATTGATCAACGATAATTGATATTTAAATAATAATAAATTATAAAATGTAATAATTGCACAACCTTAATGGTAATATTAAAACATATTATTAAATAATACCAATACTAAAATAATTCTTTAGGTAGTTTTAAGGTTTTTTTTTTTTTTTAGGAAAGCAAAAGATGTCAAGATAGAAGAAAATAATACTATACAATTAACTGTTAATGCTCCCACTTTAAAAAATATAAGAATCCAAATGAATGACACTGCTTCAAGAGAAACTGAAGACGTAATGAACATGTTGCAATTATTAGAAATGGAATAATTACATTATTTAATTGTTTTACTGTTAGTCGTAGAGATTGTTACGCTCCAAATCTCTGAATTCCAATATGTATGTTTTTAAACGTAGCTTGAGTATTTCACGACAAATTTCTTGATTATGGTCTGGATTTGTAATGCCCATACAGTACAGTTGATTTTCATTTATTCTTATAAGTGCTCGACCAATGATCTCATGCTAAAAAATAATAAATGTTAAAAATATATTATTTTATTAAATGTTACACGTCATATTATAATAAACTGAAATTTATATAAATATATACATATGTTGATAAAAAAATATAAATACCTGTAAAAATTTGTCACCGTATAAAACGTAATAATCGTAACAATGACGACGAAACCATTTTTGAACATCTTGAACAGTCCATTGGTAAACAACTTTAGGCCGTGCTGCTCGGCTGTTCTGTAAGTCAAATAAATATTTAAAATTAAAAATAATCAACATGTAATTATTTTGTCAAATGATATCCTCTTAATCTACCTAAAACTGTATATATTTATTGGCTAAATACCTAATTATTCAAAACTAATATTAACCAATTAAAGTTCTCAGAACACCAATACTACTTTTATAACCACAAGTATTTACATGAACAAAGTTAGTTAGTTGTACCAATCTCCATTGATTCATTTTTATCTTACATATGAATTTTAGATTCCAAATATGAAGACGAATTTTTATTTTTACAAATATTTATACCTTTCTGAGAAAATTATTTTTTTTATTGAAAATAATTACAAAGTACAAGACCCGCATATCTAAACCCAATATTTTTTATTCCTCAGATTCAACTTGGTCAACCAATACTTCTTTTAGATGAAATATGAACATTTTATGTGGTATCTGTAAATGTTCTGTTGTCTTTGAGTAAAAATTGTATTTTTCCATTTTAATTTGTATTAAGCAAAGTTGACCATTTTCCGAATTTCAATATGAGTTCTGAGTAGACTAGTCCTAACTATATGTGCGCTTGCTTATACCACAGTTTATCATTAATGAAAATTGTTGTTGCAGAACTACGGCACCGCACGATGAGGGTATAGGAATGGCTTATTCATTCTTTATTATGTACGACTGTATCTGTGTTATTTTAATTTTTAGCAGCAAGAGTTATAAGCAAAATGTAAGTCTTGATCAAATAATAACAATATACTAAGTATAAGCCATATCATAACATAGTATTATACCCAGTTACTACTTACCCTCGGTTTAATAACGTTTTGATTATCTTCCAAAATCATATTTTGATTTTGAGAAAATACGTTTTATCTGGAAAATATTAAACGATATTTACAGAACACCAAATAACAAGCTACTGCACGAATTACGTTGTTATTTGTTTTAGCATGAATATTTTGGAATTTGTGTTGTTAGGTAATTAAATTAATATTATCCTTTATCAGTTCTTTATTTTACTGTTGTCATATTATTATTATAGTACCTACTATAATAATAATATACCTACTCTGTCTCACTTATTATGTCAATAAATATTCAATTGATGATAATACGAAAAACTCAATGATACCTACTGTTCATTATAATTGCCTACCTTTAGCCCCTTAAAATAATAATAATCAATACAGCGTGCACCAAATATAATATTGTTTGAAATACTAACATTAAAAGTCCCAACTTAAAAATATTTTAACTTTTAATGCGTAGTTTATGAATAAATTGCTTATTAGTTATTGCATCTTAGCCTTAAATTCCACAAGTGTGTTAAACTAATATTAATTAAAATTAAAATTAATCTATATATTAATAATTATATAATTTGTTAACAATTTTTATGAGCTTTCATGATATTTGAACATTATCAAGGCCAATTATTTTCAATTTGTATAAGTACCAAAAAAAAAGTAATAATTAAATAATTTATTACCGACATCCATATAATTAATTAAGTATTTGAAAATAGTATTGGTTGGAAATAAATATCAATTTCAATTTTTTATTTACATTTATGGTAACAGTCAACAGAGTACAAACCATAACGTTTGTTTGTAACATTGTAACTTAGTAATTTTATCAGTTTCCTGAAAATATTCGTTTTTGTCATTTTTATTATGTTGGTACCCACTGTTACCTTCCTTCAATGATTGATGATACTTTGGCGCGGTAGTTGAAAATTGGCCACGGCTCACGCTATGACGCGCAGTGTGTATTCATCAGCTTTTAAACAACCATACTACTATATTAGGTCCACTCCTGGTGATATTAAAACTGAATAAACGAGAAATAATAATTTAGATACTAACTTTATTGATGAACAATGGATGATAGGACGGTTGACTTGATTTTTGCAGGATCTCTTGAAAACTTGCCTCCAGTCAGTTCAAAAATAGTCAGGATATTTACAAGTTCAACATTTACAGGCATAATAAACATTTTGCCCTTGAATATTTTAATATAACATTTAAAAAAATAATACTTTTCAGATACAACAATGGAAAGAAATACATTAATGGCTCAATGTTATCCAAAACTAAAAGATTTTTGCCGAGAAAAACATGGATTGGAATTTCAGGTTTGTGTGATTAGATCCAAAATTCTTCATTTTTTTTCTTTTTGCTAAATCTGAACCTGGCCTCAAGATTTTCTCTGGGATGTTAAATCGCCTCCAAAGTTGTTAAAACAGAGTTGTTATATTTTCAACGGGTTCTGTACATTTAAATAATCTCCTAAAAATAAATTCAGAAGACTTAAAAAAGATTATATTTTTATGTATTTTCTTTAATAAATTCAGAATTGGTCTCATCATTATTATAGAAAATTAAGTTTTTCGTTAAATACACATTCAAATTAAAACTTTATTTACGAGTATGTGATTTATAAATAATTGTTTAGCACTTTGGATGCTATTTAAAGAACCAATTAACGTGTTGTAAAATATTTTTTTTTTGTTTCTAAAAAAAACATAAACTTTTTTGAATAAGTACTATATTATAAGGCTTAAATCGGCCTTACCACCTCAGACCCGAATTTCGATTTGTTTTTCAAAACTAAGCGTTTCCGCAATTTTTTTTTTCACCATCGTTTTCAGCATTAAAAAACAAATTGATTGAAAAAAAAAACCGAAATTCGGGTCTGGGGTGGTAAAGTCGATTGGTTCCGAGAAGTTATTGAGCTTTTCAATAAAACAAAAAATTGAAATACTTTAGGTGGACTTCCATTTTAAAGTTAACTAAATCAAAGAATTTTGCAAAAAAATAAATAAAACTTAATTACGAATTTTCTTCGATTATTAGTGTTATTAGTCCCTATTTTATTTATAGCGACTCCTTAGGTTTCATGTTTATGGGTATTTAGCATGCACAAGTTTCTAACAAAATAATAAAGGATTTCAATCGATAAGTTTTATGACCTTGACGTACTAACGCGTACCAGTTACCGCCGGTACTCGGTATAATTACTATTCGGTACCTGTTCTCAGGTGGTTGATATGAGATGGGGAGTCCGTGACGAAGCAACTGATGATCACATGACTACTGAACTATGTATGAAAGAAATTGAAAACTGTCAACGGTTATCAATGGGTCCCAATTTTGTGGTAACTCAGTTCGAATTAATTGCATAAATTGTTTTGTAACACTAGCCAACGTCGTTTAGGTATTTCTTGGTCAAAAATATGGGTATCGACCAATACCTACTTACATTGTATCTTCGGAATTGGAGCTGCTGAGAGAAGAGTTGGTAAACGTAGGATCAGACGTCTCTCTTTTAGACATGTGGTACAGGAAAGACAGTAATGCCGTTCCTCCCATATCTGTTCTACAACCGATTTCTTCAATTCTAATCAACTTCAATAATAAAGTAGTTACTTACGGAAAATTAATTTACAGTTGATTATTTATGTAAAATGTTAATTTTATAGCGAATACCAAAACTTCAACAACAAGACCAGGCTATTTGGTGGGATACATTAGCCAAGATGCAAAAGCTCTTTAGGAAAGCTTCAATAAGTTTATACAATAGTGGAAAAATCGATAAAGATACAATGCACAATTATTATATGTCAGGTATTATGACATTAGAAGTTTAAACTTCAAGTTGAAACCAAAATTCTATTTTATAAAATAACTAAAATATGAATACATATTATATAGTTACCGAAAGAGAAGTAATAAACGGAATATTAAAAGTTAAAAATACAAAAAATCATTGTCTCGCATACGTGCGATACATTAACAACATCAACCTCCAAAATCTTAAAAAAGCTTCAAACTTCCTGGATATAGTCAACCGTAGTATTGATACAGAAGCATCTCGTCTGTTGGCCAACTTACGAGATGAACGTCTAGTGCAGAAAATCGAAACTACCAATTTCCAAAAGTAAATTTAATCATGCTCTTACAACTTAAGTAGCGAGTTATGTGTTCTTAATTAGAATTTAGATAAGTAATAATAAAACATATAAAATGTTTGGTAATAAATCATTCATAATATGTGTTATTTACTAAACTTATTCACAAAGCTTTTTGTTTCCTATAACATCGTTTACTTGATATTCGATCATATAATTCTAATTATCTTATTTATTGACATGCAAGACATAAGTCCTTTTCTTTAGAGTATAACTTATATTTTTCAATCTATTTTATTTAATCATAAATGTTATTATAAATGTACTGTAAGCAAGCTGCAACATACAATTAAGATTTGAGTTTATATAATATATGTTTTATGATTTGCTAAAATCATTATTAATAAATACCACCTATTTAGAAATGAAAATGAACAGCACGCAAATACGTCATTAAACTAGAAACCGTTTTAACTTATTAGCTATGTAGCTTAAATTAGGTTTAACTTTACCACACCTTCACTCACTATACCTAACATCATTCGTTCTCGTGCGTAGTATATATGTATATGTCTTTATACTATTTGTCTTTGTTTTGTATACACAAAGCATTTTGACTATTTCATCAATTTATTTTTTTTTATTCCATATGAATATTAATATCACTATGAAGTAATCTATAACATACACCTTATTTCTTAAGTGTCATGATACGTGGTAAATACTAACTTTAAAACGATAGTGAATAGCATGTAAATTGTAATTGACGGATATCCACAGATTAAGTAGCATACGCCATCTAGCTATCAGAACTGAATGTTTTTGAAAATTCCAAAAAATCTAGTTGTTAATGCCAGACAGCGTCTGTAAAAAAAAATAAAAGTTTAGTTATGTACTTATATAACTAAACTTTTTAATAAAATAAAAACTGAAACAACAAAAACAAATTTTTTTTTAAAAATTTATAAAAATAACATACTTTACTTTGTGCTATTTAATAATCTTTGTTTAGGTATTCTGTAGAATGGATTGGTCGGGAAGGTTTAGACAATGAGACTCACCAGGAATATTTGCAAAACTTCATTATGCATTTTTACAAGAATATTACCAAATTAGTTGATAGAGCCATGAGGAAGGAAGATTCTAGTCCTCAAGGCCAAATAGTAACAGAAATATTACAACATTTACATGCGTGTCATAACTCAGTTAAAGTTGGTGTTTCAGTAAACATTGATAATTTACTTATTAAATTTTATAATTTAACGAAATTGTGTGTATACACTAAGGTGTTTTATGGCCGCGAAGACAGTTTAACTCATATTGAACAATACATGAAAAGCGATTGCGAAAAACCAATGATCCTTTTTGGTGAAGGAGGCTGTGGTAAAACATCACTTTTGGCGAAAGCGGCAGATCTTAGCTATTTAACGTGGTTTAACAAAACTGCTACTAAACCACTTTGTGTAGTCAGATTCTTAGGAACAACTCCAGATAGCAGTACACTAACGCCAGCATTAATATCTATATGTCAACAAATATCTTACAATTACATGTTGCCATTTGATGACATACCCGATGATTTGGTTCCATTGACAGCGCATTTCAAACATCTATTAACATACGCAACCCGAGACCAACCCCTAGTTTTATTTTTAGATTCAGTAGATCAACTTACTGGCACGCAAGATACCAACAACGTATCTTGGTTACCAACAAGATTGCCAAATAACTGTAAAGTTAGTAGTTAAGGGTTTTCGTCATTTAATATTTATAATTGGAGTATTTAATGAAATTTGTTTTTCTAGTTATTAGTATCAGTAGCAAAAGAAGAAGGAAATATAGATGTTTCTCGGGACTATCATGTTTTGCGCAGGATGATTGATGACGAGGAACAATTTATTGAAGTTACAGCTCTCGGAGAAGAGCTTGCCGAAGAAGTAATCAGGTATCATTTTTTTTTTTTTTAAATAATTTTACTGAAATTTATTTAGAAATTCACTGTCGATATTGGCGCAGAAAATGGATGGAAACAGCCCACAGAGATCTAACTAATTGCCAATGGAGACTTGTATCGAACGCTATAAATCTGTGTTCTCTCCCAATTTTTGTAAAACTTGTTTTTGCGGAAATATGCCGTTGGCGAAGCTATACTAAATCTCAAGAAACGCACTTGGCTTCAAACGTAATGGACTCGATCATGATGCTGTTTGAACGAATCGAAAAACAACATGGTCGATTATTGGTTTTTCACGCTTTAGCTTATATAACAGCATCTAAAAGTGGTCTTTCAGAATCGGAACTTGAAGACTTAATATCGTTGGATGACAAAGTTTTAGACGATGTTTATCAGTACCATTTACCTCCAGTCAGGAGAATTCCACCTTTATTGTGGACTAGAATTCGTAATGATTTACCAAATTATCTATCGGAAAGAGAAGCTGACGGTGTTAGTGTATTAAATTGGTACCACAGGTGCATATACACAAACTAAAGTGATACAGTCATGTGAATTTGTTCTAACTTTTTCAATATTTATAGACAGTTTAGAGATGCAGCGCGGGAACGATATTTCAAAAATATGAATATGGTTACCTATTTCCATTCTTCTATAGCCGATTATTATTTAGGAATCTGGGGAGGAGGAAATCCAAAACCTTTTAAATATACGGAAATCCAAAGACATAGGTTTAATTTACAAAATAAAGAAGGATCAGCGGATAGGAAAGTTCCTGTGCAACCGCTTGTATTTTATTCGAAGGAAGGAACTGCTACTAGGTACAATTTAAGAAAGGTAAATTCTGTCACGCTGAAAATATAATATGAGTATGACCAAGCGCGCCCGCGGGATAAAATGCCACCCGGGGTAAGATCAAAATTCTAAAGCCAAATCAAAAAGGTTATTTTAAATTTTAATATATTTCTAGTGTCTTCATTCTAAAATAGCATAACCTACATAGAAAAAAAAAACATTATGTCATCACATAAGGTCCTTATATGTGTAGGTTTACAATATAATATTAATATTTTTTAAATACATGTTAATATAGATGTTACAAATTAATTATATTTATATTAATTATCAAATAAAAATTGTATGCGTCTTGGTTGCATACAAAATGATAGTATAACATCTTCAATCATTTTTTTTTTTTTTTGCTTTTTAACAATGTCTTTATGTATGTACAATAAGGCTAAACCATTTAATCTATCTTCAGAGATTGAATTACGCATCCATGTCTTTAACCTTTTTAATGAGCTGTAAAAAAAAGTTATATTGTAAAGATGAATGAAATACCCGAATAGACTTTTTTATTTACAATTATATTTGTACGACATGCAGTCATGTGTAAACATTGTAAACTAATAAATACGTTCAAGATTACATTTTAGATTGTCTAAAAATATAATAATTTTTACTAAACTTCTAAATGGATCTCAATAAAATTATGTTATAATTAATATGCATGGCATTAAATTAACAATAGTTTTAAAAAATTCCCAGTAGGGGCAATGGTCTCTTTGCCCCCCCCCCTGCGGGCGCCCTTGAGTATGGCTTATTATCATAATTACTAAGTATCGCGTTTTGTTTTAGTTTGGAGAACTACCGTACCATCTTGTTCGAGCTCATCGATTTCAAGACTTATACAAACATGTATTATTTAATTATCGTTGGTTACATGCGAAATTATCTTCGTGTCCTTTGCAAGCAGTTCTTAGTGACTTTGAAGATGCATGTGCAAATATTGACGATAGAGATGCGACTAGGTAGAAAACAATTATCTTTTTAAAAAATTACGTTTAAAATTTAAAATTATAATAATTGTTTTAATGATGCCATAACTAGCCAAGATGAATTGAAAGCAAGACAAAGGTCAGGTTTTGGTTTTATTAATTGTATACATCATATGTAGGATATGCCAAAACTGACGTGGCAATGGTCTAGGATACCATAAATATTAATTTCTGAAAAAAATAGTATTATCTTTTTATACTACTATACCTTCTTATGTTTCGAATATTTAGAGAGTTAATTCTGGTAGCTGACGCTTTAAGGCTGGGCGGAGCGATATTGAGCGAATTTCCTGATATGCTTGCTCCTCAGTTGATCGGTAGACTTTTACCCGAAATTGGTCCAAACCCAAATATTAAAAGTTTACTAGCAGAATGTGATCAATATGGTCCTGACAATTGTGCACTTATACCTTACTACCACTGCTTACACACTCCAGGAGGTCCATTAAAAGTAATCCAAATCAAGCTATAACAATATGTACGCATGAATATTAACTAATTATTGTTTATAAACTTCAGTACTCTTTGGAAGGTCACCAGTTTGCCGTGTTCGACTTTCAAGTAACATCAGATTACAGGTACATAGTTTCAATTTCAAACCGATTCATCACTTGGGATTTATCTACTAGCGACATGACCCGTAATGTAAATCCTGGTCTAGAAGGAATCATGCAAGCACTGTGTTTAAGTCCAGACAATCGTTATGCCGCAGCTTATACTAATAATAATCAAGTAGTAAAATATATTTTAACAACTTGAATAATTTGTAAATAAAAACATCGTACGTTTAGACTGTCCTATTAAACTGTCTGACAAGTGAATTCATTGTAATTGAAAATCCATTTGATAATGGTGAAACAGTAACAGGTGTTAACATGCTTAACACACATTTATTTGTCCATGGATCTTCTTTGTTGTGTAGATACGATTTGAGAGGCAATTTAGAATCAAAGTGAATATTAATTTTCATGTAAAAGCTAATAAATATGTTATTAATCTTGTATTCATTTATAGAACTCAAATTAATGAAAATCCTGATGAATGGGTATTAATGTCAATAGAATTTACAACATTAACATTTAGCCATTTTATTTTTTGGTCAGGCAAAATGGATGATACCAGAATAATGATGCGAACAAACAAAGAAAACTTCAACTGCCCTCCATTTATTTTCCATAGTGCTATGGCCATAAACAATCACAAAATGACATTATATTGTTGTTCACTGAATAAATCGTACGATGTATCCCAATTTGATTTTATTGATAATTTGTGGACTTTAACTAAAACTTTACAGCCTGGTATTTCTTACACTTACTGATTTTTTTCATTTTAACTATAACTTCAATTTTTAGTTAGGAATAGTACAATTCTTCAACTAAAACTATCCGAGGACTCATCATCGCTTTTGGGTACAACCTCAAATGGTTTTTGTGTTTGGGATTTAACTTTAGAAGACACTAAAGTGTTACCATTGCCTCATGGAGTCCGAAATATTACTATAAATATGATGCAGTCAAATTCTTGTATGCTGTCGGCCGACAAACGTTTCCTGATCGCTGGAGTTCGGTATAAAATTGATTGATTCGACTCAGTAGCTTCGTTTCTAAATATCGTTGAATAAAATGAATTACTTCCAGGAAAATGCTATACGTTTGGAATATGGAAACCGAAAAGCTAATCAAAGTATTAGATGCACATTTTGGTCGCATTATTTCATTACTGCCATTGACTACGGGAAACTGGAACTCGGCTATAACATCGTCCATCGATAGATCGGTTAAAGTTTGGAATATTAATAACATATTCGAACAAGTACACGTCATAGATCGACACGAACTACAAATTGATTCCATCAGGTAAATATTATTTATTAGTAACTTAGGTCTGACTATGGACGTACAGTAAAAGTGTACAACATAAATGAAGCTATAAAGTACATTATACTTATGATTAATATATCGTGGGAAATTATACGCATATACATATTTCAATATTTGATATTCCTCGACAATGTCCATCCTTAAAGAATATCAACGCTTAGATCATTGACTTTACGTTTTTACGTCTACACTATATGTAATCCCTCCATCCAATCGGGTCTCAGACGGTTTATAGATTTGACAGTGTTGGGGGTTTCATTCCCATAGTTCATCAACAAAGGGGGAATAGGCTCCGCTATATATATATATATATTTGTAATCCCAAATAAATAATATTTTAGCGTTATCAGTTATTATTACTTTTTTAAGTTTATCGCAACAATCCGGTTTAGCTGCGACCGTAACACGAGGTTGTGTAGGCATCTGGGACGTTAACACCGGCAAATTGGTTCAACAGCTTGCCGACAACCTTTTGGGAGCCATAGTTACTCATGCATTGATCACGCCTGATGGTCGGTATATTGTGTGCTCGGAATCGGGAAACTTTATCGTATGGCATCGTATCTTGTGCCGAGTGGTATTCAAACAACAAGAACCGGGCATACAGCAAATATTGCTTTTAGACGAAGCGACTAAATGTCTCGCCGTGTCAAAACCGGAAGACGTAAACGTGGAAACCCAACAAACCGTCGAAGCCACGGTTATCGTCAGATCCATCCCGGACGGCAAAACTATCTATTCGTTTGTTTATCAAATACGCAATGTTACTGGAATGGAGTTCAAAAAACTCGTCGTATCCGCGGACGGTTTGAACTTGATCGCTTTGGTCAGCGACAAAGGACATCGGGAAGCGTTACACGTTTATAATGCAATCAACGGTCAATTTGTTAATAGAATTGTTCTACGGCAATCGGGAATGAAGGTAGGAACTACGAGAGATTTTTTGGGTTGTTTATTGTTTGAGACTGTGCATTGCATTAGGTATACTATAGTCTATAACACAAAATGCGTACACAGGCTCAGACTGGGCCATTAACATTGGTATAGCACAACGGGCCGCCATCGAGAAATGACCACCTCTCCTAAATTTCCCAATGGTAAATAACTCTTCAACGTTTGGCAAAGTACGGGTTTTTAGATAATTTTAAATCCCATACTTTAATATTTTATAAATTTTATATAGGTTTATTTTTTAAATATCCTTTTAAAATACTTCAGATTGTAGGATTATAAGTATTCAATAATTTCCCCCAACTCTTTAGAGTGCAAGGATGCGTCCTGGCAAAAATAATGGGTTGGAAAACCTCCAGTCCGGATTGGGGCATACATTATGAAACTTTATTTACGCGATAATCTGACTTATTCACATACACAGTATGTTATAATTTTGTGAGATCATCGTGATATTTAGAAACTTCAATAAATAATAAATTACTGTATGAAACGTTACTTAAAAAGTGGGGAAGGCGAAGAGGTGATTTATAATTTGTGTGACTCAATAGTATGTGTGTTTATTATTATATTATAATATACGGGTATAAAAAAAATGTGATTTTAATTGTTTTCATAATACCGCTTTCTCCAAAAATAGGTAGGCACATTTGTTAGGTTTGATAGTAATTTTGGTATAACGATATCTTCTTCTCTACTAAAGGCCTTGCCTTGTCGTTGCAAATCTGGTTCTCCTCGTTCTTATGTTTAACCTTCATTGCTTGATGTTTGGGAAAACTAATGCAGTGGTTTCCCGGTGCCTTCTGCATTATAACGATATAATATTGGTATCTCCGATTTCGTGTATCGCCATTTAATTATAATATTAAATAATATATTTACTGTACATGCATTTCATAACCTTTGGCATAAATAAATTCTATATTATTTCTTATATAGTTTATAGTTGACGATTCCCAATATTTTTGGTTTCCATTTTTATTTTAATAATTTAAAAAATTTGATAAAACTTTAAATTGAAATTTGTCGTGCCCAAAATGTGTTTTTGTTTGATTATAGGACATTATGTTTATTGTGGCAATGCCGCACAGGGCTAATTTAGTTGCAGTGATTAATCCCGACAAAGGAATGCTATTTGACGTACGCACCAAGAAACTTTTCAAGTCTATACCAAAATGGGGAGGATTTTGTACTAAAGATGGGAAATACGGTCTGTACGCGCCTACTCGTGGAGGTTTAGAACTTTTGGAGCTGAAAAAAGGAACTTCAATAAAAACGTTTATACCAAGAGTAGCAGAAGGAGTATTCACAGTTATTTGCATGTTTAACAAAACTGACGAATACGTGTTGTACTACCATAGCGGGAAAAAAACGTTGCGAGTATTTCGGTTAGTGGCGAACACCGAATTTACACCATTTGACTTTTGCATTTTTTTATTTGACTAAAATATTTCTCATCGTCAAAAGCGTCCTCGAGGGGTAGAGTCAACTCCCTCCTCCGATAGTTTTTACATTTCTAAATTTTAATTTTAACATAAAGGTTCTCAAAAATGTAGTACAAATTTCAAAAAAATTTCGAATTCTTAGAAAATGCCAAGAAATTTTCTACTTTATGATTTTTATACATCTCTAGTTAACATAAAAACCACTGGAAATTTGTTTTATTATTACTACCAAACTAGTACCCAAAATAGCCAAAAATTAGGGGAGGGGATCTAAAGCCCCCGCCGTATGAAATTAATAAAAATGTGTCCCGCCCCCTTTAAATTGATATAGGGGCGCCTTAAACATAATATTAAATACGAATTTTTGTAATTTTAACTCGTATTTGTTTTTAAATTACGTAAAATTTATAAATTGGTTAACGTTTGTTAATATCGTATGTTACATGGTATGTTCTTTGAGTATTTACAGGGTTTAGTTAAAAACCTATACTAAACCTATACTTACCTTACTTCTTTACTAAACCTTAGTGAAAATGTCAATAAAAATAAATAACAATACGTCAACATTTTACCTATTAACTTGTAGGTATTTTCATTTCAAAAATTGTTGAATTCAATTAATACAAAAGTCAAATGTCGATTTAGTGGAAAACCCTCTCCCCCAATATATATATATATATGATTTAAAAAATGTATTAATAGGCTGGATGACGCTAAAATGTTAGCCAATTATCGAGTACCGGCAGAATTGAGCGCCATTGATACAACAGAAGACGGACGCGCCGTCGTTATAGCTACTGTAGACGGTTGTCTTACTGTGCTGGCTATAGCCGATCCTAACAAAGACATGTTCTTGTCAACATTGCCGTCCCGCGATGAGACGGTAGGTATTTTTTTTTTTTTTTTTTTAATAAACATGACTTAATATACATGACTACATTGGTACACCGGCCCGAAAATAATTATTTAGTGGAAGAAAAAAATGGACAAACAACGTACCGCAAAGTTGTTCAAAGCCGCAGCTGCCATTTCCAAACTGTGCGTATCCGTATGCGAACCGAGTTCACACGAAGAAAGTGGAAACGACAACACTGGCCATCTACAGACATCAAAAATATTATTAAAAGGATAGTAGATTAACTACATAATTAAAAGTTTAAAATTAAAATTTTAAATACAGACTATAATATATTCTACCATTAATATGTGCAATTAGGTACTTGAAATGTGTTTTTTTTTATTTTTAAGTTATACCTTAGACTAATTCAACCAGGGTTTACACCTCATAGGCGAAACTTGGGCACGATTTCAAGGGAACTATACATCTTTGTCAGACTAAGTAGTCGATTTTGCATGCCGCCCCTATATGCCACCTGGTTGGTCACCTTTTTTTAAAGTCATGCTACTTTAAATCATTACCATTACAAGGTAATTTAAATTATTTATAATTAATAAATAATAGTTCTTATTATAAAAGCATTTTTACTTTATTTATATTTTATCAATAGACACGAATGCAGTTTTACTACTTGTAAATGTTTTTGAGATAAATTGAATATATTTTTTACTTAAAATTATTTTTAAAATATCCAATCAAGAATAAATATGAAAACTTCCGCATTTAAAATTGTGATTAAATATTATTTGTCGTCTCTAGAAATTCCGGTTTTGATCTTAGATGATAAATAAACATTATGATAAAAAGTAAAATTTTGAACTTTATTCGATAAATGCATGATGTATCTTTGGTAATAAATATTAACAATAATTTATTAAATATAAAAAAATATTCAAACTTTGTCACAGTCCTCAACATATAATAAGTAATAACAATATTACAATACACAGGGTTATCAAAGTTCCATGTAACAGAAATTTTATCGAAAAAAAAGCAAAACAATTTTCAAATAAAATCATTATTAAATAAGGTTTTTTATCGGCAAGGAAGACGTATTTTAAATGGTAGTTTTTAAAATGGAAACATACTTATTTGATTTGCTTATTAAAATTAGAACAATATAGTAAAACTAATACCTAGTTGATAACCAGTTTGTAACTAGCTAATACATTTATTTTATAGTAAGAATTACTGTAAACCATATCTCATGATGGCAGCGTTGGGCCTTCTCATGGCCTGTTAAGCTACATGATGAGTAAGAATTACTGTAACAAAATTTGGATAGCCCTGTATATTTATATACAGTTATACCTAAATACATCTTATATTTATATATAATATGTACCTTTATAAATAGGTATATATTATTTTAACAAAGTAACAACTAGACAATAAAATTATGTTTATAAGTAAAATAACATAGAATAATATAAAACTGTATAACTATATAATAAAATAGTTGTAAAACAACAGTATGTTCATGAATCAACTCCAGTGTCCAATTCAAGAGTTTGTTTCATTAGTTCATACGTTGAAAAAGACACAGCTACCATAGGCACAGCCCTGAGGAAGTTTATACTCATTCCTCTGTATAATCCATTCACTACACCGTCAACTTTGTACACAGTTATTAGAGTTTTGAACATGCCATGACTGTAAACAAAATATAACAAGTTATAAACATTTTAGTCAACACAAAATCGAAATATCAATTCTACCATTACATAATAATATATTTATTTTGAATTATGTTTTTAACTGTTTGAAAAGCTGAATTTCAAACAAAAAATAATATACATTTAAAATAAATGTAAGCTAGAAATTAATTTATAGTTTATTTTATATTGTTAGCATTAAATATGTGCACTGTGTACAGATGCCAATTGGCAGTCCTATATATATTTTCGGTAGATAAGTTATTATTTGATACGCGTTGCTTAAGGCAATTTTAGGTGGGTAGCATCATTGTTCATATTTTATCAAATATATTTACACAACCCGTGTATATTTATTATTTAAAGTCATAAAATATTAAAATTTAATATAGACACATTTTTTTTTACATTTTATTGCTGTTATTTGTTTGTTATTGACATAAAAGCAACATATATTATTATTTATGATCCATCTGTATCACAAGGGCAGTTGCAGATTACTAGTGAGTGTTTCTATAAATAATATTTTATTAGAAAACATTAATGTAATGGGGAAATATTTAATTATGGATAGTAATCAAATTGGACCATCAAGACTAAAAACAACATGTATTCATAAATTTCCTAATGAACGTGAAATAGAATTTGTATTGGATTTAGATGATGATGAACATTTTCATTTTTATGATTTGGGTAGTGAATACATGGGAAATATTATAAGTGATTTTTGAGAAAGTGAGATTGAAGAATCTAACGTTGTGGAGTTGGTATAGGCTAGGTTAGGTTAGTAAAAATGAATTATTACTGAAAGTAGCATCATCTTTTTAAACCTCAAAAATGTTTTATTAAACACATATGGAAACTTTATTATTAGTAAAAGAATAAAATTTAACGAAAAAAATGGCATGTGCACTGTAGGTAATTCAAAAAATAATACACGCAGTAAAGAAGTTTATTCAAATTCTGAGTATTTTTTGTCTAATTCTGTGTGCAATTGAATTATTGCCAGTTTCCATTTTATAGGCTATATTATGAGCTTTACCCCTTCATAATAAATACTGGTGAAGAAACCCTTTCAATATATAAATATAAATAGTAATAATAATAATTTACCCAAATTTGCCAGTGGCAGGATCCATTTTAGCTAGTTGCATCCGCCGCCTAGTTACATCTAAGGGATACGAAACACATTGAGCAAACGCTCCAGATAATCCTCCACAAACCAATTTCGCCGGTACTGTAAGTACTACACCACCTGAACAAAATAATTTATAACATAATTTAATTTTTATATCAACAATAAATAGCTTACCGGAATCTTTACTAGACGATTTACTGAAAATTAGCGGCAACGTTTTTAAAAAAAACTTTTTAATGGTTTCAAAACAAAAGAATGTTAAACCGGCATACGGGACCATACCACATAATGTTGGCACAAACCCGCGATATAGAGCTTTAATTCCTCCTTCCTTAAAAACAAAAAATAATAGTTTTTTAATTTCTATTGTTACCTATATGTTAATAGATAAGTTTAGCTTACATCATACCACTTTTTGTAAGATTAGGTCGATAAACACACAAATTAAATACAGTAAAACCTGTCTAAGACAGACCTTAAATAAACTGGACCCCTTTAGAAACCAGAATTAGGGCATGATCTCGGTATACGGCTTTGCTTGTACAGTTTACTGAATAAGACAGAAAACTGCTTAACAGAGAAATTTTTTTCAGTCACACGCGATTCTACCATAACCAGGTTTCACTGTAGTATATTGATAATAATTTCAGAGCAACTTAACCAATTGGTAATAAATTTACTTTTTGTACGATAGATTTGGCTGTATGTGCTATTCCATTATATACATGTTCACCGGTAACTTGAAACGCTAATCGAGCTCTAATGGTATCTAAAGGATACGTGAAGGTAACTGCTGTAACACCAGCTAATGAACCAGACATGAATTTTCCAATATGTGATCCCTTGCCAAGTATTGAACCCAACAGCTACAATATTTGTCATACTACTTTAAAAATCATCATTTATTTAGTGAAAATAGTAGTCTTACAGTCTTGTAGAACTCGAAAGAAGTAAATTGAATAGCTGCATATGGAAATACTCTCACCATTTGCGCTCCATTACCTTTATATAATGCAGCAAAACTCTCGCGTTTCACTATTTCTGCCAAACCGCTGAATACTCCTAAAATAATTTTTTTTAAATTATTATATGTTTTAATTATTTTATATTTAGACAATAATAATAGAATTAATTTTATAATTTAAATAAAAAGGTAAAAATGAATAGAAAAAAATTATTTTTTATTTATGAAATTATGTAAAATACTTAAAACCCAAAAGAAGTAGTAGGATTGTATGATAAAATCAGGAATTCTATTATACTATTATAGATGTACGCAATACCTAATATTTTTAAACCAACTGTCACATGCCTTTGATTATACACCTTTAACCCTGACCTTTACAAAGATTTATGTTAAATTCTAATTTAAATAATTATGTAACCAATTGTAATAATCTTATCTTATTTATTATTATTAAGATATAATAAAAACTCGCTTTAAGTGATAAGATTTAAAAGAATATTATTAATTGTACTAAAAACACTATATTAAAAAAAATTTAATTGCTACATTACTAACATGAGTATTAATCTTAGTAAAGCGCAAAAAACAGTTAAATTGGTTTAATTACATATGTATCAATTGAAAAATGCTAGATTATTTAGTACAGCATTACAAATCTACATGATTAAAAGCCTATTCATTTTAAGTGAATTAACTCAACAAATAGAGTTTTAACCCTTTTTAGAGCTTATTAGTCTAACCTTTGCTCTGACCTTGCCTGGCTATAATATTATTAACTCAATGTGAATATGAACTAAATATTTACCAAAACTAGCATAATGTTTATTATGTGCTTGTAACAAGATTTTGATACGATCCAAAGGAGCTACCGTAGTTTTTGAACACATACCAGCAACGCCTAAATTATACAATAAAATAAACATACAATTTCAATTTTGATTGTTGAACAATATTAGAATATATACATACCACCGGCTAGTAAAGATTTCATTACATAAGTAAAATCTTTCTTTTGAGTTTTTAATACTATCACTTCTTTGCTCTCATTAGCTAATGCCATGATGAAGTCGAAAACTTAAATGTTTAATTAACAACAATAACAATGACTCTTTTGATTTTTAAACGTCTGGATAACAATAAACATCTAGCAGTAAACCGGTATTATTGAAAATCGTGGTAACATGAATAACAGGGAACGCCATGGTCCACGGGTTTAATAGCTATGTAGCAGGAATTCAGGATATATCAGCCTGCCACACATGACACAACGATGAGCCTTGAATGTAACTTTCACGACGCTCGATTAACGAGGATTCTCCGTTTACAATTTCTATTATAATTTACAGTTAAAAGGCATACGGTTTACCCACACCACGAGCAAACGTAAACGTATTAGATAACGAGCACAGGACAACATATGCAGCGCACAGTACGGCGCGCCAACGTGTAATGAGTACAAGTAACAAGTAACAACTGCAGTCGGTCGCACGTGACGAGCGATGAACACCGACCAGACAACTGAGAAGTGAAATGTGAATAATACGCTGCTGCCTGCTTTAGTGAAAATGTAAACCCACCTATCTGCGCCCTACCTTGAATATTTTACCTAGACATATCAAAATTCAATAGCGAAAGGAAAAGAGTAAGGATTCACGAGCCATGACCGCGGGAGAAATTTCTTCTGCCTATCTTATGGTCTTATCTATTTTCGATTGACGGCCAGTCGATGCGCGCACGGCGCAGCGAACTTAAACAGGCTGAACTGTGATAATATAGAATCGCTTAGTAATTAGTATACAGCTGCAACTGTATAATATCATTTATTCATATTAAATAAATAATTATCAGGCCCCTTATCCTGATTGCTGTCTATATATTACATACTGTATGATACCCACATATATATTTTCTTTTTCAACTCAAATACTAACTACTATACATAATGTACAGTATTTGGCATACGTTAGTTCCCATTTTCATTTAACAGACTGTATAGTATTTAACCTAACCATGACTAAATAATTTTAGTTTATTTGATCGTGGTGTTTACTATATGATGAGAGGATATGAAATATTAAGAATGTATTTTTCAAAGCTTTTTGTGCGGTTGCGGCGAAGTAGGGGAATGAAATTTCAATTTTTTCAAAAAAAAAACTGTCGAAAATAATATCTACTAATTTTTTTATTAAAAAACATAAAATAGAGTAAATTTGAAGTTTTTGGGGTCGCTAAATTCAAATTTGAAATATTATTTTTAATAATCTCCCTACTTAGGGGTCACGGAAATTTTTTTGAATTTTGAAAACATTTTAAGTTGCATATTAAATTATATGTTTTTGGAGTTAAATTTATTTTTGAAGCCAACTTCCATATTTTTTTATAAATATTTGTATTTGTGTTAATATCTACATTGTAGTAAGTTATAACAAACATATGGAGTAAATACTCCAATCCGATAAGGCAATATTTTTAAATATCAATTTATTTCAGTGTAAGGTAAATATAATATACGTAGAGTATATTTTCAGTATTGGTACCTTATCTTATAAAGTACACTTTCTGAAAATAGACTATAAATAGGGCGTTTATTAGAATAGTGGTCTAACGAACAAATTAAAACATAACTTCAAAATGGTTAACTAATAATATTAACTTATTAAAATTTTTTTTTTTTTAATAATAAAAATATAACTAATTTAATTAAAAATTAATTATTAAATAAGTTAAAATAATAAATGACTAATTAAATCATGAAAATTAATTATATAATAAGTCAAAATAATTATATAGTAATTAAATCATGAAAATTACATCAAATAAATTTAATATAGTTTTTTAATGGTAAAAATAACAGTAGGTGATCTCTCGACTTTAACCCAGCAGTTAGAGTAGTAAAATAAATGTTAAAAATTAAAACTGGATATTTTTATATATTACAGTGTTTAGTTAATAACTACTAAAAATAGGTTTCTACAATAATTAAAAAAAATCTATTTTCGATGGTGTATTTTTAACATTATTCTGGGAAGGTGCAAAACCATATATCTACAAACAAATATCAAATCAAATACACATGTCTTGTATTTATTTTGATATACATTTTTTTTTTATGTCCAGTATACTTCTGGACCCCCTTCCCGTAATCACACCTTTGGCGAATGATATTTTATCATCGGACAACGTATGAGAAGGCTAAAAAAAAAGATTAAGATGATTATATAAATTAATTAACGTGCCAGTTATAATAGTAGAATTTGTATTAAAGTTTAATATAGAAACCGTTTTATTTATTTTTTAATCAGCATAGTTGAGAGTTGCAATGTGCGATTTTTCTCAACGTCAATTTCCATAAGATTTTGCATAGCAAAAAATTAACTAATTAATAACTCATTAAACATTTTTGGGCTTAAAAGTTCGAAGTAAAAAGTATTTTAATAAATAAAAGTATCATTATGTGTTATAAATAATGCATATCATAATGCATACACACGTACAAACAATGTATACATCCGGCGTATTTGTTATTTTCATAATCTCAACACATTTTTTAATTCCTATTTTAGTTATTTAAATGATATAGTATTCCTTAAATAATGTAGGTATACCTATAAATATGTCGTAAAGTACAATAGTATTTATGAAAACCCATTCTGTATTGTATTTTTGTACCTATTAAACGCATAAAATAAAGAATATACAAAAGTAAAATGTATTATGATTGTTGACAAAAAGCAGTTACGTCATGCAAATGTATTCACAGTTTTCACGATCGGATACGAGATAATCGGTGTAAATCGATGTTTACCACATCTATAAAGGTGCTTAGAGCCAGCAACTATTTTTCAGTTTTTAATAATAACAAGCTATGCCTGCGCTTAGTTACTGCTTACAATTTGTGCCTAAAGAATATCCGATAAATTCATTTGCACTTTCAAAATTCACATGTTTAAGAATTGCCCACAAATTAGTCACAGAATTCATATTCAAGCTATTCGAATATAAATCACAATAAATATCTTATATTTTGGCATAAATATGTTTTGTTTAACGCCAGGACTATTACAAGTACCTAAATGTAGGTTGTGATGTCCAATGTCACAATATGTAGATGTAGTAAAAAAATGAATTCAATATTTTCGAAACTCGAATGACTAGTAAATTGAGTGTAAACAATAAATACGAATTATGTTTCAAACTGTAATATGCAAATGTTATTATTTTAATTATTTGTCATTAGAGTGTAGACTAGTTTAATTTTATTTCCTAAAATAATATCTTTTATACCATATAAATTTGTTAATAACAATATAAAAATAAAAATACTAACCTACGCGTTCCCCATACAAATGTATTTAATCTTAAATTTATTTTATAATTGTATTTGTTGATTTATATTTTAAATTAGCATAAATTAACAATTAAGCATAAATTAGTAATTAGCATAAAGATTTTCAAATCTTTTTCGTACAAATGGCATGTAGGTCTAGTGGCATGTTCACGGTTCATAATATTGAACGTTAGACAACGAGACGTTACAGATAGAATAATAAAATGAATACCAAAATCCAAATTTATTGATAACAATATTTTCTGGATAGTTTATTTTATTTTTACCGTTTACCACGATTTTTTTGGTGATATTATCTGGAATCGCGCATTTTACGCATTATTTCTTTTGTATTTGCTGTATGTGGTATGACAACATGCTTACTGTTCGTTGAGATTTGTTGCATTCAACGAGCGTACAAAAATCTGTTTAACTGTTGTCGAGTCCACAATTACTTCTCCATCGGATATTGGCGAATTGGTAATTATTATAAACAATTAATATTTTGCTTAAGAGTAAGTTCTAATGAATTTTAATTGTTGTACTATTACTGATTTTAGTACCCTTACATTTAAAATTGTATTTAATAATTTGTTGGATTTTGTCGAAAATGAAGTTCAAACAGTTCTTAACGAACAGTTGGCGTCTCGTTAACTCCAATGGATCGCTCATTAACAGGTACTTGGAATATTATGTACTTTTTACTATTAACCTGTAATAGACCACTATTTATTTTCTATATTAAATTATATATGCAATGTATAGGTCTACAAATTCAGTTTTGGATTGTTCAAACGCCGGCTATGCACATAAGACTGTTGAAGAAAAGCTGGGATTGCCACCAAGACCTAAAAAGCCTTCCCCACCATTTTTTCAATTTCTACATGAAAAACGGCCTGATATGATGAAGAATAAGAATATGAACCTTATGGGTATAATTCATTTTATAGTTAATAGGAATCCATGATAATGTAGACACATGTAGAATCTACACTGTAGATTTTTAATATTAGTTAATCAAATTAAGTTCATGACTCACATATGCAAAATTGTATAATTAAATGTTTTATAGTTTCTTTAAACAAATTTTTGCTAGAGTTTTGAGTTATTAATTTTATAATCTTCAAATGTATTCATGTCTTTGATTTGTTGCTGATATTTCGGACTTACTGTAGTGTCCATCTTCAGAGCAATAGTCCGCATTCCACTACCTCTTAATTAGTTAAGAAGCAATGAGAGGGGATAATCTTGCTAGGATCTTTTTATGATTTTAAAATCTATATCTTCTCTTAAGTGATGATTTTTCTAGTAAATTGTATTTCCGGAGTACCACCACTGGGTGTCTTCTCTTATCGAGCCATCAAGTGGAAAATTATATTATGTCTATTTTATCATTTACGCCTATTGTACATAAAAATTGTATAGATTGTGTAATAAAAATAATAAAAGAAAAAAAATTATATTTTCTCATTATGCAAACCTCATTAATTTTTTATGATCACTAAATTGTTTTTTAGATGCTGTTCGAAAAGTCAGTGAATTGTGGAAAAATATTGATATCGATATTAAAAATAAAATGATTGAAAACTACAATAAGGAACAGGAACAGTATAAAGAAATTATAGAAGCATATAACCAAGGTTTAACACGTGAACAAAAAAATGAATTGAGTCGAGCCAAATATAAAAAGACACAACTGAAAACTAAACGCAAAATTAAAAAAGTGTGTACAGACTTAACAATTTTACTAGGAAAATTAATACTACTAAACTAAAATATATAAGGATCCCGGTTAAAGTTATTTATTCATGGACAAAATATAGGCAATATTTGACAAAAAAAATGGTTTTAATAAATTTTGACCATGCCTCTTTATTTGTTTTTGCCTTAGGGTATAATTTTTTAACAATTATTTCTACGAGTTTTATCTATATTAGTGATAAAAATTTGTAACGTTTCAAAGAATGTTTGGATTTTCATAATTTTTTTGAAAAAAAAAAAAATATATTTAGTACATAGATCCCCAATTTTTTTAACTTAAATTTTCAAATATTTTTAATTAAAAATATAAGGCTAATCGATTTTTTAACTATATGTTTTTCCTATTATTAGTAATTAACTAAAAAAAATAAAAATCCATGCTAACTATATACTCTGTTCCAAAAGAGAACATACCGATTTTGCGCATGACGGCTGGTGGCCACTGCGTGGCAAATTTCTCCCACTTTTGCCGAAAGTACCTAATGGTCTCCAGACATGGAACCTAACCGAAGCATGTCTTTGTGGGAGATGCGCACTGCTGAATGTAAGCCGGTTGCCGATCAGTGTGTTCTCTTTTAGAACGCACTATAGAAAATTTGATTTAAAAAAAATTTGTAAGGCATGTTTTTGAGCAAAAAATCAGGCTGAAACTGGGCTTATTAAAGCAATTAATTTATATGTCAACAGTATATTATCATGTATTTGAATAAAGTATATTAGTTGATAATATTTTTTTTTTTCAGGAACAAAAAGAACTAGGTAAACCTCACAAACCTCGTTCAGCATATTTGATATTTGTTACTGAGCGCATGAAAGATAGAGGAAACACCCCTGTTCAAATTTTTATGAAAACCGTGGCCAAGGATTGGCAAGAATTGGACACAAGCAGCAAAGAAAAATATAATGCTATAGCTTTAGAAGAAAATAATAACTATGTTTCTGCTCTTAAAGAGTGGGAAAATTCTATGTTAAAAATCGGAAGATTTGATTTGGTAAGAATAAATGTAACTTCTTCCGTTGAAAACAACAATATTAAAAATGTAAGTCAAGACTGAAAATCATTTGCTTTAATTCCTTATACAAATGTGTTTCTGTGTGTTATTATTTTATTAGTTTAGTTTAGTGGTCCATAAATATATATTTTTGAATATTCTCAGTTATAATTTTAATTTTCATTATTCTTATGTATTACGATAAACAATATAACTCATATTTGGTCAATTTCCAAAATAAATATTTTTTCAATTTATGACAACTATTTTTTTGTTGCTTTTTCAATATTTTGTAAAACATTAATCTTCATTTTCGTTTATAACATTGATGATGTTATGTTAACTGTGATTAAGTATCTATTTTCATTTAAAATACATTAAAAATTTGTAACAAGTTAAATCATCATCTATTGAAAAACATTTTCTATGTAAACTTTAATTTTTAGTCAAATTCAGTATGTTTTCTGGCCTTAAGTTCTTGGTTGAGCTGACTAATAAATTTATTGTACATCTCACAATATAAGGACAAGACAATTATTTTTATCTGTGCTCACAACTCTACTGCAACTACCTTTTACCCGCTTATTTAAATGTTAAGCTTCTGAACTCGGAAGAATTTATTCAAATCTTATTGTCAACCATCCTCTAAAGAATTGTTATCCCGATTTTGATTATTAAAAACAATAAAAGGTCATTAGTATTATTTTTAATTTTCACGCAAAATTAAATGTATTAATTAATTAATTAACTATAAACCAATAAACTGTATAGAGAATACAAAATTAAAACAATTGTAGCCAGAAATTTATTTTTGAGGAGAGGAGGACACTAAGTATTAAGGTCAAAGTGATAGTATATATTTTACAACAGTTGACAGTTTGTGTGTCCACCCTTAAATATTATTTAAAAAAAATCGAGGGGGGCACGTGCCCCTGGAATTATATAATCAATGGTAATAATGCTATTTACTAAGATTATGCTAAAAGTTAAATATAAGGAATGTGCATTTTCAAATGGGGCCAACGATTATGGTTGATGTATTGTTGGCATGTCTACAGAATGTTTAAAACCGAATTGTGTTGGATTCAGTAATTTTTTAGGAAACCGCAGTAGGTAAAATCTACCTTGACAGTTTGCAATGAAGCTAAAAATAAATAAAAAGTAAAAATAAAGTGTTTTCCTAATGAACAATTGTTATTTAAATACTAGAATTGTTTTATAAACAGTAACTCGAGTAATAATAACAGTACGTTTTGTAGACTAATAGTATTATAGTTAAAAAAAAAAAAATAGTAACTATTTTTAATATTTTTAATTTCATTTGAAAATTGGGTTTTATGTACATTTTGCTGAACATTTTTTGAAATAAATACATTTAGAGTTATATATAATAATAAGCGTAAAAAAACTATAAAAGGAGAGATGAGTTGATAATCTAAGAAAGTGTACCAATTTTAAATTGGGTAAGATAAATTGACATGAAAGCCTGGGAGTTTAATGCTAGATTTATGAACGTGATATAATACAACTTGTCTAATACTTATTAAAAAAAAAAAAAAATAGAAAAAATTTAACCAATCATCATTATATACTTTTAATTCATAATAATATGTATCATTTATTATATACTTTATTTCCCAACCTCAGCCATCGGAATCATACATGGAAAGTACGGAGGGGGCTTAAGGCTTTAATCCTAGGATACTTTCTCTAAATACGCCACTGAGTAGACACCAGTGGCGTGCACAGGGGGGGGGGGGTGATGAGGGATACATCCCCCCGTGGGCCTTTTTTTTATACTTTTAATGTGACATGTTCATCAACAGACAACATACTAAGTAATTTTTACGTACTTGTTGAAAACAAAATTTATTATCGAAAATATGTGCTGTGGTGATAATTGATACCAAAGACCAAGGGCGCCCGCAGTTGAAAATTCGGGGGGGGGGGCCGCCTATGATTTTGTAATAGATTTTTCAAATTTGGGTTATTGGATATACATTTTTTAACTTGCGGAGAAGCTAGGGGGGGAGTTGTCCCCCCTGCCCCTCTTTGTGGGCACCCTTGCCAAAGACATTAACCACAATTACATGACATTATTTATGACATCCCCCCCCATGCAAAATTCCTGCGCACGCCTCTGGTAGACACTCTGTATAATGTGTTTGTTTCAACGAAAATACACATTAAAAAAAAAAAGAAAAACTATTCTTTTATAATATTTTTTATTGCTTTTTTTTATGTTGCGTGTCAACCTGCCAAAAACTAGTATAACGAAATCACGCTGAATGAAATGTTTCATTTATCATATTGACACTAATGCATAACATAATACACTGCATCAATGAACTTCTGGCACTGATGGAAAAGTGATCAGGATTGTTTAACAAATGCTCATTGGTTGTAAATAACACCGAATAGTTGTAAGATGTAACAAATAGTTTACAATATAGACTGGTGAAAACATATTTTTAAATCTACCCGGTTACCCTTCATCACACACCTGTCTGTCAAAATATTTCAGTGGCCGACTTCAACTCCTTGGACTCTTTCCATGTATTGCTCTTTGACTATTTGCTATTATATATTCGCCCGAAACCTAAATAGACAGTGACAAAAGTAGACGTGTTTATATAATATGTTACATTTCAATAGTGTATTGTTATTATATAGAAAACAATTATCAAGGTACCTAGGATAATAGTATAAACATTTAAAATTTTAATACTCATCATATATAACTACTACTTTGTGTAGTTTCAACTATACAATATTTAATAATGTATAAAATATATAATAAATATTATGTACTAAAAAATTAAACGTTATTGTTTTGTTAATTCTTCTAGTTAGTTTTAAAATAACTCCAGAAACGGTAACAATGAAAACATGGTTAATATAAGAAGCTAATAGTAATTAAATTGTACAACCCGATTTAAGAACAATAACCAAAATTAGTCAATTTCTTTGCGGTTCGCATTTTGCCTTAATTATCTTTGACACGTCTTTTATTAATTATTTAGTCTAGTTGGTTTATTTAAAATTACTTACAAAGCTGTAAAAAATAGTCGTCTTTTGATATTTCCAGTATGTTTTGTACGTTTGAAAAATTGTATACAATTTATTTTGAGTACTATGTTTGTATTATTTTCAATGTTTCTTTGCTGAATTTAGAATTGGCCTTAAAATAAATATAGAACATGTATTTTTTTTTTTTTAGACAAAAGAAAATTAAAACCATTTGTGTGTTGTAAGTTTTTTGCAACTCTAAAGGCGATTTCTAGACGTATTTGACAAAATCTGTAACCAGATGTTAAGATTTGGATTGAGCGGAATAGTAGAAGGGCAGAGAAAGAAGGGTTCATGACAATTTTTTAGGAGAGCAAAAACAAAGTTAGTTTGCGCGTACAAATCTGTACGTCAACCTTTTTAAAGCGCTAAGTTGGCCCCACTTTAACCTCTCTTTCACCAAATGGTTTTCGACGTTTAATAGTAGACCCAATGTTTGGTGTGATTATAGTCTAGAAATTGAAAAAAATGGACTATTACCCTTCTTCCCCTGTGCCCTTCAGTTGTACTTTGGTTCTTGTTCCAAAAATTGTTAAAATGTTGTACAACTTTATTTTATATATGCAATTAATTAATCATTTATGACATATTAAGTACAATAATAGACCGACAATTATTATTTTGTACACATGTATGTCAATTCCACGTGATATATTTTTTTCTTTTTTAAGGTCTACCGGTACCTATATACCTAATTGGATCCTCTGTAATTGAGTCGGTGCTTAGAATATAATGTTTCAAACTTTAGCTATCCCACAATTTATCTACCATTTTTCAATACATTAACGGCTTTGTAAATGATGTCAGTAAACAAATCTGGTATACAGCTTGGATACATCCAAAAGCGATAACCATTGCGAGTAGAGATGTATAAGTGTATAGCTTTTTCTACTAGTCATTTTCAAAACCATATCATCTAGCTGTTGCGGCGCGATTTCTCCTAAAAAGCGAGGGAGGTTATAAACGCCGAAATATTTATTAATTATTTCTCCAGTTACTTAATGTAAGAAACAAATAGATTTGAGGGTGCTACTCTAAAGTATGGGTATTAAGCACATTCAAGCTCCCCTACCGCCAAATTGTGTTTATGGCTACTTACAAAAAATTGGAAACGCTTCGTTATAAAAGTACTTCAACCATACCCGGACGTAATTTCGTTTGTCAAGCGTCACGCTTAATTAATTAAGAAACCGAGTAGTACAAAAAAAAATATGAAGGTTTTTTTTTTAGTTTGACTTTTAAGTACCTATACTAATTTTTAGAGTAATGAGGACGTCAAACACGGGTCGTTTGTTGTAGTTTCAATTTGAGAACATTATTCGATTTATGTGCAAAGTGACGTTACATGTTTTGCCAACATAAAAGGCATTCATAGTAATATATTTTCATATCTGTAGAGGTGTAAGTAATATTAGGCCAGCGACAAGCCTATCTATTTTTACCGTACATTTTCCATGGGTCTTCTAAGCTTTCCCCTCCAATAAGTGCAAAGGACATCAGACAGCTATTACCTAGCTAGGGATTCGGACAGCCATCTTCATCAGTATTACACCGTACTCGACTTGTTAATATAACGCAGAAAAAATGGTAAGTGTAAGATCAAATGTATGACCAAACAATAAAATGGTATAACATTATTGTTTATTTTTTTATCTTTTAGGAAGAAGACGAACAAAAATTAGCAAGTAAGAATTTTGACGTTTTTATATACCTACACCGCATTATTTAAAATACAATCGTTTCAACGTAGGCTGTTCAAATGAGGTAATTGTAATTTGTAAACCAGTGAGGTGCGCTAATGTGAATGCAATTTTTCTTCTAGAAAAACTAAAAATATCTTTATTTACTTTAATTGTGTAATACATTACACAATGTTATAGAATATAAAAAAAATTCAGTTAAAATAAAAAATGGTCGATTATTATTATTTTTTTAAAACCTATTTACATTCGCCTCACGATGTTACAATATTACCGCATTTGAACTTATAATTATAATTGCCTTATAACATTAAAATTAGATTTCAATATTTTATTAAAAATTTCAACCAAACAAACAAGTGTTTCAACTTGCGTTTCATAAAAGTAAAATATGTTGGTACACTTTTTAAACGTATGCGAATTTGTCAACATTATACAGTACATATATTTACTGCAGTATAAAAAATAAACAAAATTATTTTATAGATAATTATGTGTACAGTGTACATTAAAAATAAAGAGCATTTTTAAAGGAAACTGTAGGGACGGACTGGACTGACAATGTCCTCTAGTGGGTAAATTTAAAGGCGGCTAAACCAATTAAACAATTTTTATTTTATTTATTATAGAACCGGCCAACGAGACACGAATATAATAATATAATAAACTGGCCTCGTAATCTTAAACTCGAACGGTTTTATGAGGATTGGTCAATCCTCCCTGGCCCAGTCTAAGAATAGTTTAGTGTCAGTTTAACAATTAAACAATTGAGCCTTTACAGATAATTATTAACATTATAGTTATCTATTGTTGCTAAATTCGAATAATGTGATTATTAAATTAAAAAACTACAGTCTACAACCATTATGGCAATGCAAAAAATAATTGAAACATTTCACTAAATTTGTTTTTACCTCAACATAAGTTTTTACTTACTGTGAAATAAATATAAAATTAAAAAGTAATTTTTTCAAACCTTTTGTTCATTGGTTATTCTCAAATACTGACTCCTGACACCGCTCGAATATTTAAATTATATTTAATTGAAATATATTATATATTTTCAATGTTAATTAACCCTAATTCAAAGTTGTTTTAAAACTACTTTTATGTAGCAATATTTAACTCACAGCGACCAAGCGGCCATAATAACAATTTAAAAACAGATAGCTACGCAGAACCCGTTTTGCTCATTCCATAATATAGTTTTATAGGAAAAACATCTATTATCAAATTAATAGAATATATTTCTGTGAACTAATCGTTTGCAGATTTGTGTAAATTTAAACGGGTTTTTGAACCGTAGAACATATTGTACACAAATGAAAAATCTACTTGTTATATTTTTTTTTAAACAGCTATAACTTTATTAATAAATCAAACATTTTAAAATATACCAGAGTACTGTAGCCATAGGAATTATTATATTTTACAGGGTTGATGATAGGTAAATGTTTTTACTATAATACTACACGTATGTATGTGTTTCACATAAACAAGTTTAGGGGTTACGTCCTCTTAATACTCCTAATTTCGATTTAAAACATAATTATTCTTCAACAGTTCTAGAAGCAATTATTAAAAGTAAAAAAAAATCAGACAAGAGGGTTTATTTTTAGATGACCCCATAATGTAAGAAGACGGTAGTGATGATAAAAAAGGTGGAGAATCAGCGAATTATATACATTATAATAATAATGACATAATGTCGACAGTTAACACTGGGCTATTTAGTAACAATTTTATACAGACACAAACCATTTTCATTTATAATTATTTTGAACAACTGTTATCTATTTTCAGTCATGAGAAAAGCTTTCCAAATGTTTGATACTAGTAAATCTGGATTTATTGATACATTAAAAATCAGTACAATTTTAAATACAATGGGGCAGCTGTTCGATGATTCAGAATTAAATGAACTCATAGAAGAGGTCGATCCTGATGGTAAATGTAAATTAAATTTTAAAAAAATCTATAAAAAATAAATGGAACTGTACAAATTATTTTTATAGCATCAGGAAAAGTCAATTTCGATGGCTTTTGTAAAATAGCAGCACATTTTCTTGAAGAAGATGACGCTGAAGCTATGCAGGAAGAATTAAAGGAAGCTTTTCGGCTTTACGATAGAGAAGGCAACGGATACATAACTACAGCTACGCTCAGGGAGATATTAGCTGCTCTAGACGAAAAACTAGGCCCAGAAGATTTGGATGGTATCATTGCCGAAATTGATACTGATGGTTCAGGCACGGTCGACTTTGATGGTATAACATTCATAAAAATTATATATATATTTTTTCAAATTAATTACATTTTGTTTTGTTTCAGAGTTCATGGAAATGATGACTGGTGAATAGAAGAGACAAAGATATTTTTTCTTAATGGGTGTTTTTTTCAATGGATTAATGTTATTACAAAAATAAATAAATAAATGCAATTGAATTTTTTTATTTATTGGTTTTAAGTAAATTATTATAATGGTATTGTATTGATTACAAAAAAAAATATTAAAAATAATACCTAATCGCCATATTATATTATATTATATATTATATAAATGATAAAGTACACCAATTAATTTACTTAGACCCATCATCGTTGTCTGGCTTCTTACGTTTCTCTGGGTTTACTGGACAATCGTCCGATTCTTCCGCACTAATATTTGCTTGTTGTAACGCTCGCACAAATTCTTCCATATTTCCTTGGTTAGCTGCACTGACTGCACCTTCTCCCAAATCGAATTGCTGTACGACAGATCCAAGTTGACCCGTTTGCAAAGCATTACTGAACATACTAACAGCCTAAATATAAAAAATTATATATCTTTATCAATCGCTTTAGTTTCGTGTTTTACATTAGTTTGTTAAAGCATTGGAACATAAGAAGAGTGACCAACTGTAAATTTTATTTTGAAACTATTAACTGTATTGCTGATCTACCTGTCTAAACTGAGGTGAGGTAATGGTGTCTTTTAATGTATCAGGAGTTGTTTGGCTAGTGGATTGTGAACCAGAAGTGATTTCTGCTACAGGTAAATGTTGGGCTAATTGACTCATGGCACTTGTATTTTCAATGACGCTTTGTAAATTTTCCATATCCATAGCAGCCGACAAATCAACTATATTCAAACAAATAATACATTTCTAATTTTTTATTTTATACAATAAAAAAAAATTACTGCTTAAAACTTAGAGTGTTTAATAGTGGATAGTATAATACAAATTTTTCTTTATTTTGTTTGTCAATCAATGATAAACGTCAGCTTCAGATATTCTTCGAACAACTACATATTTCTTTAAACTGTTTAATTAAAGGACATATAGTTTGATTTGTATGTTTTGATAATATTGTATACTAAATAATTATTTAGATTTTACACTTTAAGTCTTTTAGAAAAATATTTCTGGATGACAAATAGAAATTTATACTATGTAGTTAAAATTTTTAACATTTTACAGGCAACTCATTGCTAAGTAAATTTTTGTTTATCATATCTGTTGATGTTTTTAAATTTGGTCTAAAAAGTTTTTGATTTGTTTTACTGTAGATAATGCTAGATAGCTAATGTTAGTAGTGTACTTCAGTCAATTTTTTTTTATGTAATAAAAAAGTACAAAAATAGCATTCTGATCCGGTAAATGGACTTATTGATCCAGTTATTTTGATCAAGAACTTATGGATTTTTAGGCGTGACATATTGATCCTGCGTGGACAATTTGATTTTTACGTTATCTTTGCACTATACATCGCAACGAATACTGCCGTCGTTCCGTCTTACCTTGTCCTTTTTTTTTTAAATGATGGATTTAAGAATCAAAATGACCTCGGATCAAAACATCACCTTGCCTTCTGATCCATCACTAACACTGACCGAAATTCCAGTTGAATTTCTTGACAAAAAATAAGATTTCATTCCAAATACTTATCAAAAATTTGAACATACAATAAAAATGTATTGTAACTTTAAATAAGTTTTAATTATAAAAATTCCATAGTCTAAATGATTTAAGCATTACCCTATAGGCTATAAGTATAATGAAATTGGTCGTTACTTGAGTTGATTTATTTAAAAAATTAGATGCGTAGTTAATAAATTACACATAAAATAAATAATACTGGTGGGAATTGTTCAAATATTTAAAAATAAGAAAATAAAGTAATCGAATAACCATTATTTCATTTGCTTTAATCAATTATGCGTGTAGTTTTTCTAAGGTAATTCAGTTTGACTTTTGACTTACTCTCTTGTACTCATGCACCTTCCAAATACATAATCGAACACGTAAATCAAGTCTGCTGCCTATCTTTAAAAAATACACAACATTAAATGTATACCTGGAGGTTTTTCAGCAGTTCCTTGAGCACCCGTTAATCCTGATAACATTGATTGAAGATCCCTCAACTGAATGCCAGTAGCAGATCTCTGCTCTTCTAAAAAAAAAAAAAATGATAATACATTTTCTACTGAAATTGTGTAATACATTGTAGACTTGGTCAATACCATTCGGTGTGACTGTACTCGCTGTGTTAGCAGTTGGCGAAGGTGGACTACTGGTATTCGTAGAACGATTGCTACCGCTGTTTGCATTAGAGTTACTGCTAGTATTTGTGGGTTGCGCAGTAGACGATTGGGAAGTCGATGACCGACCCGTCTGGCTAGATCTAATTAATATAAATATGAAACCATTATTAGGTATCGATGAGATAAAATTACAAATACCTTATAAAAAAATTATATTCAATTAACAACATTACGATTTATGTAATTACCTAATAAAAATTTGAAATATTTGTCATTTAACTATTTTATCATTAATTTATGTATTACATTAAAAATGTATTATAAGTTTATAATGCTTGGGTATTTTATCATATTTTTCTTTGAACATATATTCTCTGGATTTGTATTAAACATACCTCATTGTACCGAGTAATGATGACAAGCCTCCAATTTGACCGACGCCACCAAACAATTGCATTAATTGCTGCTGAGACATGTTACTCAACAAATTTTGTAAATCGCCATCTAAAGTAATCAAGGATAGAAAAAATAAGTTTTCGGTATGAAAAACAAACTTACTCCATATCATCTAATATTCAAATAGGATTGAACTATATAAATATTGTTGTAAGATACTTATAAATTTTTAACAAATTCAAACTTCTTACCGGGTGTAGTTCCACCACTGCGGTTTGATCCTGGCGCTGGAGGGTTATTCATAACGTCGTTAATACGTCTACAATTTTCATCATCTTTATCAGTTTTTGCCTCCTAAACACAAAACAAATTATTTAAATAAAATAAAAAAATTATGGAAATACTGTACTTAATACATACTTGTAGCCAAAAGAACGATTTTTTATTCGATGACTTGAATTTTAACAAATAAACCCTTCCAGTTGTACATTGTGGTACATGTTTGAATTCACAATCGTCAGGAAATATGATTAAATCCTATTGCACAAGTGAAATATTAATAATTTGTATCAATGTATTATATTATTATAACATAATGGACTAATTTAAAATATTCTTTCTCATGAATTTAACTTACTATTTCTCACTCAATATTCAGATAAACACCTATTTTTATAAACCTCTAAACTAAAGTATAAATTTAAATTACACATTTTTGGTGAAAACGATAAGAGAAGGCACGTGTATATAGATATGTGTACGGTCTATTGATCGTTAAATCTTGCTCTTTGAGTGTTATTCCAAAACAATTAACATTTACATTTAGGGTCAACTTGTAGATTTCAATAATAATACTTACGTCTTCAACAACGCCAGATGTACGGTCTTTCCAACAGAAATGAATCAAAGAATCATCTGACTGATGAATGTACAAGAGTCCCTTCCTTTTATCCGGATAGACCATTTTACCTCGCATAGACATTTTTCCAGCTTTAAATTCCACAAGATTTTTGGATTGGTTCCTACCAGCAGTGTTTCCAAAAAGTGCTGTTGCTCCTGACATGTTTCTAAACGGTTTTAATATGATTTAAAAATGACAAAATCAATTAACTTAGGTTATGATGTATGTTTTTCGTTCAAATGACACAAAATAAGACTACTAAGGACCGATGATATTAGAATTAATTTAAAGAATACAATTAATCAACCAATAGGAGTAATAATATGTAATAACTATATAATTTACGAATTTTGCATTATCACGATGTCCGACGAAGACGTGACTTCTGACTTTACAGTTTACCAGTGTAGCCTTTTAAACAATTATTTTCAGTGTCACACTTTCTACATTAAAATAAATGCGTATTTTGCAGTCTGTCGAAACGCTACCTCTCACCGTTGTCGCGCGAAAACATCTGCAGACAAAATAACAAAATGGCACTCAACAAATTGTGATTTTACATATACCGAAAATTAGACATAAAGGAACTCAACAAAAAACGGTATAGTAATAGTCTAATATTAGTCTATATAAAAAACCATCTCACAGGGGCACAAACTATACATTATTTATATATAACGCACGATTATCGTTTGTGGAGTGATTATGTATGTCGGTTGGAATTCCCTTCACGCATTTAAAATTACACTCCCTAAAGTGCACTTGTTTTGAGAAAATTGCAATTTTCAGAATTTTACCTTCACTTAGGCTGTGCCCTATTTCACGTTTCTACTTACACGGGAAGTGTCTTATAATTTTGATGAACGAGTCGGTCAGTAACAAAAATGCAAACTTTGAAATTCACCACTTTTGAAAAGGCTTAATATTATTAAGGGCTCAATTTTTTTACAGTGTCCTAAGATACTTAGCTGATTCTATGTTTCAAATTTCAAAAGCCTATCTTAAGAGGAAACAGAGATACGAGAATGAGAAAAACCGGGTGAATTGGCTCATGTAAAGATAGACTGGCATTGCTGGACTTATCCTGGCACACACACATATCTATGCCACTAGGTATAACTCGTGCTGACTGTGTGTGTTAAAGCAGTTGAGCTCAAAATGTAAATTGTCCTTGCTTATTTAAACTTTAGCTAAATGAAGAGTTCTTTGCATCTCCTAATCACATTTTCAACTATGGATTAAAGCTTTTACTTTTTGCTATTATTTAGGCAATAAACAAAAAATTTGTGAGTGTTATGAATTTGGCTTAACTATAAGAGTAGCCTATTAACACCACTCGGATCTCACAGGGAATACAAATTGTATTATTGGCAAAAGATAATACTGCCGAGTTGGCTGTCTAAAGCTGAATCTCATCTAGAATAAAAATCTTTAAAAACAGAAGCCTTTAATATACTTAAGTTTTATACATTTTTAATTAAAAAAAAGTTATATATATATATATATGAAACAAATTCAAACATATACATTTTTATTCACATGATTACTAAAACAATACATAATTACAGTTCTTAGTTTATTCTGGTTTTATAGAAGTACTTTCAAAGGTAGTCACAGCTTTCTGAAAAAAATTATAATAATTTATAGAAATAATTGTTAATTATAATATATTATTTTTGTTAATTACTTTGAAAGTTTTTTTTACATGGCTGAACATTTTGTTCAATTCATCAATACCTTTCTTGAAGACATCTTCAACGCTATTACCGGGTCTTACTTTTAATCGCACATAAATCCTATTTTCGGATGGGTGTCTAATTGAATAAGCACAAAAATCTGTTTCTGGAAAACTTTCTAAAACGTATGTGAGCAATGAGCCAAGAGTATGTCCTTCGTCTTCAAAAACAAAAGTTCTATCCAATTCGGACGGCATTATTTTTACATCATCTTCTAACTCCTAAACAGAAACAAGACTTAAATGATACAGAAGTAACTAGTAGCAATTATAAAATCAAAGATTTTTATGATAAACAGTCATAATATTATACTCTTTTATTTAATATAATTATAATAATACATAATGTTAAAAATATAGTAAATATTAACCCGTTGTTGTTTACACCAATTAGGTGATCATTAACAGCAAAAAATAATTAAATTAAATAAAAAATTAATTAATTAACTAATTTTTATAGTTTATAGACTTGTTGTTTTGGCCAACACGCAATGAACGACGGGTTAATCTAACTATGGCTAAAATGAAATTACACTAATGTTCCATCCTTTTAACTCAGTACAGTAGAATACAAAAGACAACAGTAACTTCTTAAGTAAATAAGTCATACAAATTAAAATTACTAATAACTATTATTAAGGTAATTTTAAAGTAATTAAAACATACTTCAATAACACTAATTAATTAGTTAGTAAGTACTGTAGTAATGTGATGAAAAATAAATTACATGATAGTGGTAAAATCATTATTTTTAAAATTGTTTAATTGGTTACATTTTTTTTTTTTTATGTCAGTTGGCTACATATTGGTTTGTAGCAAATTAACTCGGTACACATGCCAAAATTGTTTTTTCAGTTTTCTCGAAAAACGAAAAAACTATGAATGGCACGTAAATTAGAGCAGTTTTATGTTGCTTATATAGCTTATACTTACAGCCATTAAGAATATGTGGAATGTAACTACAATAGAATTAATATTTTGACATCAACAGTTGAGCTTTCTTAAATCATAACTCGTAAAATAAGCTTTAAAATATAAATTATAATTTATAACGCACCAACAAAAACACATGTAGACCTGAACAAATGAAGATAATGCGTCTCCGCGAAATGCGTCTCCGAATGAGACCGGATGGTCTCATGAGCCGCAGCCCGTATTATCTTTTACCTATTATCTAATATCAACTTAAAATTTGTTCAACATTTTATTGATAAGAGTTATGCGAAGAGATTACAATAATATTATTATTACATTTTTAAGTTGGGCACCTTGGTAACAAAACACTACAGAGTTGACCCTGAACTGGTAAATACCATGGTAGCCTAATAAAGGTATATCCGCAACTCGGTATAATTATAAAATGGCCGGTGAGTGTATACTATATTGCATAGATATATATAATTATATGTATCTGTGCTATCTTATTATTAAAATGAATATCATGTTTGATAATAAAAGTGTTGCCTTACCTTGTGTCCGTGTGTATTTTTTACAGTTAAATTCAAAATACAAGGTGTTGAAACCTACAGCTGTCCAGATTCCAGAGTTCAGCCGTGAGCCGTCAGTCTCCATTCTTCAACGAACATCCGCATAACGTTAAACGTATTAATAATTTATTATCGTGATCTGTGACTAGTCTTGCAACCAGCAAAATAAATTTATACAATACAAAACTAAGAATATATTTGGTCTTTCGGGCAGTATAAATTGTAAGTTACTTTACTTCAATACAAATTAGAAACGAGTCATTAGTTTAATTCAGTTAGTCGTTAACGTTTTAAGCTTGATGAATATGAGCCGCGACCGGCTATAATTATTTTTAGGTTCGGTAAATTACAGTATATTAATAGGCCAATAACATTTTTTGCTTAAATATGATAAATTAATAATTGAATTAATTTGAATCTAACTAATTAACAGATTGTTCTTTAGTAAGAGTTAGTAGACTTGTATAATATGTCCAATTCCCATGAATCTTTACATGGCTTAGGAAAAATAATATTGTAAGTAGTTTATTATGTTATTTATTAGATAGGTAAACTTGGCAAAAATATTAGTATAGTAAACATGCAGGTAATGTTTATTAATTATTATAATAACTAAGTATTCATTTCATTTGTCGGCTTTGTGACCTTCACGTTTAATTAAGAAACGAAAAATGTTTATTGCATAGAAATGAAGAATTAAACGAGGTTTTTACATTTTCATTTATTATTAGTATTAGTTTTTGACAAAATTATATTAGAAGAAGAACTCTATGCTGGATTTTAAAGTTAAAATGTGTATTTTATTTAGCCACAATACTTCATAATTTTCACTCGAAGACCATTTTTTTTTTTTTTTTGCAGGAAAGACCAATCAATCAATTTGACAGTATGGCTCCAAAACTAGTAGTGGGTCAAAATAGACACAAACTCAGTCAACTGCATTCTGACATCTATTTGAAAAAAATGAACCATTACATGCTTCTCAATACAAGATTGCGGAAACGTATTACACAATACTCCATTCAAAATAGACAGCTGTCAGGCACTAGAAATAATTTATTACTACAAAATATGACATTAGAAAAGGAACTTAATACTCTGAAGAACTCCAATGTAGTACTTACCGCTATGTACCAAACTGTTAGTAAAAAATTGAAAGACTTGGAACAAACATTGAAAAGTTGTGTACCAGCTATTGTGACTTTGTCACAGTTTATTCCTAGTATGATGCAAAATGTTCATGAATTACTAAAATTTGATCAATTTGATCAATTTTGTAGCAATGAAAAAACAGAACAGAGTAAAATGGTTAGACCAAACCTAATATCTAAGACAAAGGTGTCAGTATTGTCTAACCATTTGAGCATGTCTCCTATTATTGAGAGTGCTACTCCCGAACAGACTCCAAAGCTACGAAAAAGATCTTCCAGCTTTAGAGGCTCGCCTCAGCAAAAACTAAGTTCGGAATCTTATGTGAGGTTAAAAGATGTTGCCCAATTGTTGAAGAATTCTAAATCTGTTCACAATGAAAGTTCACCAAAACAGTCTGTTAGTTCTTGCGAAGAATTAAGCTGGCTGTTTCAAGAAAGTCAAGAAATCAAAGAGCCTAGAAACTCCATCAATAATAATAGTACAGAAATTCCTAATAGTTCAACTCCGACGAAAAATGAATGCTTCGCAAACGATTTTAATAGCTTAAACGCGTCTGTCAGTAGTACAAGTGATAACCATACAACTAATTTTTCATATGAAAGTGATAATACTTCTAATGGTAAAATACTTACACCAGAAAGTAGCATTTTAAAAAACATTACTTGTCGTAGAAAAATAAATCGAAGGTCTAGTGAATCAAGTACCTGCTCAGAAGTAAACGATTCCATATCACTTCATAGGACAAGAAGAAATGCTACGAGTAACGTGAGTTATAAGGAACCTTTATTAAATAAAAAACTTAGAAGGGCTAAATAAGCAATAATTAAAAGTTGAAATGATTAAATAGACAAGAGAAATTTTTAACATTAAAAATGATATAATATTGTATATAAATTATATAATTTATATTTTTAAAAAAAAGTGTATTTATGTTTTGCAAGTTTAAATAGGTATTGATATCCTTAGGTTTAATTATTTAATAGATAAACTTTGTATACATTTATTTTAAATTATGAGTCTGTAAAAATTGACTATTAATCATTAATTGTAATTTGTGTTTTTTGTAAAATTATATTTGTATTTAAAAATAAAACATTGCAATAGAAATAAATATATATATGTACTACAAAAAAATAAAAATAAAACAGTTATATTTGACTACTTGTGTGCGATTAGTTGGTACTTGAGTTACAAGTTATACTTAGTTGGAGAATTGCTAAATTTGGGAGGGCAACGCTATAAAAGCAAATCCTACAAATTAGACTCATACATGTAAATAATATATGTTATGATAAATTTTTTAAAAAAATTGAACTATTATTTTTAAAGAGTTAGTAGTTGTAGAGTAACCAGTCTATTTTTGTCGTGTAGGTTAATCTCTACACAATACACACCAGCACTCCCAATTCATAAGGAACTTTACTTGTAGATAATTGAACACACACAAAAAGTTAAACATACAGAACTTTTTAATTAAATGCACGCATAGTATAATGAATACAGAACGAAAAACGAATATAACATACTCTAGAATGACACCTATCTGGCTTACTCTGATGTCCACTTCCAAGCACAAATTTAGATAATGAATTATTTGAGTTCAAGGATAATACATTAATTATTAAAATTTTGTTTGACGATTTAAAGACAAACATTTTAAAAGATATAATATAATAATAACATGTATACTGCGACCACGTTAAGATGATGACCGGGTGGCAGACGCGTTTCGGTCAGATCCCTGTCCCGCAATGCCTATACATTGTTTTAATTATGGCACGCGTGGGGTCGCGGTGTTGAAATAGGCTCCTCCTAGTTGCGCGACTGGTCATAGTCTTAACTTGGTCGCAGTATATACATCCATATAGTTGACATTTAGTCACAGAATATAGAACAGATCAAATTATTATTAACCAATTGACTACTCTGTGTTCAAATCGTTTTTTCTTTTAAGAGTGAAGTCTTATTTAAATAATAATGTGACCAGTGAGTAGTGATAATACTCAATAGCCTATGGTCGATGTCCTAAGCAACTTTTACCACGATTAATAACTTCATTCAATGCAGTTGGCATGTTTCCTTCCGTATAACTTGCTATTATTCGATGACTATCACATTTTTTTTGAAGTTTTGAGTAATAATTTAATTTTTTTTAACCGTTCGATACAACGTTTAGATTTTTTAATTGTTTTATTAATTTTTTTTTGCATAGCTTGTTGACGTATTCTGGCAGCATTTAGAGAAGCTTTTAAAGACTTTGGAGATTTTTCGTAACAGTGGTCCAATATGAGAGCTCGCTTGGCATTAGACTTGAGAGTCAAATTTATAGAGGATGCTATTTGTAATAACAATATCATAATTATTACAATGTAAAAACTAATATCAAGTTTTAATAACTCACTATTAGATTCTTGTACAGACGTTAAAGTGTTCATTTTTTCACATTTACAGATAAAAGATAGTCTTATTTCTTCTTCCTTAATATCTGCTAATTTTTTTAAATATAGCTCTCTTGAATTCTGGAGGTTTTGTCTTTTTTTATAAAATTGACAGAGAGTTTGATCACCACAGCAATCTTTAGACTACAAAAAAAAAAAAATTTAATGAATAAATTAGTAAGTAGGTATTTTATTTCTATTCGTAATATTTAAATATTATTAGCAATTTATACTTTGTACTGTTATAATTTACAAAAAAATGGTTACCCGTGAAAACAACTGAACTGGTGAGACACAATTATTGCTAATTGACATTTCAGCAGAATCTATTTCCTGAATAAAAACATTTTATTATAAAAATACTTCTTTCAATATAATTGTATATTAATATATCAATATAAAAAATTACTTTTAAGACCATTGATGAGTCATCCATATTAACAAACATAGAATCAGTGTGGATTTCTTCAATACTTTCATCAAATTTTTCTTCTTTAATACTTTCATCAAATTTTTCTTCTTTAATACTTTCATCAAATTTTTCTTCTTTAATACTTAGTTCATTATCAAATTGTCCTTCCAAATAAATAAATTCAATTTCCTTTAAGTAATAGAAAATGAGTTAGTACTTGTATAATCTTTTCTTTTAAGTTACTTTACAATACCGGTAAAAACACTGAGGGTATAGCTGATGATTTCAACTTTTTTACATTTACCCCTTCTCCGTTATACATTATATCATTTTTCAAAAAATGATTTTGACAGACACTATAAGTTTTCCCTTCCTCAATACTCAATCCTATTTTTTTAATCCATTCGCTTGAGCGAACTTTATCATGAAAAGGTATTCTAAAATAAAACGCAGCGCATTGAAATATGATCATTAAAGACTAGGTTTTAGAAAAATAAAAAATAAGTTTATTTATTATGCTATATTGTATACTTAAACATGGTGAAGCCTTTTTTCTGTTTATGACCACAAAATGGAACACAGCATTTGCGACCCATAATTATATTATAATTATTTAAAACAACACAAAGAATAAAAATAAAATTAATAATTCATCAAGACGTAAAATTCAAAAATGAAATTCACATTAATATTGTGCTAAAGTCGATATTCGATAAGTGAAATCATATTTTATGAACACTTGCATTCAAAACGAGTAAGAGCCAGTAAACATAGATCTATGAAGAAATGGAAATTGGAATTAGAATGGTTATCACTCCTTTCGGCCTTTTCACTTCAATAATCACTATGAAAACATTAAATATATTATAATAACCACGAACTAACATAACATCAATTCGGTTTATCAATATTATCATGCACAAAATCAGTTTAGTTTATCACATAGATAATTGATGTTTGTAACTTGTAATTCTTATTATAAAAGTTTGTAAAAAAACAATATGTAATAACTTGTTAAATGTAATACTAATATAACTATATTATAATAAAAAAAGTAATTTATACTTGTTATAAATGGGCAAGTGAAAAGTAGAAATTATTCATACTACTTATTGTTATTGTTTATTGCCAATTAAGTAATGATGGCGTTTGGAAATACTGGACCGCAATACGAATTATTAAATGGAAAAAAGTAAGGCGCAATAGTTGTTTAAAATAGTTAAATTTTATCTTACTCGACTAAGTAGTAAGTACAATATTTATTTTAATTATTTTCAGGAATTATATTCAGCCAATAGTACATACTTTGGTTCTAATCGGATTAGCTGTCCTTGTGGTTTTTGTTGTAACATTGATGTTTTATGTATCGTGGATGAATTTTGATGATTCCAATGACCAAAATACACCTTTGGATTTTGTAGTTTTTGGTCCGCAAAAATATTCAAGTAAGCCCATTTTTCTATTAAATCTAGCCATAAGGATATGAATTGTAATGATAATTTATACAAATAACATTTCTATATCGGTGATTAAAAAGGGCGTGGTGGACTATTTGTATTGTGGTATTATATATGGCCATGCTCGCCTAACATAGCTTTTGACTGTCAGTAATTGGCTTGTATAGGAGTTCTTTTTTATATAATCATTTAAGACTTAAATTCACATAACTACCTATAACGTTTAAATCTTAATTTATTGTTCAACAACTTGTATAATATACAGAAAACTTAAAATAAAGTTCTACTGATTGTCAAATTTTCCGGGCGAGCAATCGTCCGGTGAAAAGGAACTGCCATCCCCCTCTCCGGTGACGGACTGACGACCCGTCCCGGATAGTAAATTCATCAAGAAACCATATCATGACAGCAGCAATGGGCCTTCATGGCCCGTTAAGCTACATGATGATGAATATGTGTCTAGAAAAATTGAATATAAATAATCGTTTGTTCGATTCGAAAAATTTGCTAAGTGTAAAATTACATGATGTGTATATTACATTTGAGGAGATTAAGTAGCCGATTTGATATGCCGGGTGTAAGGTAAGCAACAGTGTTAGTTAATACTCACTTTCACCAGTGTGACATTGGAGCAGGCAGTTCTTGAGAAATAAATCCACCCTCCCCCTCTTCAACTATTGCCGGCAACCCGTCCTGGATAGTGAATTTGTTAGGAAACCGGCTTTTTCCTAGTAGGAGACAGTGATGGCCCTACAAGGGCTCGTAAAGCTATTTCCGTTCATTATACTTACTTGTGTTTTTCATTCTAGATTTTGATCCAGCTTATCAAAGAGCCAGAGCTTACGCATATGCTGCAAAATCAAGCCATCATGCTCATTGGGCCGCAAAACATTTGGTAGATCTTAATAAACGTATTGATAAAACATATCACTTAGCGTGTTATTATAGTATTCCTACTAATGATTCAAGTGACATTCTTTATCCAAATCAAATCAACGCTACTTTATGCACTCATTTGATAGTTGCTTCAGCTCAAGTGCTAAACAATAGTGTTTATTTCAAAAACCCGTTTGATATTAATGTATGGTATATGATTAAACATTCTATATTAATTAAAAAATAATTGTAATAATTAATTTTATTTTTTTAAGATATTGCAACAAGCTGTACAACTACGTGATGCGAATCCTCAGTTAAAAATCATGCTATCACTTTTAGGTTTTTCAAATGGTACTCATTCTGATGAAGGATTTTCTGGTGTTGTTACTAATACTGAAAATTTAGAAAAGTATGATTGCTAATGTAATAAAACATAATTAAAATAAATAAACAGGTATTAATTGTGTAAAATATCTTCCAGGTTTGTCCATAATGTTGTGACAGTAGTTCAGAATTATGATTTAGACGGTATCGACATCGATTGGGAATTTCCATCGTGGCCTCTATTGAATTTAGAAGAAAAATATGGGTTTGCTAAATTGCTAGAATTATTACGATATCAACTCCCAGATTCACTTTTAAGTGCCGCTGTTGCTGCTCCATTAAGTATTATTGATAATTCATATGAAATTTATGCTTTAGTCAGGTACTTACTATATAAATGATGATAGTTTAATTACTGTTAGCTTATTTTAATATTCTATCGTTTCTTTTAGTTTTTTAGATTTCATTAATGTAATGGCCTATGATTATCATTTTTATCAATGGTATTTTCCAATCACAGGACCAAACTCTCCTCTGTTTTCTTCGGCTAAAGAAACAGGTTATTTTAAAAACCTCAATGTAAATACATCAATACAATATTGGATATCTAAAGGAATGCCAAAAGAAAAGATATTGCTCGGAATGCCAACATATGGTCATTCTTTCAAGTAGGTTTTATCTAGATTAAGCTATAAACAAAACATTTTTATTTTATTTAATAATTTATGATTATGATTTGACTGTTTATAAAAAAATTATTTATGATCTGAGACTAAAGTCTATGAATAAGGCAATACAGTTATATACATATATATATAGTAAGACAATTGTTGAAATGTTTAACAGAAATCTATGCCTTTTTAACTTTAAGATACAATTTTGACATGGATATGTCTTTTAGCTGGGGGTCAATAAGGAAACGTGCATCACGCTGAACGTTACTGAGGAAAATTTGTGCGTGTGGCGTGATCAAAGGTGTGTGATGTAAGTGCACTAACATACTGGCAAACCACGGAAATTAATTTATGAGAAATGTTAAATATTGATAAATACAGCCAGTAAATCGATTAAGGACAGATATTTTAAAATACTAAAAAACGTTTTACCAGAACATATCATTAAGACTATCATCATATATCGCAAGGATCGGAAATAATCATATAATTATCAGGACATATCCATGTATTGATGTATCTGCATGAAGTGTGAATACTAACATTTTTGTATTAAGAAGTCAATTAAAAAATATATATATATGTATAATTTTTTTGTTTAAAAATAAAATAATTTTTTATACGTTATTTATTTTATTAATTAATAAGTTTCTTTTTTAATTTTGGTCAAAAATGATACTAGTCTTATTAATTTATGTACATTTTCTTTAAATAAAAAAAATTTTTTTTTTTTAGGTTAATTAATGAAGACAACCATGATATTGGCTCTCCTGCTTCAGGTTTTGGTATTGGTAAAAACGGCTTTATAACATTTCCTCAGGCTTGTAATTTTATTTCTCACCAAAAAGCTGTTACGATTTTTGATCATGAAACGCGTACACCTTATTCGTATTGTCATAAGGATTGGATATCCTATGATAACGAAAACAGTTTAGCATATAAGGCCGAGTTGGTTGCATCTTTAGGACTAGGAGGCGCCATGGTATTTTCACTGAACACTGATGATTTTCAAGGTTCAAGCCTTTGTTCGTCGACAATGTTTCCGTTAACGTCTAGGATAAAAACCGTGTTAAACGATGACTACTTATAAATAAAAATAACGATGATTTCCTGGCAGCTGTGTAATACAAAACTACACTAGTCACAAATGTGAGGAGTATGAGAAAAGTACCTTCGCTATATTAAAATTATATAATTAATAGTTTTTTTTTATTAACATCACAAATGCGGCTAGTGCGCTTCAAATGACCAATTTATTGTCAAACTATGTATTTTCATTAAGTAAATATTATTTTCCATGAGTTACTCAAATTTGTATATATCACATAACATTCATTTTCCATCAACTACTAACTAAGAACTTATATTATAAAAAAATTATATAATCATATTTGCATTTTTATGAACAATTTTCGGCTGCACCCTATACTTATTATTGTCCATATCATTAGAAAAATAAAGTGCAATTTATATTTTAATATTAATTGTCTGAACGATATACCTATTTTTATTATATTGTATGTTAATGTAATGTGCATCAATCCATTTAAGATGTAACTATGTATTAATCAACATTCCAAGACCCAAGCTATTTTAGTAAATTTTGTTATAATTGTATAAAATGTGTAATTAATTCACCAAGAATTTTTATTTTTGAAAAAAAACACATTTTTAACTAACTTTTTTGTTTATAATGTGAATATATATTTAAAAAAAAAACTTGTGTTATTGAGGTTGTAAACAATTTCTATAGAATATTACTTTGATTTTGGTTGCTATAATTAGCTTCTTATATATTAACTGTTAAATAATTTTAATTGTTTACATTTTTACACAATGATTACATGTTAATTTATTAAGATAATTGTTTATTTTTATTGGTATTGCAAATATTATAATAAACATCTTACTATATTTATATTCTCTATTATGTATATCAATTATAAACTTTCTTTGGTTTATTCTTAAGTCTAAAGACAATTAGAATGTCAAACCTAACGTTAGCCGGTAGGTATACGGAAAATAAAACATTTTTTTTATAAACTAGGTGCTAAAAAAAATGTAATAGATTTTATCGGTTAAATTAATTTTAGCGTACTAAAATTGTATAATAGTTGCAATGACCATAACTATAACCTGAATATTTGTGATAACAAAATTCCAAATGAAATTGTATTTTTATTTAAAAATATTTATAATTATTGTTAAATTAGATTTCATTGCAATTTGTTTCTATTTTGCTTCCTCCAAGAAGAATTTATGGTTTCCTGGAAATGTCTTATCACGGGATTGAAGGGGTTGCTACCACTTTTACCAAATTGCATGAATTACCATTGTCTTGTATTTATAAGGACGGCAGGTCTCAGAGTGTTTTGGCACGAGTTTCTCGGCGCCGTCGCTTCGCTCCGCTAAACTAAAAATATCCTAGGTTTGCAGGTTTAAAATTAAGTTACATGAAGAATTTTTGAAAAGTTAAAAAGACTTGATAAGAAACTGGTCATTAGGAAAAAGTGTCCAATAAGAAATTGTCTTTGGTAAAAGTGGTGTCAACCCGATTGGAGTAGGACAATGATTTGTATTCTTATAAAAATGATAAAACTTGGCATTCTATTTATTTATGCATATATTGCATAATATAGTTTTCTGTTATATTTGTTTAGTAAAATTAAAGTTTGTAATCTTACTTATTACTAAGATATTAGATATTTATATATTCTATATTTAAAGCTATATTAAGACTAAAAAATAAAAAGTTATAAAATAAAATACTGTAGTCTGTATTATTATAATATATTAAATAGATATTAATTATTATAGGTAACACGTGATTATTTTAACGCCCTACACCAGTGTTCTCTTAAATAATTGATATTTTGTTTTTTTTTTGTCTGAAAACACTTTTGTTTATGTTATATTACAATTTTTATCTTTTTTAGTATTTTCTAGGACTCAATTAACTTTTTAAACATAAATGGAAATGTACTTATACATCATTATCAAATGTATACTCACTTAGGAGTTACGTTACGTGGGTGTTAGGTAGGAGATAACTCGGAAGAAAAGAAAAAAAGGTTCAGATCCCCTCCCAAAAATGTCAGCCAATCAAAGTAGTGGTATCTACATTATGACTAAGTCTGTTTTATGCCTCATTCAGACACCGGCCATCTTTTAAGCAATACAAATAAAAGAGCAGTGTTGCTCATGAAAGAATGAATATTAGGTGTGATGTAAGGTTATGAGCTAAAGAAATAGCAGATTTGGTCACAATGTCAATATCACTACTTTAATAGGCTGACTTTTTTGGAAGGTGGTCTAGAACTTGGCCCTTTTTCACTGTTAGGTTTTTGTTGGAGATTCAGATTCAATTATTGCGTTGACCCAACTTTGCTAACTTCTCCTGTACCTACTAATTAATACTGCACAAGTGTAAATCAATATAACCAAGCTTGAACTGTGTTTTCTTTAGTTTTATTCGTTTATATCATATTTATTTATTTTATTTTTGAAATTTAACACAAACGCATAATTAAAATATAGAAAAGTTTTTTTAACACCTCAAAAAAATGTTGACTGGATAACTCGAATATTGTTTTAAAAATAATTTATTTATTAAATAAACATTTCTAAAGTCCCTATCCTACAAATATGTGATTTAAAATCTGCAAGTCTATTTAAATATATTAATATGTGTTATCGTTGGGGTATAGAAAAATCCGTCGCGTCGTATGTTTTATCATTGCAAATAAATTGTATTACAACCAATTTACATACCATGTACCTACCAAGTACAAATCTGTCATCGATTTTGTATTGTGTACTATTTTCTAAAATACCCTAAGTACAAAAATTGTAAAAAAAGATTTAATGTTGAATTTTATGCATATTAAAATTATAATAAAATTAGACTCGCATTAAAGTATTCTTTGTAGACAAAAATGATCCTATTGCATTGATATTTGTACAATATTTTTTTTCTATAACTAATGCTATCAATATAATAATTATGTATTTTTATGATGCGCCCAACTCAGCAATTGTAATGCAATTCCAAAACGTGGATTTCTTAAAAATATATTTACATAATACTGTATACATCCTCGATAAGCCACGTCAAAACCGGTTAAAACCTCTAGTTGAACAGCTAACCTAACGCTTATTGAGCTCTTGCTATAAAGTATATAGTATGTAAATGTTTTTTTACAGTATTGCAATGAGTACAGAAGGTATGTTAATATTTTTAGGCGTTTGTTAAGTATTTATCAAAAGTCTAAACCGGATTTTTTTACACGAAACCGAGTAAAATATGTATTATAAATTTACTACAAAACTACAGTACAGAACGATTTTCCTTTTTGTTGAACATCCTTATGTGAAAACATTTTAATCGCTTCACGTTGACTTAAATTGAAGGTATTTAAGTGTGATTTTTTTTTTAAATATTTTGTTTGCGTGCCGTTCGGATGTTCTTAAATTTACACCTTTCGCCCAATTAATTATACAGGTAATATCATATTAATTATTCTATTTATATATAAAGATATAACTAAATCGTATTTATTTTTCATTGATAAATATAATAATAATATGTGGGTATTTGATGTTTTTAAATTTGACAGCATAATTAAACCTACATAGATAGATCACGTTATATATTTATTTGGCAACCAATATTTGGACTTAATATAACCTATATTAACTATGTATTCGTTGCGTCCATCATAAGGTTTTCCGTAATTCAAGGAGGAAGTGAACTGTGGACCATATGTCGTCGTCGATACTGCATTCTGCAATACCTCTTTAGTCTAAAAGATTAATTTTTTAGAAGATACACAAATCTAATAATATAAAATGTGTTCATAAAATCAATTTGATAGTTGAGAAACGTTTTTGTATTCCAATTTTTATATTCTCTTTGGTTATTAGGCGTAGACCTATTAACAGCTGGTAAATAGGTCTATGATATTATGATACAAGTGATATTATGGTTTTTTTTTTAAGTTTGAAACTAATTTAGGGTTTTTTTGGGGACGTACGAGATATTGCAGTATGGCCGACGCTATATTATTATATATTATTTAATCTACAATAACAGACAAAATACCTGCTATAGCTGCTATTATAATTTAAACGTGGAATTGTGTACTTGACATACCTAAACACCTTTGACCAACGTAAAAAAAAATGAGAGAGGGCAGCGAGACCAATTATTTAATATTTTTTTAGTTATAATATGATTATGCGCGCAGCTGATAACTAACAAATAAGCGATAAACACATATATATATATAATAAACTAGATTGCTAACTAGTGATAAGAATTGAAGCCGACGGTCCGCCATTCTGGTGGGATTTATGTGTGTTATCAATGCATATAATATATATCTGAATATATTATTATATCGATAATATATATATATGTGATTGTTATAAACCTATATTATTCTCGCGTGATAAGGTTCTAATTCCCAACAGGATGGCGGAAAGTGGCTGCTTCAATCTTCTCTATTGGTGGTATATACAGTTAGCTATCTAGTTTATTATATATATCTGTGGCGATAAATAAGTGGGTAATAACTAATGGAGATATAAAGTTGAGTAATCTATATAGTTTAATGTGAGTAATAAAACTCAATGGCCGTATACCAAATTTAAACAATACTCATAACTCAAGTCGTAGTGGTCTTAAGTATATTTGTGTTATATAATAACTACCAATGTGCGAGAAATAAACATAAAAACTGAAAATTGGATTGGTTCTACTTCGTAACGAAAAACTAAAAATGAGTATGAACATTTTTAGCTTTATGTAATATTATTATGTTGTTAGACTACGCTACTACTATTGCCATGTATTATACAGAGTGATCCAAGTAGGTGATCTATACAATTCATATTTATAATCGCATTGTCCGATAGGCAAAAACACCACGAGACACAATAAAATGTTTTGAGATAATGGTAGACAAGTGGTTCTTTCTACCTATTCAAACACAGTGACGGTGAGTGTTCACGACCTGGTCAATATTATTCATTAGTGGTAAACCGTTGTGCTAGTGTTGTAAGAACCGAACGAATATTGATCCTAAATTCGAATATTTGCAACGTCATAGCAAACGAAGAGATTGACGAAAACTTAAACCCTTAATATTTTGAAATTTGTTTATCTACATATTTATAAAATTAAAAACATGTTCCCATTTGAAAAAACGAAGTCCATACTTATTTCACGTACCTACAAGCGATGAAGGTGAACATTTTTTGAGTGTTAAAAAATGTAGTAAAAACTAAAATATACAACCAAAAGTACAGGAAAAAAATAATTTTCAAAATATTAATATTTTCCGAGAAATGGAGTGTCTTACATAAAATGGATCACTCTATACATAGACATAGCCTCATTAATATTATTTTTTTGGCAATCCGATTGGTACCTCCTAATGGATGCAGCGGTCAATATTCGATTGCGTCTAAAATCGGGTTGCCAAAAAAATGTGTGGCGTGATTTTATTTTTTTTACAAATAATAATAAGTACAAATAACGATTCTTTTAAAAGAACTTAATTTCCGATCTCGAAGGAACCTTCTGAATATGAGATTTTATTTAGATTTTTGTACATTTAAATTTCGTTTCTTGTCATATAGATAGGTATTTGACGATGGCTTTGTTTTTGTCATTGAAGGTTACAAATTTATTGTGTTTATGATGTTGAACATTTATTGAAAAACTACAATTTTATATACTTACATACACTGTACATTTTTAATTATTATAAAATATTATAATGTATGGTAAACGTATAATTTGTACATGTTGATAAGTATAGTACTTGTTACTGGTAATATAGATACATGCATTCACAATATTATTTATCATATAAAATAATTAATTACGATTGTTTTGTAATTTGTATTATCGTAAACAAAGTACTCGAGCATTTATACAGTTGTTATTGTATAACACTATAACAGTAATACAAAGTACGTTTATCTGTGTTGTACAGGTGCATTATCACAGAAATAGTTAGATCAAGGGGCGTCAAGTGCGTGTGAATATATTATAATATGCTATTTTTTATAACTAAATGTTTATTCGAGAAAATATCGTAGGTTTCTAATCAATAAAATCAAATATTGATCTAAGAAATTAACAATATGTCGACTAGACGACGGATAAAAGGTGAGTGTTATCCCTATTGATAAATCGTTAATCATCGAATACTGAATAATATGATTTATAACAAGCGCCGCAAATTATGATACGTTATTTTATTTGTTGGTAAGCTATTATAATAGGTACACAGAACTGATAATGATAAACCGATAAATGGACAATGAAAATTTAAACATTGTGATCAATGCGTTTACATTGTAGGTCCGTACTCTATAGCCGTCGTTTTGGTATCTTATCATATCTTATCGTATCGTAGCAAAACCAATTCGGGTGGAATTGGAATATAATGGAATGTGGGTAGGTGTTCTGTCGATCAATATAATTTAGTATAATATCGCCATGACGACCGAGCACTACTTGCGCTTTGCCTGTTGCGTTCCTTCGTCGTATGGTATTTAATTCACCGTTTTACTAAAATAAACCGCAGCGATAATCGCTGTTGTGTTGAAATTACTTCGGACACCGATTCACATTATTTTTAGACAGTGTATTTTGTATGCAACTGTAACATTAAGCACGTTGTAGTTTGCTATCTCAACTCTCAAGTTGTTTTTGTTTTTTCACTTGGCAGTTGGCTGTATGACAAAGATAGCATAAATTGTAATGCTGTTTTGATTGCCATATAATGTAAAAATAATTATATAGGTACATTCATTTTGTTAGTATAATTTGTTATTTGTTATAGTTTCAGGGGAACCCGAAGAGTCTAGTATAGAAAAAGCAGTGGAATTAAATACTGTCGGCCGTACGAATATGGAAGGCGCTCCCAATAGATTGCTTCATAGCGCTGGTAATATTGGTCGTTACAGGTCACTCTGTCAGTTGTCTCAGGTATTGGTCTATATAACCTATATTATTATTATTATTCATTATATTGCTATTGTTAAATGAAAAACATTGAGTCACGTCAATCTGGATGAAACGGAATTTGTTTCTGAAGTGAAACATTAAATTTTTGTTTACAAAATTTGTTGAAAGCAAATTAGTCCATAACAAAATATAGTGTTCTGGCTAGCTTAAACTGTTTCATTTCATCTGGGTTAACCAAACCCATTTACAGTGCAATTTTATATGCCTTCTTATTTACAAACTATAATTAATTTATTTACAGCCTACATTTTCAACAATATGTTTTGAACATGTCGTACAGCTCACTTAGTGTTTTTTAATTTAACGAGGATATCAACATAAGAATATTTTTGTTTTAGTTATTAATCGTATAATAATGTGTGTATTTTTTAGGTTTTTGGAATTGCGATTTTAGTAATGATGTTTTATTGGCTTAATTTTTATCGTGGCGGATTTGGTTTTTCTGAAGCTAAAATAATATTCAACTTCCACCCAATGCTTATGAGCATTGGATTTATATATTTATTTGCCACTAGTAAGTGACATGAAATTAAACAAAAAATAATCGAAATGAATGCATATTAAAATTATGTTTCAACTTGCAATTGCTGTAGACAAATATTTTATAAAACTTGAAAAAAGTAATCAGCATTGCAAACAAAGGGGAATGGTGTATTTTTTTTATTTTTAGCCAACTGAAGTACCTTTTAGTTACAATTTCTGATCTATAGAACCACTATACAAAGAAATTGGCTTAATAATAAAAAAGTTGATGTGGGTTAGACACAAAAAAAAAAATACATCATTGTTTTCAACAATCGACATTGATGGTAACATAATAACTATTTTTAATATGCATATTTTATTATTAATTTTTAAACAGTAATTATAATCATAACCTTATAGGTAATTAACTGTAAGATAATAAATTGCCAAAATGGTTATAGGTATTCTGCATTTTCGGACGTTTCGTAATGAAAAGAAGAATACATTGAAATACCAGCATGCAATTATTCACGGATTTATTATTGTGCTCGTACTCTTTGGATCATGGTCCGCAATAGCATCACATCTGTACGCTAGTCCACCAATTCCAAATTTCTACAGTCTACACAGTTGGATGGGAATTCTAACAATGTTAATGTTTATTTCACAGGTTAGTAAAAATTGTATTCAATATTGTATTACGAATTAGTTTTCGTCTCTTTCAACAGACGTTTGGATACGGCTATGCATTCCTTGTTGTACTGAAATAATAAGAATATATGTGTATTTATAAGAATGTTTTTATTTTTAGTTTGTCGGCGGATTCGTCTCTTTTCTATTTCCAGGCATAGCTGGAGAATATAGAGCTGCAGTCTTGCCCTACCATGTATTTATCGGCGTATTAACTTTTGGATTAGCAATTGCAACGTCGATTCTGGGAGTTAGCGAAAAAACCATATTTGCTTTGTATGTAATATTTTTAAACATTTACGGCTTGTAAACATAAATCCAATGAGTGTTTGCACTTTGTAACAGTTACTATAGTGGCCTCTTAAACATCGAGTAGTGCATATTATACTTTGAATTAGTAAGAATTTCTGTACAACACAGATATACAATTTATTTAGTTTAAAATTGGGTAAAAAATAATTAAGATGTTATACCTCCTTTTTAATAATGAGTTGAGTATAGGTAATTTTTTTTAAAAACTTAATTTAAACGTTAAACTTTGATGTATAATTATTAGTTTAGTAATTAGGACTCTTTAATTGGTAGTTAACTTATTTCTCGTATTATCACAGCATCCTTACTGATTTAAAAAAAAATTTCATCTACGCAGAATAGCTACGCAGAATGTGTTTTACTCGGTCCATAGTATTTTCAGGGCAAAAACACCTATTATTAATTCGAAAGGTAGCAACATTTCGGAAACAATGTCATATCTGAATTTGAAAATAATTACGAAAAATAAAGTTACACTTATTTTAAAAAGTAAAAAAATGTGTTTTTAAACGTTAAATATTAGGTTTATCTAAAAATGGATATGACATTGTCTCCAAAATCTTGTCATTTTTCATTATTTGTCCAAGTATTTTTGCTCTAAAAGTCTTCATGTGACAAATAAAATGCATTCTGTGTAGGTATGTTTTAACGTTAGAAAATTGGGCGTATACGTCATCTTAAGACGGTTTGAAACATAAATAGACATAAACTAACTTTTACTGGAAGTCGAAAAATAAAGAAATGGTTAGGTAAAATGGTAATCAAGTATTATAGAAATGATGTATTTATTTATTTTTGTTATTTTTTAGGGATAGAAAATATAAGGACTTGCCTACTGAAGCACTGCTTTCAAACAGTCTTGGAATTCTAATTGCAATTTACGGCGGGTTAGTAGTATACTTGGTAACCAAACCAGATTACAAACGTGTTCCGAAACCAGAAAATGGAGTTCTACTTACTGGTTCATTAGAATAGATTTAATAATTTAATTGTAATTTTGTATTATTTTGTTATTTTTTTTTAAAAAAATTATTTATTTGCATTTTTATTATTATTTTAAGCTTTAATATTAATTTTGTTTTGTTATATTTCATAATTTACCATTTGTTATAAGACACTTATATTATTATTATTAAATTTATTGTCCAGTAAAAATGTGGCATTTATCAGTAATAAATTATAAAATTTCATTATCGATTGTAATTTTATTATATTTTAGTTTTTTAACTAAAATAGTGCCAACTAGGAAAAACTATTGATATGTCATTAAAATTAAAACTTGATGCTCCGCTTTACAAACATTCATTTTTTTTTTAATAATAAAACAATAATGAATCTATGTGTTAGGGTAAAGTTAGTTGAATGTTAGTTTTAAAACACAACAGTTGTTTAAACTAAAATTTAATTTAATTAAGTTAATTTCTGCTAAAAAAAAAATTGTTGAAAAATAAAAAATGATTATATATTAACTTAAAAAATTTGAAAAAGGTGGGACATGCAAGAACATTTAATTTTGTTTAAGTTTATCAAATGGGAGTTTTTTCTTTTTTCTTTGGAAAAACTACAGAGTTATACATTAAATTATTCAAAGTGCAATGTTTCAAGTATGGATTTATTTGATATAAAATAATTTAAAAATAACAAATAAAATAAAAATAGATACAAGCATAAAAAATAATATACATAAAAAAAACTAACAAATATACATTAGTGAGATCTTATTGATTATAAAGAGAAATAAAAGTATAGTGTTCTAACTTCTAATATGCATTTATCTTGTACCTATAAGGCGTATGCATTTAACTAATATCTAATATGAACAATTATATTAAAATTTTATTTGTAGCGGTTGGAGGTTTCCTAAAATCAAATGTTTATTTTTAAGTTCTGCTCTCATCATATTTTATTAGCTATTGATGAATTTCATATAATTTTTATTGAGTGTAAAATATAGATAATAAAGAAAAAACTTTTACATTCAAACAGTATTGTTTTTATATAATCGACCACGCCAAAGAATAATTTAAAGATCGCCTAGTTGTGTAGATTTCTGAACAAAAGTTATAATGGTGTAATTTTAAAAAAAATGATTAACTATAACAAACTATCCCCGTTTGGAGATTTCGATGAATTTTCTACTCTGTAGGCTACATTTACGATTCTATAATTTATTAGCTAAGTGGCTAAACTTTTTGAAACATTTATAAACCATTTATGCCGTGTTCCTTTTTAAACATTCTGTATATTTTATAATATAGGTACATATTATTAGTTCTGTTTTTTTTTTATCCGTGTCCCGACGAGTTTTACATTAATCGGCTGTATGTTTGTATCGCTTATTATTGTCGTTTTATTTACAGCATCGAAGTGATGCCGTTATTATAATTTTTATTTAATAATGTAGTCTAAACCGGAGGTATTAACGAATAAGGGACGTACGGGATATCGTTCTGTGGTAACGAGTTGTAGGCAGACGACTGTACCGTGTCGCCGGACGGCGGCGTGGATTGAAGTAGCTCGGACATGAAGCTTATGTACGTGATGGCTAACCGGAGGGTCTCGATCCGGGACAGGCGTTTCTCGTACGCGAACGTGGGCACTTTGCGCCTGAGCTTGTCAAACGCCTCGTTTAGGTTGTACATGCGCCTACGCTCGCGGATGTTGGCCGCTCGCCGCTGCGCCAGCGTGGCCACCCGACGTCGAATTTTTTTTGAAGACGCCATCGACGATTTCTGCAGACTGTTTCTAAACGAACAATAAATTGTACATTATTCTATTAATCGTTTGCAATGTTATAATGTATTTCAATTGAAGTACAATTGTTTTATTTTTCTTAAAACATTATTATTTTATATAGACAGACGTAGGCAAATAGTGTCAGAGTGTCAATGAATCCAAGTAGGTATTAGTAAGAAGCAAATAGTAATCTATTGGATAGATCGATTTTTCAACTATAATACCTACATAATATTTCAATTGTAAACGTAATTTATAATGATATCAGAATGTATCAAGAAGTAAACATATATATAATATATATTCAGCATTATTATTTATGAATGCATCAAGATTTTGTATCTTTTTATCGATACAATTGATCAATGCCCACCTCTGCGATTATAGGATAGATCAATTTTTAGACTTAAAAGTATTAAAGTATACTTTTGTACTATTTGAACTCATCTCCCCCTCTCTAGTTACAATGCTAAAACAAATCCGACAAAACCCAGCATAAATTTGTAAATGTCAAATGCCTGATACATACTTAAATGTTTACATAGGTATTCCCCGTTACTAAAATTAAAAAAAAATCTACGATATGTCATAAAAATTTAAGATTTAGAGAAGGTAACCGGGTATTTAGTAACGAAACGACTAAAATAAATATATTTAGAGGTAGAAACCTACCCCTAAAACTACCAAAATCGTATGTAATCTAAAACACAGAAGAAGTCTACATTAACGACGACACGTTTTTTTAAAATGTATTATTAAATATTATTTCTGTATGTTGGTAATAAATTTACAAAAATTCATAATAAATCGTTAATAAACAGGTAAACAAAATTATACCTGATTTGGTTTGTACCTTGAACAAAACTTAGGTTTTGCTACTTTTTTTTTTAACATTTATTTTCTTTGGACTGATTTACTCGAGTAGCACCTCTGTAAATCGTTTGTAATTGGTACTTTAGTTGGTCAAAAGTTGAAAAAGCCAATATTTCTTCATCCCCCCCCCCAATCGAGAAAAAATTGGCTGGTGTTTTAACCATCAATTTTGATTTTTTATAAGTTGGCGAAAAAACTGTCGGATTCAGTTAAAATTTGTATAGTATATTTTTAAGCATGCCCCTATTCACAAATCGCCTCTTATATCAATTTCAATAAACCGAGGGGTTGACGATAATAGTAAGTTATGAAAACAGGTATAAATTGTTCAATACTTACTTGTTGTATATTTTAAATTTTGGTTTTCAATGATATTATTGTAAAAATAAAAATAAGAACTTTAATAATTGTTTTTTTTAAATAGAAATTATGAATTAACCAAATATAATTTTAAAATCGTGCCACTATAGTTAATTTGTTAATGTAACAAAGAATTCAAATGTTTTTTTTTTAAACTAATAGAAATATTTTTAGCAACGTACTGTTCGAAGTAGCAATATATGTTTTTATACAAAAATAGGACTAGTACGCGTTAAAAAAGTAGAAAAAAAAATGTACAAAAATAAATTCCTATTTCTAATATTATATAATATGTATAATATTATCCCAAGAAATATTATATTTACAACTTTTAGCTCAAGAGGATTGAAAGCGGGCGGTTTTTAAGGAGTTCCATATAGGCAATATTTAAGAAAAAATGGATTTTAATTAATTTCGACCATGTGAATTTATTTACAGATTAATTTGTATAATTTTCAAGATATTATGTTGAACTTTTAAAATTTTTTCAATGAGTAAAATTTCTAAAATACTACCTTTTTGGTGGTATTTTAGATTTAAATGACTGACAAAATTACGCTCATTTAAGTTAGTCCGTTCTGTTCTCAATTCAGTAAATAAAGTTTTTTGCCTCATTTACTAGGTTACGTAGGAAATTGATTTTTATTTAAAAATAATCAGTTTATTTAATTAAATAAATTCAATTTGAAAAATGTTTAATACTAAAAACTATTTTTTTTTACATAAAAAAAGCAAAAAACCAAAAATCTGTTTCCTACATTATCTTGTAAAGTAGCCAAAGAACTCGTATCTCTTTAAAAATTTTAAGTCGGACCATCCATAATAGTTGAAATTTTGACAGGATTTTTGGTGTAAAATGTCAAAAAAAACAGACCTCTTTCAATCCCTTAATGTTAATTTTTAGTTAAAAATTGCCTATACGTTGCGCCTTAAAAAATGTTAGAGTAGAGGCCCAGCGAAAATATTTTTTTCTATTTAGAAGCAAAACAAGTGGAATTAGGCACTTCTAGGTATAGTTAATTGGCCAATTGTTATTATAAACAACTATAATACTACAGAAACTGTAAATAATAACATTTTATTATAACTGTATGAATTATTTACATGCTCGAAGAGCAACTATATAATATATTGTGAAGGGTTTACCTCCAGGGTGTGCGTGGAACTATTTATTAGAAAGTTAATTAATATAGTAGGTAGGTATTGAGAATATGTTGATAGTTGAATGTTCTATTAGAATATTACAGTCTTCAATTATGACTTTTATTCAAAAAAATCAAGCCTTGACTTTCTAATAGTGAATCATAGTTTAGTTGCACAGAATTTCGTTGCACGATTCACAGAAGGGACACAAGTCTATCGAGACATATTTTGAGAAAATAAAATAATAACTTTGGTAGGTCGCATGAAATACAAAAACGAGATGTCGCTTTCTAAACAAACGCAGCACTATGTAATGTTTATTCTTGTGTCGGACATTCAAAACTATCTCCCAAAACCTATAAGACTAAATAATAAAGATGCTCAAAAATGGAATTACACCCTTTCTTGTATGATATAATTTACGTATCATACAAGTTTATTAGTACATTTACATATTAGTTTTACAGACAATTTCAAATAGAAAATAGTTTTTTAGCTTTTATGGTCATATATCATTATAGCTATCAATGCAAACTTCCCAATACATAATAGAATTCCTAATTACACTTTTCCGGCCTATCTGAACTTTTAATTATAACCGCTTACATTTGTTCATGGATTCCGGTAACATAGCGAAGGCATATGAAGTAATTTGTGTATTTATAATTTATATTAAGAAATATATGACAATTTTAAGTTCACTATTTTTTTTTTTTTTTAATTTAGCGCCTATCTCAAATGAGATTGTGACCGCAGATTTAAAAAATTAAAGCAACCAGAGGTGGATAGGCTTTTGGTTTTGTTGCAGGGAAAATATACAAAAAGGAGCTAAAGCTACTTAAAAGTACACGAGACCAACTCATGGGAAGTCTGGCTAAGCACGTTAATTTTTATAATCACACAATATGAGGTGTTCCTGTTTATTATTTGTATTATGTACATTTAAAACATTTTTTAAAACTTCAATTGAAACCATAACAAATCCGATTTTTTTTCGAACTTAAGAAAATGTAATCAATAATAAAATGAATATGAAATTTGTCAAAACGTAAACCTATATTTAATAACAATAACAATGAATAATAATAATTCATTGATTATTGTGTGTGTATTTGTAGCTATTGTAATTTTTAGATTTGTCTTTATCTTTATACATTTTTTGAAACTGGGGAAATGTTTTTAATTATTACTTATTAGTGGGTAAGTAATACAATTGGTTGAGCTCTTGTGTATATTTTCACGTGTTAAGTAGCAAACACTGTAGTCTATAAAGTCTAAAGATACTCGTATATAGGAGAGTATACATGCAAAAAAAGGACTGCCCGGGTTTTCCCGGTATCCCGGTGAGCCTATCCACCTATGAAAACAACCCTATCGCTTTATTACGGCTTATTTAATTAAATGTAAGTAAAAGAACGCATTGCATTGTCAAATTTACCTTTGAACCGGATTTTGTGTTAAACTCGACTGTTGCGGATGGTTGGGCGCGATAGGCCACATTTGAGAAACCGTCGACGAGTGTTGGTGAATATGATGATGGTGTAAATGGTGATGATGATGATACAGATGATTGTCTGGCCAACAATCGTCGTAGCTCTGGCTGTCCTGTTATCAAACGTATTTAAAATACATTACTTTGTAAATGTTTACAAGTTGTGTTATACATTTGGATAAAACAAAAATTTAATTACAGATAAAAAATATTATAATATAGATTTATATATATATATATATATATATTTATATTACTAACGTTATTAGCTAAACTTGCGTCCCAGGCGGTGCCGTGGGCCGCAGGCACGAATCCGTTGCTCATCGTTCCAAAAAACAAAACTCTACTAAAGTCAAAAGCAAGTATGTAGTTAGTTTAGTACCGAGATTTTCCGGGGACGATTTTTTCCCCTATAGTCATAGTTTCGGATTGGCTCATGCGTTTGGCCAATGGCGAGCGTCGCAGGTGTTTCACAGTTTCACCGCCCTGCCTTCTTTGCAGGGGCTGGACGTTTTATATTACCTACGCAAAGTGCACAACTAATTCAAGTGCGTTATTGTTTCCGTCGAAATTCATATTTGAAAATATTATTATACAACCCCGAAGACGCAAGTCCTATAGAAACAGCAAATATTGTATATTAATTATTACCTATCCCACTACCAACAATAATTTATTATCTGTATACCTATTATCCTCGGAAATTTGTTTCCATTTTAGTGTTTACACATACATCGTTCAAGTCAATTTCGCAAATAGAATAATTGTGTTATCTATATATCACTACATAGCTAATTTTCTAGTTGAAGTGATGACAAATAGAACGATAATCCCTAGTAATTTGTAAAAATAAACTACATATGAGTAAAATAAAAAATTGTAAAACAAGTAGAAAAAAACCATTAGGAGGTATCATTGACAAATAAAATGTAGGTATGAACAAAAACTCTTTGTATGTATTACCAAAACTATGGTAATATTATAAGTATATATTAATAAAAAAAAACATTTCCAATGACCAATTAAAAAGTGACAGAAATATTGCAATTTTTTTAAATAAAATATTTTTATGTTAAATAAAATATTTTTTTCAATTATTAACTGTATATATGGGGTCATGATATATAGGGTCAATAGTGGGCTAATGCCTTACTGCCTATAATATATTAAATAAAATACACGCATCGTTGGTTCTAATATGACTAAGACATTATTAAAAATTGAACATAAATAATAACGTTCCACCAATAAATGTCCTAAAAACAAATTACTATTTTTTTCTAAAAAAAATAAGCATTGTATGGCGGCTAAAAATACATTTTTTTAAAATTAAAATAAAGACAATATTTACAATCTGTATACAAAATAATACAATAGGTAAATGAGATGAATATAGAAACTAGACAAAAAGACGTGTAGGAAGGGAGCGTCCATTAACACTACTTTTTTTTTTAAAATAAATAATTATATCTGTTCCTTATTGAATCTAAAATAATTAATACTAAGATCTAATACAACAGAGTACATAATTTTTGGTATGTATAGTTGTTAGTTGTTAAATATCTATAAAACATGATCAATAGTCATAACAGCTCATGCCTCATAACAGAATGATGGACAATGTAAGGGAATAATGTATAATAAATTGCCTACACTGAACTTATTTAGGAGATTTAAGTTAAATATTTTTTTATTGGAATAAAATCATTTAATTTAGCGAAAAAAATGTTTTACACCAAGAACATGATTTTTGGCCTACTTTTATTTTAAATATGACTCAGAGAAAATGTGTTTTATTAGAGTAAATATTTAAAAATACTGTTTTTGTTTATGCCAAAACAACTGAATAGTTTATTCAGTGTAATATATAAAATTATCGTTGTTGAAGTACGAAAGATAGATTGGTGTTTAAAAAGCTTAAACACTTTGAAAGTTATAATATTTTATAAAATAATTTTTTGTTGACAATAACTAGGGTAAGAATAGTTTGATTTGATCAATCTCTTATCATTGATAATTTAGTATTAACACATTCAACTCAATATAAGAAAGTATATGTTTAATCCACTCTAGTAATAGATTGTTTTTTATAATTACATATTTATAATTATACTTACAGTTAAAGAGAATAGATAAACCTACAGATAAATATAAATTGTGATTATCGTTTTATGACGCCGCATTAAAAATTGCGTTTGACCATTTGTACAAATATTCATAGTTGTAATACAGTTTGAATACTTTTTTTTGGACTAAAAATTAAAATAAATGTTTCAGCACTAGGTATTATATTGAAACTAACAAACGATGATTTATTATAATAGTTACATAGTTTTTTTTTAATGAAATTACATAGGCAAGCTTAATGTTTAATAAACATATTATGTTTGAAAAGAACAACAAATTCAGGCGCGGAATACGGAGAATGGTGTCAAATAACAATTTTTACTATCCTAATTTCTGACCAAAATTCACTCCGCCGGTCTCCTGTTAGTAATTTCTAGTTAAAGGAATAGTAATAGTTTTAGTAATAAAAACTTCACTCGGAACTGAGCAAATTTGATGATAAATGATGATAATTCGACGAAAAAATAGTTATCTATAAGTTAAATCTACTAGTTTTCAAATTATTTTATCAATAGCTACACACACGTGAATTAAAATCCTTCAATCAATTTAAAACTATAATAATTAAAAAAAACTATAAAAGATAACAAACAAAGAGTATGTATATTTTGGCAAATAATCAATAAATGTGGTCAATGAATAACAAATAATGAATCGATTTTAAACAAATAACGAACAGCAAATTTACTTTTTTGATAAATAACCGACTATAAATGCGATTGTATAAAAAATGGTTTCTTGATAAAAGATAGGTTCTTAATTATTACAGATTACTCAAAGAATATATAATTAGATGATTAACGCCATTTTACTAATTTATAGAAATTATTTAAAATGATCGTCGTTCAAAACATCATTATTAGCTTGGATGCAACGCTGAGAAGGTATTTTTCCTATAGCGTTATAGTGTTTACGAGAGTGTAACTCAAACCGATCATAGAATTATTTTTTGAAAACGCGATACTATCAGACTGTCACTTGCTAATATTCGTTTTTCTCTTGCACCACGGTCTTGCGCTCCGTTTTCAAACTTGAACCGACGGCCATAAAACGCAAGGGAAATTATTTAATTTGTCACGGCTCCATCAGACGTGTGTCGAAACGTATGTCAAATTTAATAAATATTTTGCCAAATGATGGCTTTCTCCCTGCACACGTTGTGTATACACTTTGCCCCTGCTCTCGTATATTTTGATTTGTTCGCAATAACACAGTGTCGCCCTCCGTTTAACCGCGTGTTATGATACGATTAGCATTACACCCCTAGTTGACTCCAGCAAAGCATCTGCCGGCCGCCGCATCCTTTCTATGTCGCTCTCCGGCCAAGTGCATTACAAATTATCCCTCGCACTGTTATTAACGTTTTTACGCAATATTAACTTATACACTAAAGTGAAATCGTATAAAAAAAGTTATATATATATATATATATCTCATGTGTTAAGCTTGATTTCCGAAACTGTTGGTGTACAATGAACGGCGTAACGTCATGATATAATATTGGTTATTAGTGTAATTCTTCCTAAATACCTAGTTTGTTGTCATATAATGACTATGATGTTTCAATCGTCGAAAAGAAAATGTAAATATCTAGGCAAGTGGGTGGGCATTTATTGTTGAAAAATAATAATTATTAAGAATGTATAGTAAAAATTATAGAAAGCCGTGTATGTGTTATATTACTTCATGATTATTATTATTATATCGAATGTAATAAAAAGTATAATAATATAATACAGTTGATATCATGTGGCCATCACGCGTGCTCCTATTAATCCCCCTTGTTTAATCCACCATTGTTGCCATTGTATGTACGACCTTTTATGCATTTCATTAAATTGTACAATGAACCGTATCATAATATTATTGAAATGGATATTTAGTTGAGCATAACGATATTGCTGTAGAGATCCGTAAAAAAATTATTATTAATAATAATAAATATTTATGACTATGGTCAACGTATTGTATAATTTCTATTATTATACATAGTTCACGCCCGAATTATAAATATTATTTTTTTTTTGGCTTTTGGCCATAACAAATCGTAGACTGCGCCGTAATGAATTACTATGTAATATTAAATAATATATAAATTACAAGAACTTTGTCACAGCAAAAAGGTTAAAACGATTTAATTTTGCGAGAACAAGTTTAAGTTCAACAGGTAAGTAGGTATAGTCTATAGGTCTAGACTATGAGAAATATTGGACTCGACAATTCCATGTAAGATGTTATACCACAATATAATAATATTTTTTTTCCATGAACTTATTCAGTATTCGTACTAATAAACAAAAAAGGTCAACATCATTATTACCGATTTAAAATTTGATTATGAGTTTAAAAACCAAGGTAATCTAATTACAAGTTTTTGGTATTGGTACGCAACGACCAAATAAAACAAATATTTATATTTAAGTCTTATTTATATTGAATGTACCCGTTTATCTTTAATACCGACTAGACTATCATAGCTAATTTTTTCAATAGTAGTTGCCTACATACAATTAAGTGCTGAGTGCTCTAATTAAATGTTCTAGTGTTAAACACATGCCCTGTGAGTGTTAAATTTGATTATTATATTATTACATTGAACATTTAATTACACGTTTCCTATACAACTAATCCCTAAATAACGTATTACGTATTTGCCGATATACAAGAATAAGCCTTTGTTAACAAATAACAACACTATTTATTAGTGCCGATCTTCTATCTAAGTAATAGATTATGATAGGTAATGGTCAAACATCGTTCACTAATGTTACGTTAAATAATTGTTAAACTAAAAGTTTAAAACGTTTATTTTCCCTTCAAATCGAGATAAAGTTTTAATTATAACTTACCGACAAACATTCGAATAAGTTCCAAGTTTATTTGAGATATAAAACATCAGATTTACAGTCCAAACCCAAAAAAATATCGTAAGCCCTAAAATATTAACACTTAAGATACTAACGTAGATAACAATGTGTCTTGTATAGATGTTTTCAGTGCTTAGGATGTTTATTTTGTCTAGTAGCATACCATATTTGTTTTATGTTACATACTTAAAGCCGTAAAGGTTAAATTCATACTAAATAATGTTAAATGTAGGTTTCATTGTCATTAGATTGCGTGCCAGATGTTCATCAGTTCATGTATGTTAAGTAAATCAACAGCTACGTAAAATATACACTAAATACAAAACAATATTTTGTTCTTTGTATGGTATTATAAAAAAGAATAACA